GCACCAGATAGTACCGTCATTTTCTCCGGTGCTATGAAGCTAGAATTATGTTCAAAGTGAACTAGAAGAATTCACTTTTGAGGGACATTTATGTTTACAATGGCTAATTGTCATCATCATGTTACCTGTGTTGTAAACGTTTGTTCTATCATTTGTTTTTGGCAATTGTGTAAAGTCCGACAAAAGACTGCCGCTGTAATTGGCTTCAAGCCCTCTGAAAAATCTGGTCAAAAATAACTTGAATTGAAAGGATTCGAACTAAAACTTGAGGATATCGTTCACTAAGTTACAGGACAAGATGCAAAGGGCTAATTTCCACAAGCTAATATCAGCTAACGATCTTGCACTTGTTATTTAGAAATGGGTTTTGTCGATTGGTTTCAAAGAGACAATTGTTTCTTTTACGTTTTAGCTCGTTTTACATTATATACAAATAAAATTAGTCTGAAATTTTTTTATTTGATGATATTTTCACTCAATTGGAATTTGATAAAAACATTCCTTCTTAAAATCCCACTGTGCTGGAAACTAATTTGAACCATAAGACTGGACTTGCCTTTTCCATGAGCAGATTAAACACAAAAAATAGAGAAATATACTACCTTTTAATCTCCTGACGTTTGCTGTGATCCTTGAGCCTGTTTTATAATATGCTACATGATCATTTGCTGTTTTTAAAGGCAGCATTTGGAGCCAAAAAAAGTGCGATTAACCTTGCAATACAAAAATTAGATGTTCTGAGCCAAAACACAAGCAACAAACTTAATCCAAAGTGGGTCTGGTGAACTCTTATGAATAGAGTTTTTATTCCTCCTCTTTTGGTGTAGCGTGAACACGAGGGCATTGAGTTCAGTTCGTTCAGTTATTGTTTAGCCCGTCACTGCTGAGTCTGTGTGACAGCTCCACACTCGCTGGCTCCGCTGACTTCTACACTGAGGCGGCTTTATTTCTCGCATCAAAAAGTGATTAAAATGTTGCACTGTTGTCACTTGTCAGATTCATTAACGTTTCAAAACTATCATATCTTCTGAACGATCCTCAAGTAATCACAGTGAACGGAGAAACATTAGGTTTGCAGAACACGACTTGACAAAAGAGAAAAAGAGAATTAGTTTTCATGTTCTTCCAGTCCCAGAGAATATTTTATTCTTACAAAACTCGTGTAGTGGTGGCTCAATAGTGTTTTTCTTCTGCCCCAGGACAGCTGTGGCTTCAAAAATCATTGAGGAGTGACTTTGAGTGAGTGAATGAATGTTACAAGACAGTTTACCGCTTTCCATAAATTTCACTGGGAGGGAAAAGTTATTTTGGCGAGGGGATTCTGGACGGGAATTGGGAGGTCTGGCTGATCTTAAATTATGAAAAGGAACTTGTCAACTAGGTCGTTCAAGTACTTGCACGTACAAGTGATAAAGGCCATATGTGGGACTTTTAAAATATGGAACTCCTATACATTAAATCTAGAGTCTACTGTAAACTTTTCGACTCTCCTTCATGATGCCATTAAATATCAACTGCACATTTGTCTTGACTTGTAGCAGTTAAACCTTCTTTTGATGGCTGGAAGTGTTTGCGTCCTCTTAAAGAAGCAGTATCATACATTATTGTTGGCCATTCAAGATGATAACGATACTTTGTCCTTTGTCCTTTTATGTTTTAGAATGTGAAATAATAATGTAATCTAACGTAGAAAATATATGGTGATATGAATTATTGAGGGGAAATAATGTTATTGACCTGCAACTCCCTTTGCTACCACCAGAGGGAGCGGTGGTGTCATATTGGCACATCGTACTATTACATGACAGGAGCTTTCCGACAGCAGGGGCAGCAGTAAAAGGCCAATATCATATCTCCTACGTTTAAATAAAAACTTTACAATTTTAGACTAATATTTTGAAATCAATGTTGACGCTGGCTTGATTTCGATCATGTAAAAATATTACTGGAGAAAATGTTATAGGAAATTACCAAACAATACATCCAATATAGATCCACAATCACAAATGAGAAGTCCTCCAATATTGTGTGGTCCTCAGAGGCCTGTGCGTTTCCCTGTATCAGATAAGTGTGTGTTTGGTCAGGCGTAAGTGACCTTTTATGGACGCCTACCGCCTGCTTTGAGCCTGTGCTTATCGGTCACCTATTACCTTGCTCCCGCTGCCTCCGCAAACACTCCGCAGCTATGCACACAATCAACATGGCCGCCACAAACACTGTCATCTCCGACATCTACTGAAACAAACATCTTCAATGGTTTCTTTGAGTCAACAAAGTGAATAGTTTACTGGTGACTGGCGAAAAAATGTGGGTCTGATTTCATCCGCGGGAGTATTGACATAATCCAGCCTCGTGCCTCTGCAGCACTGTGCTAAGTTAGGATTAAGATGTTTTGTCGCTAGCGGTGGTGAAAATTAGAGTTTTTCCATAAATATATTTTTCTTTAACTTTCAATGAAAATGAACCTACAAAAAGTTCCCCTTCATTTGTGTATAATTATTTTGATATGTTCTTGTTTTATAATTCTCTATCTCTTGTAAAGTCTCAGAGGTAGGTTTTCTACACGATTACTCTGGGGCCTAAAGAGTTCCTACAAAATAAACTGAAATTAATACCCAAAAGTACCCAGTTAAATTAACCCTCCAATTCTGTCCAAACGTTATATATTATGTATTTATATATATCATATACATTATAATACGTTAAGTATTTTCTTTTAGTTAAAACATGTATCCTTTAATTGTATTCATTCTGGAATGTGTCTTAAGTAAGATTATCGTGTTATATTGAAGATTTTTTTTTTTCTCACATCTGGTTAAAATGTTCCCAGCATTTCCTCCAAAATATTTGACTATCACCCCAAAGTATTGTTCAATAGCTCAAGTACTCAGCTCATCAAAACTATAGGTCTTCCAAGCAAATCACAGAAGGATGTTATTGAATCAGTATTTGAGAAATGGAGTGTGTATCATCCTGTGTAATGTTTTTCCAATACAGTTTAGAAGTATTTTCTTTCCATCTATTAAACAGTCCCAAGGAAACCTCTTCTCATTATCCAAGAAGTTACTTACTGGATTTGGCAGATTACCCTCTCATCTGCAGGTTTTAGCATCTGCAGAGACTGGGAGAAAAATATTCTGAAAATCCTCAAAAGAATTAGATTGGTATTTAAATTGTCTTTGTTCTTTGTTCAACAGGCTACATGTTTCCCCATCCCCAAGTTAGCAGTGTCAAGAATTAAAGACTTTTTTTTTTTTTTGTCATAAGATTTATCCGGGTTAAACAAACCAGGAAGTGCATTGATAACTTTTTTTATTTAATTCCTCATATTGTGAAAATAGAAAAGGACTGCATGGTGGCGCAGCGGTTAGCCTCTGGGTTTGAATCCCGGTCAAAGCAGGGTCTTTCTCCATTAGCTCCAACAAGTGGTCGCTAGTCTTCCTGGGGTCCACTCTCCACACAATTCAAACGTACAATAAATCAGCCATTCACAATATATAAGACTAAACTGACAAAAAAAAGAACAGTTTGCAGCCACTGGGAGTTTGTGTGTCCTCCCTGTGTCTGTGTAGGTTTCCTCCAGGTGCTCCGGTTTCCCCTACCTCAAAAACAAGTCGTATTGGTTAAAAATAATCCGGATTGGTCAGGACAAAAAAAAATATTCCTGACCAAGCCAAGCAGTGCAAGATAGCGTTGCAAAGATGGGTCGGCTGCAGAGAACAAATTGCCCTGTAGAGGGTTACATTTTATTGACCTTAAACTAAACCCAAGTCACATTTCGATCCCGGTTCTCACACAATCACCACTCTGTCTCGAGCTTTGGACCAGGTATGAGCTTAATGTAATTGTGCTTCTACATCATAAACAGCTGCCGTTATGAGTGGCATCTTTGGGACATTTGATTATGGAAATCTCATTTAGGCCCTTATACCTGCACAGAGGAGACGTGTAGGACGAGATTCCTGGCTGCAAACCAACACTGAAACGAGATTAGCACATGTCGCTTATGGCTGGTGTTTTTCATACTTAGACAGACCTCATTATAGAGCCAGGTTATGTTCTCTGCCCGAGGTGGTGTGATTGCCTCGCCTTGTTTACATTGCAAACATTTTACCATCAAATAACAGAAATGTGACTTTTAAAAAACATAGTGCACTAAAATGTGCAATTGATTTTTTTTAGTGTCTCACATCTGTGGCTACTCTGAAATGTGTTTAGATTGTTGTCCATTAGCAAGACAAAATGTTATGTAAAATGGCTTATGTGAAATAATATGGATAAAAAAATCATCCAGCCATCACATATAACATTGTGTACTACTAAGACATGTATCCACTGCACTAGAGTCATGTATTCACTTTAAAACCGTGGTCAGATGTTAAAATGGCGCCATTTATTTTTTAATTGATTAATAAAAATGGTCTATTTCAAAATATTTAAATTTACCTTTCTTTACTCCTTGACACATTTTTCCCATGATCATATTCTTGTGTCACTGGTGGACTATAGGGGGTTTTTAATTGTACGGAACTGAGCCAGTGATACAAGTTGAACTGCTTTGAGGGGCTGGTGCTATGTGTACTGAAGCTCTGAATGACACCCCCCCCGACCCAGAAATCGAATAAGGGGAAGAAAATTGATGGATGGATGGATGAAGTTGAACTGCTTATTTTTTGTAATCCCATGTAAACTCCATGTAAATGTTTCACGCTGTTGCTATAGTCTGAAGTAGTAAGAGTGCAACTGAATGGGACTAGGATGTTTCTGACTGAATAGGAAACGGGCAAATATACTGTAGGATCTAGTTGATAAATGTGGAAATCAATCTATAACATTTTTTTATTTGAACGCTATTCCCACCCAAGGCAACACAAAGCGCCTCACAACCACAAGCATGAATCAATAAACATTAAAATTTACATAAGCATTACAATATATGAATAAAATCTATGTGTTTTTTTTTGGATGAATTCTCAAACGTTGGGCCTCTTTCTCCTCAGGTGGCGTGGGGACCGCAGCCACACAGCTCTGTAAAACGGTGAGCGATGTGACAGTGTTCGGAACGGCGTCGGCCTCCAAACACGAAGCCCTCACTGAAGCCGGAGTCACACACCCCATCGACTACCGCACCAAGGACTACGTGGACGAGGTCCGCAAACTCAGCCCCAAAGGTAATCGCATCAGACGCTTTTCCAAGAAGACAGTTTTATTTTTATATGGTGTTTAAGGAGGCGGTCACTTGGTCTAACTGAAATGATCTAACCTTGGTGGTAATTATGCTTTATTTGTGGAGATGTGACTGGTACAGAAAAAAATAAAAAATAAATAAAAAACAATTATCTCAAGCTTGCTATGGGGGCAAAAAATCCACTATTTTTGTGAGATTTTGCTTTAGTCTTGTTTGTGGTCATCTCCTTCCATACATTTTGCCTCCAATAACATGGTAATGGATCAATCTATCTAATACATAACAATTATTCAGACGAAGAAGAAGTCGTGTATATCCTCTATGAATGATTATTTGAAGAAATTGTTAAAAAGCAATGGATCGGAGTGGCTCATGTGGGACTTTCTATTTTATCCATTTTGAGAATTTATGTAATTGAATACAGTGCAAGTTACTCTTTGCAAATGGAGACTGTCAATAGTATTATTTTCACATTTTGGGTTGACATAGCGGTTGTTAGTGTTCTTACCTCACTGTAAGGGAATATGTAAACATCCAGGACCAACCTCTTTAAAATTTATTAAAGAGGATTATTTTTAAAAATCAAAGAGTGTAAATAAGCTAGTACTGCTTTTTTTTTTGACCATGTTTCGGCGGTTCACTTTTGCCATCAGAGGTGATACATGATGGTATGGCCACTTCTTTATTTCTAATATGTGTTTTTGCAACTCGCATTTAGATTCAGATTCATTTATTTGCCATTTGCCGTAAAACCACATAGGAAAAACTGTGCAAGACTACCCCAGTGTGCACCAGACGACACACATCAGAGCTCTTGCCACGGCGCCATCTTTACGGCGCCATGCGACAAACAATAGAATAAACAGCAGAGAGCAATAACATACAGTTTCACAGACAATTGGATAGACACATTGTGCTTTGTATAAACCACGGATTTTTAAGTCGGACAGACAGAAACATAAAAGGTTGTAGCCTGGTCATACCACACCATAGTACAAATTACATTTCGTACTAAGGTCTGGAGGTGCTCCATTGAGCTCCATTAACAGGTGGGAGGGATAACTCCTTTTGCAGATTGAAACGATTGGATCTGAGTTTACCGTTACGTATGTAGTGAGCCCGAGTGAGTCGTTAGCATTTAGCCTAGCCATCTTCTTTCCCGCTAACGGAGCCCGTGGGGAGTAGCGCCACCATTTATTCTAGCGATTACATTTGCTAAACATTCCTATTGCTCCGGCTTCAATTTCTTGAACGAACCAGACCGGATTACTTTACTATCGCATTTTTCGCCATTGCCAGACTACAACCTTCCTGTCGACGCAAACTCTTGACGTCACCCACATCTAAATACAACACCTGCCTGAATGGTGTCGTCGAAATTCAACCGATTGTTATCGCTAACCCAAGGATCGGGGACCCAGACGTTGTATGCAGTGAAATGATGATTGAGCGGAGTGTACGGAAAGCTAAGGCCAGGCTAAGGTTGTAACACAATATAAAATTTAATAGAGAACAAAATATATATCAATGTGAATCAGTGAACATCTTGAACACCTATTCAGACTGGACACATTATGTGGACAAAAAAGCAATCAAACTTTTGTGTGTGCAGATTGCTTTATTCTTCTTGCTCCAGTTTCAGGGAGCCACTGAATGTTTTGAACAGCACTCGCCCACAAATCCAGCTACTATTTTCCCACACACTTTTGAGAAAGTTTGAAAGCTCGAGTCTCTAGAAACTATAGAAACTAAACGACCATAAGAAATATAATCTTCTATAAAATATGTTGCTGAAACAATTAACAAAACTAGAAGTTGACGGTTAATGGGTAAATGGGGAATGGATGTCAAACTACAAAGCTGATTCACATTTTAATCTCTTTCTTGCAAATAGAACAAGGCATTACAATCGTCAACAAACCAAGTTCAGAGTGGCAGTCTCAAAAACTGGCCTTGTTACCTTTAAGTCTTTTATAATAGACAGGACAGGACTCTGCACTTAGTTTGTTGACAAATAGTTCACTCTAATGCCTGCATCTCAATGTTTCTGTTTCCAAGTCAATATTGGCCTTGTCCTAGAAGAGTACTGTGATATCAACTTAATTTATTTCTTTCTTGGAATATCAAAAGATTGAGAACAGAATTACACTACTTTTCCCAATGCCAAATGTTTTAAGAAAGTCAAAATGCAACTCTGCACTTGTTTGACCTCTCCTAGAAAGTATCGAGATGGACGTTTAATTATTGACTCAATACTTCATTCCCACTATAATTTGTTAAAACGTTTGAAAATCAGACTTTTTGTGGGGGTTTTTCTTATTTTGTCTCTCATAGTTGAGGTATACTTGTGAAAATTACAGTCATCTCATCTTTTAAGTGGGAGGACTTGCACAATTGGTAGCTGACGTTTTTGTCCCACTGTTTATTCTATTCTATATAAACAGTGGGACAAAAACGTAGTGTAGACAAAAAGTATGTATTCTATACTAGATACATTTTTCCAATTACATGCTTATACTTTATTTTATTTTTTTTGATCACAATGAAACTAATGGTGACACAAATTGCAATCCCCCAACATCCTTGTTTGAACTGGCCATCATCATCAGATTCGTACCTTGACCGTTCTTTGCCTAACCTTCCATTCACTGGCGGACATGTTTGCTCTCATTACAGAAATATCCCGTCATCAATTCCGTTTTCCTCTCTGTTCTCCTGACACAGTTCTCAGCAGCATCGTCTGGCAGCACCACAGACTGTCAGCAGTTGAGTCATTTCCCAAAGACGGCAAATTCATTTCACTCTGTAGCCCCTCCATCGTTATTAATGTCTCCCCGACGTCTTTCTATAGATAAAGCTCCTTTTTCTGCTAAATTGCCCATCCGTTTCCTGTTATGTTTCCTCACACAATTGCCAACTGCGGCGTCCCTCGCCAGTGAAGATAAAGAAAGACTATTATGCCAAAGGGTCCGTGTGGTGCATGGTGTTCTCAATGAGACACGCACAGGAAGCGAGCGGGATTTGACACGCAGGACGGACCAGATCTAATTAGACGTTTGGATCAATGCTTTGCTACCTTTGCCTCTCCGGATTTGGCTTTTCGTCTGTCCATGAGTGCCGAGGTCGAGGCGGAGCCCTGCTGTGCGATTCATGCGATCAATAGATGCAGGCCCAGGGTTTACGAAGGCAAACAGAGGCGAGGGGTATTGTCCAATTTAACATGGTTGGCACAAATGTGAAGTAGTGCTTCGTTATAGGAGGTGTTTTTGTTGGTTTCTTGGGGATTAGAGTTCTCACATCAAGAGGGGTTTCTAGTAACCGTTGTTTGAAGGAAGCATTTGCTGATTTTTTTTAATTGAAAATCTTCCCTAATAAGAGATTATTGTTCACACGAAGGAAGTCTCCAACCCATCGATCTAGAGCTACCATAGCAAAATATATCTCATAACCCCCATTCTAAGAAGCTCCCCGAATTATTTAGAATTTTTTATTGATGATTCAAATGCATCCAGCCATTGTGCATGCATAGTAACTCATACATAATAGATGATTGCAAGAATAATAATGCAATGGTTTTATCACTTTATTCCAGTGGGGGCGGGTCCCGGCTCAAAAGTGGCCAAAATGACGTGCGCTGACATGCTTGCAATACCACCCCGGGCCGATGGGGGTGGACCCAGAATAAGAATTAGCCAACGCTAACATGTAGCATTGGCAGACCTCTGGAAAACATCTTTACAGGATGGTCCAAAAGTTGGCTCTTGGCCCAAAGCTCCGTTCCACATGTCTGTCAATGCTGAAGGGAGTGGATTTTTTTTGGACCTCTCTAGTTTACTCGCTGTGAATTTTTGAAGTCTCTCGTTCAAATGAATGGAGCTGCGCAGGCTCCATTAATATACAGTCTATGCTTAATTTACACTCAAACGCTTCATTCACTCCATACATATATTGGTGGTAAACTGGCCACAGCTGCCTTGGTGCAGACTGACTGAAGTGAAGCACCCGGTATGTGCTCTCAGCCCTTCCGACCACCGATCATTCACACACACTAGACTCACACTAGGCATTGTGGGTGAAGTGTCTCGCCTAAGGACACAACAATAGTTTGGCACTTTACAGCTGCTGCCGCCCCACTGTGGCACCTGTTGTTCCCAGAGTTCTCCCATCACTACTACTAACCAGACCCTGCTCTGCTTAGCTTGCCACTTGCTCTGAAATGTTTTTTATGGGATTCACTAGTTTTTGAGTAACTGGCTCATTGAACCTAATTTAGGGTAGTTTCAATATTATCTTTCATTGCATTTTGGCTCTTACTGAACCATGCTTAAAACACATATCTCATTCAAGTCTAACAACCAAAATCTCTTGGAAAACAGGTTCCAAGAGTTCAGTTACTCACAACATTTTGGTCCTAACGTATTCAGTTGTATGAGGGGAGAGCGGGAGAATGAGGCTTCACTTGTTTTATGTTTTGCACTTGTCACTGATAACTCCAGAAGAATAAAATACCTCTCCAAATGTTTATCCAGGCCCTAAATGGAAATACCTACGAGGTGAAGGAGTCATCCAAGCAACCAGTTTTACTACATCTGCAGACTCTTTTCTCCAGGTCACTCCAGGGATACGTTGAGGACATGTTTCCTTGTTGCCAGGACAACTAGTGAAACTTTATTGATCATGGACCAACGAGAATTGAACCAGTCCGTCAATCTTTTTAGGGAAGACTTATGTTGCATTGGAAATTGGAGAGTGCTAAAAAAAATTGGTTTAATATCTTCAAAATATTGGGGTTTCATTAAAAAAAAAAAAAATATATATATATATATATATATATACATTGAATTGAATTAATTTCCAAAACAGGACATATTTTGTATCTTATTTTGCCACGCTATTACATACATTCTACTGATTGTACGTGGCTGTTTCTCTGCAGTGGATGGCAGAGCTCGGCCTCGTCATAGTGGACAGTGGTATGTGGTTTATGTGGGGGGGAGCACAGAGCTGATGGGACTTGGCTGCTCCTCTTAAGACTTCACTATGTTGTTGATGATTATAATAATAACAAAAGCGTTTCATGTTTCCAGGATGTGATATCGTCCTGGATCCACTGGGAGGATCCGACACCCACAAGGGCTACAACCTGCTCAAGCCGATGGGAAAACTCGTCACATACGGTGAGTCCTTTTTAAGAGTTTTACTGATATTTGAACAATGTGTCCATCATGGTAATCATTGATAGATCAGATTCATGTTTAATGCATTTTGAGGATTCTTTACTCTTCAAAACATATATACCTGGTTTTAAGATGTGCTTATTGATCAGCACGGATGGATGGTACTTCATTAGTTTTTTCTGCTCAGTTCTTCAAGCATTTCCATGATCAGAAAGGAACAGATAGAATATATGTTGTAAATTAAATTGTAATGATAGAGGAAAGTAAAGTTCCACTCCTAATAAAGGTGGTAAGCAACAGTCTATCCAAGTTTAAATGATGTTACTCATTAAAGTCCCCAAAGTAGACCAATGCATTATTGAACAAATGTGAGGAAATGACTGCTCCTAACTGTGACTGTGCCACAGCTTTCCTGGGATAGCGTCTGGTTTAATTAACACAAATGTCAAAACTATCTGGTAATAGAATAGGCATGAAGATTTTGAAAAACAAAATATCTTCAGAGGATTTTCAGGGAATTTTAATCTAATGTGATTGATGTTGCTTGTAAACATACTCCCAATGAAAAGTGAAACCAAAAGTATTAACTATTGAAATGTTTTGTTAAACTTAGTACAATTCTTACTGTTGCTAAATGATATAAAGAACATTTACCGGAAACAGTTTCTCAACAGTTACCAACAAAAGGGATTTGGCACAAGTTTCAACATTGACACCCAAGGAGGTTTCAACACTTTCTGTTTTTGATTTAGTTTTGTTGTTCCAAAAAGCTTTCAAAAGACATGCTGAAACAAATTCAAAGGCCATTGCGATGTGGTAATATTTGTGGCCTGTGTCGTCCCAATCTTCAGGCCACTTTCAAACACCAAGTTTCCAAACTGTGAGGTTTATGGCTTGGATTCTTGTAAGCATTTATTACAACTTTGGCATTTTATTTTGACAGTTATATGAGAAATGGCTCCAGTTTTCTTGACCTCAGTGTAAAACAAGCTCAAGAAATGATCGATAGTTCCCAGATTGGCAACATGTGAGGGAGAAATCTTGCATAACGCTTCTTTTTATAGTATTTTATTCACAAACTGATAATCAATCCATCCATTCCATTCATTTATGTGATAGATGTGCATAATAACCTCCAGCTTCTCCGAGGGAATCCTGAGGCATTCCCTGGCCAGCTGAGAGACACAGTCCCTCCGGCGTGACCTGGGTCTTCCCTGCGGTTTCCTCCTGTTGGGACATGTCAAAGAGTTCCATCCATGTGACCTTATCTCTAAAGCCTAGCGTACATCGGACTGGCAACTGATTATATCCGTTGCATATGAGTTGCTGCCCCGCACACATCGACAATCTGACGAAAACGGGCAACTCCCAGTAGCAGACCAGTCTGGGGAATAACAGCGCGTACATCGACAGCAACTGGCCTCAACTACAGTGTGTTTTCTGACATAAACTGTTGCGGGCTCGCAATACACGCAATACACACACATTGTCGGAGCGGCGCATGGAGCGCGCACATCGGGTCAAATCTCCGAAACTGAGGACAACTAGTTGCCGAAAAGTAGAACACGGGCAACTGACTGCAACTGGAGACCGACTGTTTATCTCCAGTTGTAAGAGCGCGCACATCGACGTAGATACTTGGGAAGTATTTTTAACACACACTTCTTAGCTCCTGACTGTTGCGCTCCACTACCTCTGGCACACACAGTGAGGAGCTGTGGGCTGTGACCTCACGCTGCTCGCTCTCTGTGGGAAGCCCTGGACCTGTCTTGTTGCGATGCCAATCTCAGAGCAGTGTACGCACAGTGGGCAGTGCTGGCATCCTCAACAACAGGGCCAGTACTCTGCATTTAGCTCCCAGACCCCCTCACCAAGCCCCCCATTCACCCATCTCTTCCTCTCACTCCTCTTCCAACTTATCACAAGTATGCGTGGTGAACAATGGGAGTTCTATGCAGCAGAACCAAGAATGTGTCTCTGTATTTTGTATGTAGAGGCTGAGTTCAGGCTGCCGGGTCAAATCAAGACTTCTGTCCTGTGTTACCCTTGGTCAGATGGGAGGCAGAGTAATAGTGAAAGTGCATAGACAACTGGGAGGGTACTATGTGGTAATGTAAATAATACTAGAATACAGCGCAGGGGAAGAATGTTAAGTAGCAGCTTTGGACTTTTGTGTTAAGACTAATTCCAGGCTCTAATGGTTGGATGTCCCCCCATTTTCATGTATCCCCATATTCTCCCCATTCCATGCTCTGTGTTATCCAATCATTTGTCTGGCTCCAAACCTTTTTGAAGACGAGCACTGGTTACTCTCCCATGCTCACCCCGCAGCTTCCATAGGTCTAAATCACCAGTGTCAGACACGAGGCCCATGGGTCAAATGCAGCCTGCCAGACCATTTATAGTGGCCCCTGAAATGGTTTTCAATTTATTACTGATTAACTTGCAGCAGTGATTTTATAGGCTAACAAGAACCTCTATGGTGTGTTGTACCTCATTTTAATGCTTATTTCCCCCAAGAAAACGACCATATAATGAATTATATTCTAAAGTTTGAACTTAACATGTAATTATAATTATAATTGTTCAGTCCAAACAAACATTTACTGAACTATGCACCAGAAAATAATATTACACACTCAGGTTCAATTAAAGTAATCATTATACCTTCATAATGTAAAAAATGCATTTAAGAATATCCAGAGATACAAAGATAAACTTGAAAAACGCCCCTGACGAGAACGAGTTTGACACCCCTGGTCTAAATTAATTCAGATCCCTGAGCTCATTGGTTTAATTATCCTCCTCCAGATAATTCTTATAGTTGTAGTTGTGCCATGAAGAGGGACACTTTTAACCAGATGATTATTACAATTACATCCATCCATTTTCTTCCGCTTCATCCGTTGTCGGTCGCCGGGGCAGCAGTCTAAGCAGAGACGCCCAGACTTCCCTATCCACACACACTTCCTCCTGCTCATCCGGGGGGGACCCCAAGTTTTTCCCAGGCCAGCTGAGAGACATAGTCCCACTAGCATGTCCTGGGTCTTCCCCAGGGGTCTCCTGCCGTATTACAATTACAAGCAGTCTAAATTACTTTCCTCCATCCAGATTGAAGCACTCTTAGAGGTAGAGTGAGGAGCTCGGAGTAGAGCCTCAGCTCATCCACATCAAAAGGAGCCATCTGTTTTGGATGACATTTCTCAGAGATGTAAAAGTATTCTCATTGTTCTGCATTTAATAATGGAGATTTTATTTTAGTTTGATTTACTGTGATTGCAAACTCTGCATCTGAAGCCAAGAGATATTTCTTTCTTGGACTTCTGCAAACACTAAAGAGAACTAACTCTGTTTCCATGATCTTTAGGACGGTAAAAATCAGGTCCTCTGAACACTGCACTCTGTCCACAGGAGCGGCTAACATGTTGGCGGGACAGAAGAAGAACCTGATCGCGGTGGCTAAGAACTGGTACCATCAGTTCTCCATCCACACGCTGAGTCTGATCCAGGGCAACAAGTCTGTGTGCGGGTACCACCTGGGGTACCTGGACGGAGAGACGGAGCTCATCAGCCACACCATGACCACCCTCCTGGACCTCTACAAGCAGGGCAAGATCAAGCCCCGCATCGACTCCACCTGGCATCTGGAACAGGCAAGTCTCACGGCTACTGATACATGACTTAAAGATGGGTAGAAAGAATTATGCTGGATAATTCAAATGTTCTTCATCAGGTTATTTTTTCTTATTATTTATTAAGGGCAACAAAAATAGACAAATTTTTTTACATTTTAATTGAACACAGAAAACCCAAATCAAGTACAATACCGAACAGAAAATGTGTTTTTGAGCTTCTAATCAAATTACAACCTCATACAACTAAATATACCCAGCCGTTTCATGCCTTGGGACCTGTGGAGATAGTCTATGCCTTTTTGGACAAATGCATCATCCCCAAATTAGTTAAAGAAGTCTACTTGTGTTCATATACGTAAAACTACACACAGATGAACACGGATGGTGTTGTAAAAACACTCAACGCACTGTTTATGGACTACTTTTTATGAAATACTGATACTTTCGCTGGAAAACTATGACAAGCATGCAGGTGAAATTAGAAAATTGTTCAAAAGTCCATTTACTCATAACACGCAGAGATTTATAAAGCCTTTTTTAATGATGTTGGTTTACAAGATCACAGCTCGTAAAAGATATCTCTGAAAATTAGAATAGTTGGAAAATGGACTGTCTGCCATTATCGTCAGAGTTTCACCTGTGTTTTTATTGTAATCCTGCATTAGCTCCAGCATTGATGTTGAGTTGCATCCAATAAATAACATATTTGAAAACATAATATTTGAACATGTTTTAGATAGCTTCCTTTGAGGGTTGTAAAAGAATTCTTATCTTATCTAAAGGTACACAAAGGTACAGTAAAAGTTCACGTTTTACGCAATGCGATAATTTAGTCATTGATTCTTTAAATGTTCGTCTTTTGAAGAAGAACAAAACAAAAACAGCGTGACAACAATAGTCGTACCTAATCCTTCACAGAACATTTTCTCAGAACATGGCATTTTAATTCATTATGCCTAAATCTACTGCTCGCTGTGTGATGCCAACCAGAAAATGTTTTTTTGGGACCAGATTGTTTTTCAATGAGAATGCCATTTTCCATAACACCGGAGCAGGTCGCTTTGAAACGTGAGCCATCGTCGTTAAACCACCGTCTGGACCGGCCCTTTGCAAATCTGTGAAACCAGGACCCAACAAACATAATGGATCCAACATCACATGAATATACATGAAATAATAGTTTTTTATTATTTTGGCTTGTGTGAGACTTTGGCTTGTCTATACTTTGAAGACATTTCCAACTAGTTAGAACAACTTTAATACATTTTACATTCAAAGACTATTTTCATTCTAACCACACAGAAAAAGTCTGCATTAAGACTACTGGAGTTAGCAATGTTTTAATAATAACATTTGAGGGGGAAAATTGACAATGACAATGGTGCACTTGGAGAGCACATACCCCGCCTACATCTTCACATGCTCTTCTATCATCAGAATTGCCTGTTCCAATGTGTGCACATATCTGGATAAATGCAGTATATCTGCCCATAATGGAATGTACAGTGACCGTGTACACAACATCCTAAGTTCAACATATCTCTAAATAATTCAGCATTTGCTCTTTGATATTTGCAACCATTGAAATTTGGAAATATCCGCAGCCTTAATGTATCTTTATTATCTTCCGCTCGGAGATCCCCTTTCGCCGCAGCACGTCCCCAAAGCTCCATATCAGTGGAAATACCCCGCGTCTGCACAGTTCAGCAAAACGCGTAATTTACAACACGCTCGGCTCATTGGGGGTGATTCATTTCTCGAGGGTGCGTTGGTTTTCTGCACAGCTGCGTCTCCCACATGCTTATGAACACCAGGTGCTCGTATGTGCGATCGGCCCGGGCTGGGTGTGGTCCTTGTTCGCTGCCGGGGCCAAAAGGGACAAAACGGTCCATCTTCAGGCTGTTAGCCACAGAGAGTTCACTGTCGCACCCGGAGGAACAGGCTGGGATTGTCAGGGGCCAAATTAATTAACACTGATGAATAACTCGAGTGCGAACAGAAAAAGACAAGCTTATCTGTGCTGAGAAGAGGCCGTCCCACGTCGATGGTGGACGTTATAGACATATTGCTCAATTGGACAGCAGTAATTATGAGCACATTTTTCTTCTTTTCTCCTGAGTTGGCATTTCTGGATGGTAACATACATTCCAATGTTGTATTTAATCATTCCAATACATTCTTGCAAAGGCGGAGACATGAACCAGAGTGGCTTTTGTGTAAATATATGTACAGATGGTTTGTCACTGTCACCAGGGATGAAGTAATCAGACTTTTTTTGAGAGTTTTTTGCCAGACCATTGATAAAATACAACCATTAAATGTGAAATATCAAAGTAAAGATGTATATTTGTATTTTAGGTCAAATCAAACATTCTGGGATTAATCAGGACCTGTCTAAACTCACAATCAAAATATTGTTTGGAAATAGTTAATACAGACTTTTCTTGTATTCCTCATCGATCTTTTTGTATTATTACAGGCCTCTACATTTTATTTTTTGAGAAATTAGCCTCTGCAGTGAAATGAGAATTGTTAAAACCCATTACATGCGGGTTCAAATCAAATAGTTTGAAGTCATGAGGTTTTTGAAGTCCAGGTAATTTTTGGCTTTTGTTAATAGACCTCCATGTGATAGGCTAAATGCAATGATTATAAGACTAAAATGAGTTCCTATACTAGCCAGTTTATCTCTTTTAATCTAATTTGACAGGTCACTAATATGTCTATCTACTTTGTGGACATGCCAATATGCATCATAGGCAAGGCAAGTTTATTTGTTTAGCACAATTCATACACAAGGCAACTCAAAGTGCTGAACAAAACAAGAAAGCATTAAAATCATAAATAATCACAGTACATTAAAAAGAAAGATAAAAATATAAAATCCCTCAGTTGTATGCACAGCTAAACAGAACTGTTTTTCATCATCATCATTATTTTATGATAGTGTCATTTTTTAGACTTTTTTTGTTGCTTCCCCTGATTAGTTTTTATTATCATGATTTATCAATATATTTGCCAGTGGGACATTAACAAGTAAATTACCAACATTACATGCACTATATCCAACTTATATTTCAACTTATAGGTTCATGTTTTGCTGTTAATGCAATCTCTTAAACCTTGTCCTTAACTTGCCCATGTTTTCTATAGTTTTATCTCCTTATTCACCGTCTCATCCTCTCAATGTGCGTTTTTCCATCCTATCTTGTTTCTATGGGGACGCGCCGTGGTCTGCGTTTGTCTTTGGGAGGGGCCCGTTGTGAGAAAGACGAGAAAGAAAGTCCTTTTTCATGATCTTCAATATTAATTGTGATAGAAGCAGACGTTTAAGAGAATAGAAAGAGCAGGGCGGCCGTAATAACTAATGGTCCCTGATTAACACTGGGCTGTAATGCCACGCCCTGACCCCATCCATCACCGCATCCTCATCCAAAGGCCACAGCAAGGGCTCATTATCCCAACATGCTTGTAGACGCAAGATTGAAATTAGTTAGAATTATGGATCACCTTAATTCCACTGTATTTAATCTACTGTAGAACTAAGAAATTAATCTGTAAAAATTATAATCGCACAATATAAACTTTTTAGTCACTTTTTTCCATATGATTCTAAAAAAAGTGTATGACAGGTTTTTAAATATGGTCTCTTTCTATCTTTTTTGTGGATTGACACCTTTTAAAAATATATGAATGATAGTTTTACAGTCAGAAATGATGATGAAAAGTTGGAACGTTGGTTCAGACATAAAGAACGGAAGACGTCAGACCTGAAACTTTGGCAAACACAAATTGATGACAATTTAATAAAGTGTCGTCTTTTAGAGGAGATTGGCTCAATATCCAACATTGTTTTTAACTACAATGCCTATAGCACAATGCTTCATAATACAACTAGGAAGCAAGAATGTAAGTCTATAAAAGTCAATTAACCTAATAATCTTGGCATCCCTGTAGTCCCAGTTTTTATTGCGTCCAGTTCTTTATAATAAAAGGTTGCCCTCACTTTTACAACTATTTTCTCTTCCCCCTTTCTCTCCTCTTGTCTTCCTCATATTCTTGACCTGTCATAATGATTAGATCGATACATTAACTTTTACTAAATCATAGTTTGCACAATATCAATAACTATTGTTAGATAGAAATAATAGAAATGGCTTTTATTCAACAACAAAAACAGGATTAAATGTGCGATTCTCTGGTGTAGATTTTGAATGATTATAAGTAAATAGTGTCCATTTATGTTGCGTCTTTCACAGACAAGGGTCACACAAAGATCTTCCCATACATACAATAGAAAACAGACAAAATTATTTAATCACAGAACTAGTATAACATTGAGTGGTACCATCAAAAGGTACTACAATGTTGTGTTTTTATTTATATTCTAAATAACAATACAAGATTATCACTAGATTATCACCCGGTATTGAAATTGGGTATCCAGAATATTTCTTCGTATCAGAATTGAGTTCTTGACATCTATCTTGACAACACTTAAAAGGACTCGGCTTTTTTGGCCCCGTCTCAGAAATTAGATGGTAATGCAAAAAATATATTTTTCCCTCATTGTTAGTGGTTACTATTTAAATAACCCTGATTAGAAGTCCCCATCCCCCAGTTATAGCATGTATTACCACTTAAACTTAAAAGCTCTGAGACTTCTGTGGTAGTTGTGGATGAGGTTCTGTATTTTCTCTGATGGCAAAGCTACACATTCTTCTTGGCGAAAATCCTCCAGTTCCGAAAAATTCCTGGACCACCTTGCATAAACTCCCGCATTTGAAATCTCCCCAGACTGGCTCAAAGATACTTTAATTAAAAACAGAAAACATGTTTATTTGACAATACATAATGTCACACAACCTCAAACAAAGAGTGGGGGGGAATAAAGCATGCATGTTTCATAATCAAATTCATAAACAAGACCAAAACAATGAAATCTCTGGCATTCTTGTATTTCTCCTCCCCTTCCTCGTCTCCTCACTGCTGCGTACCGAAGTCGTCAGTGCCACGCGTTCAGAATTGCCGTTGCTAGGAGATGGCCCTGTTGCCGTGGCGCTGGTCGTTAGGTGGTCCTCTCGATGGAGACGGGAGCAGACGCTGGTCAGAGGTGCAGCGGCGGATTATAACGTTAAGTGCAGCTCCCCTCTGCTCAGACTGGTTCGAACTTTTGACAGTTGATATTAGACGCCAGTTTGAAACAAAGAAACAGCCTCTGGGGATTTTGTAGAAGGTTGCATTGATTAAGTAATGATGTCAGAGTGATCGATCCAAAATATACAGACACTGGTGCTCTCCGTAGCTTCTCTTTAGCTATTTTTTTATTTTCTTCTGTTTTGTATGCCCTATGCTGCTCAAATGGCTTGCCCCTTGTGGGATAAATAAAGTAGTCTGAATCAAAATCTGAGTCTGAACTTATATATACTCCAAAAACTGACAATATTAGACTGTAAACGTGGGAACCAAGAAAGAATTTATTTTAATTTGTAAATTCAAGTCTATTTAAATTGTCGTTCTTAACCTTTAACGGTCGCTAAAGTCTCTTCTGAATCCTTTCTATATATACTTGTACATACATATTTTTATTTTTACATTCATCTTGCGTTAATTGTTAATACAAAGTTTCAGGTCTCCATCTTTTTGTAAATTCATATCCAGTTTTTTCATATGTATATCAATTTTTCTTAAAAAAACACCAAAATTATTTACTTTTGATTTTTTTCTGATCGGTTGCAGTGACAGAATGCAAATAGTTGACATTTTTTGATTGTCACACAAAAATACCAATAGGTAAATAATCTTGATAACATAATTGCAGCTATATTTTCAGTTCATAACTGTTTTTAGACATGATAGAAGTCGGAAAAGGCCTCAGAGGTGCATTGTGTGTGTCACAGGGGAGGATGTGCGGGTGTGTAGGAGCGAGGATGATGAGTCAGGGCTGAGTGGGTTGCCATCATTCTTGTTGACCGCCCTCTCCAGGTCACTTTCATTTTAACATTTCACAGTTAATTCCTCCGGTTTAAGTTATCCGTCCATGCTTTGTTGTCGAAACCATAGCAACGCATTCTGGATTTCAACTGAGCTCATATTGGTCTTTACATAATTGTACTAAAGTTTGAAATGAATATTGCTCCTCTTTTAGACATTTTAGTTTCATTTGTATACTTTAGCAAAGACTTAATTTTAAATCAGAAACAAAATTGGACTCCATACCAAGCACATCGGGGTAAAACAATGTTACTTAGCTGTTTTACATTATTTCAACAGGAAGTCAATGAGCTGGTTTCTGCCGTTTTAGGTCAATATTGGGCGGCACAGTGGCTGAGTGGATAGCACTCTCGCCTCTCAGCAAGAATGTCCTAGGTTCGAATCCCGGTCGGAACAGGGCCTTTCTGAGTGGAGTTTGCATGTTCTTGTGTAGGTTTACTCCGGGTGCTCCGGTTTCTCCTACCACTAAAAACATGCATGTAAATTGGAAAGTGAATGGATGGTGTCGATTGGGGGCTGATGCGCCAGCGTGTGGAATGATTGGAACAATATCTGAACATTGTGCAGCGCTTTGGGTGACCTTGATCTGTAAAATGCGCTATATAAATAAAACATTACATTACTTACTATTGTAGAACATAGTGAAAAAACTCCTCACAAAATACCCTGTGCTGAATCTCTGATTTTGAGACAATGCATGTGTCTAACAATAATCAGATCAGTTTTTTCTATATGGTAACGATGACTTTTGTATGCTCATATTTGAACATGTTTAAAAAGAGACGTATGACTGGAAATTGACTTTTTGTTATTCTAATTCTAAAACATTAGATCACAAAATAAGCCTCATCATCATTTAATGCCCCGTAATAATGTAGAATATTTCATGGGCAGTACTCTGGCGCAGTGGTTAGCGCTTCTGGGTTTGACTCCACCTCCATGCCTTTCTGTGTGGAGTTTGCATGTTCTTCCTGTGTCGGCGCAAGTTTCCTCCGGGAGCTCCGGTTTCCCCTACCATCAAAAATCTGTAAAATAGGTTTGGTATGCACCTCTTGTATGGCGACCCCGCTCCCATCTCTCCCATCATATGCCCCGTTAAAAATAAAAAATAAACGACCATAGTAAAGCGCTTTGTGACGATTACTTGGTGCTTACTATTTCCCTACACTGGCCGTCTTCAATGTGGCTGATTCTTACACATACACACAGACATAAGTTCAGTTCAATGTTCAATTATTATTCATCTCAAACACAAACAACTAGGCCTCCATTACCAAAAATGTGAATGCAAAGTTTTAAAAGGAGTTGGAAGCAGCAGACACTTATTTGGCTCCAACCATGAAGGTTCTCAAGATCATGTTTAAGGGCCAAAATCAACACAAATCATGTAGAATTTATATATTTTTCAAGTGTCACTCTTTTGTACCAGTCAGACGTTTATACAACTGGCTTTATAAATAAATCATGTTGCCATACCGCTTCACCACATCTTGTTTTGGTTTGCGGTGCTGTAGCGTTGTCTGCGGACCATCTTTTCCCCACCTCTCCACCGCCGCCTCTCATTTCCCTTCAAACATTATTAAAGTCCGCTCCAACAACGTGATTTCTCATATACTGCACATTAGGCGAGAGCACGGACCACGTAATTTGTTTTACTGTGAGGAGGCAGCGGGAACAGAGTCGTCCCAGAGCGCGGCGTGCATATGTTTTTAAGATTATGTGAGCGGAATGTTACAGCTGCTGCTACAAAATGTGTTCTGTGCATCTGTCCGTCTGGATTTATGCACATGGTATAATTCCTCTGCATGTTCTTGTTTTTTAACTTCATAATTGGGACGTTTATTTGTATAGATTGTACCGTACATACGCCGTTAGTGTTAAAAGTTGCATGTAGATTTTCATACATGTCACTGTAGGCGCTGAATATGATCAACTTTGGGGTGGGTCAATTAGAATATTATATACTAGAATAAACTAATATCTTCTCAGTTGGAAAATGTGAGAATTATGCAAAAGTATCACCGGATTGACTGAATGAATAATAAACTCATGTGAAATATATAAATTACGACCTAAGAACTTGGTGACAATTCTTGTGTAATCACTTTTTTTAATAAAACATGTGTTTTCAGTAACAGTCAATAAACTACTTATTTAAACTCATCTCAAAGTTTTACAGTGCGTTGTTGTGTTGGACAGTGTTAGGATCCTGTTGCTGTGAGACTTAAGTGCCACTAACAATGTTATTATTTAGTTCCCTTTCACACCTTTTTCTAAATCGCATTTAGTATTTAATGAACTGTGCCCAAAAGTCGTCCCACAATCCCACAGCGTTGGCTGCAAACAGATTTTATTGTAATGTCATGATATAAATATGCAAAAGTTGAACTTCAAAGTTGCTCATTGAGCAGTCCTGTTAGGAACTGGGTGCTGCGGAGGCCAAGGCAATAAATGATGCTGGAACACAGTTCAGAAAATGTGTTGTAGAAATCCAGTCTTGTGGACGTGAGGTTTTTACTAAAGATGCAAAAAATATGTTTAATGTTGTAGCACTGCGCAAGAAATTATTGAATAAAATTAAAGATGCATTGTGTCTGCCTGTCTCTGCCTGTGTCTGTGTGTCTGTGTGTCTCTCTCTGTCTCTCTGTCTGTCTGTCTGTGTGTCTGTCTGTCTCTCTCTGTCTCTCTGTCTGTCTGTCTGTGTGTCTGTCTGTCTGTGTGTCTGTCTGTCTGCTGGGCAGAGCCTCCTACTTTCAAAGTCTCTTTGACCAATCAAACAATTGGAGTTGAAACAACAAAGTGAAGACACTAAATGTCTTTTGGCAATCTCCTTGTAACCCAGACGTCTCTTCTTTAATTTGCAGGTCGGCGATGCCATGAGGAAGATGCAGGAGCGAAACAACATCGGCAAAGTCATCCTCACCACGGAGCCGATGCCCGAGGAGGAGAAGAAGGAGGAGGCCAAGAAGGAGGACAAGAAGGAGGAAAAGAAGAAGGAAGACAAGAAGAAAGAAGACAAGAAGAAGGACGATGGAAAGAAAAAAGAGGAGAAAAAAGAGGAGAAGAAGGAAGAGAAAAAAGAGGAGAAAGAAGAGAAAAAGGAGGAAGAGCCTAAGAAAGAAGAGAAGTGAAGGACTGGGTATTGGAGTTTCTGTCCTGGGAACGGGGGGCGTGGTTTGGTAGAAGGGCGTGGAAATGGAGGTTATGCAAGGAGTGTTTAGGGTTCACTGTTACCGATACAAGCCTATAAAGTTGGAATAATTTGAATTTCACATGTTTTTTTCCTAAAAGTTGTCCTTGGCTTTGCCCGCTCTCACGGCCTGAGCTAAGCAACAACGCCACACATATTTTTCTTCCATTCCCCCATTCTTTCTGCCTTGTGTTGTTGGCATTGGTTACTTACACAGCCCCCGTTAATACATGCTTGACGATGTTATTTCTTTCTTCAGATTATTATTATTCCAACTCTATGGCCAGGTGTATATTTACATTCACTGTCATGACATTCGCTGTCCTCCACTGTCATACTGCACCACCACTGCAAAGTATAGCCCCGTTTACCCAGCAACTGTGTTCTAACTTGATTTGTCCCATTTTCAAAATCAATACATTGAGCCGAAAAGCTGATAATGATGTGCATTTCTCCCTAAGCAGTAAACAACACTACTATAGTATTTGAAACCACACCATTGTGTTTATACTGTGAATGAATCGTGTGTAAAGGGGCTATTTTTCTTCTTTTCTCTCCATTTAGTTTATATGCACAATCCATGTCACTGGCATTTACACATTATGTCAATTCCCTTTTTGAGTTCTAGTTTCTCCATCCAGAAGTGGCACTGGCACAATATGCAACACAAATGGGGCTTTTGTACCAAATTTCTTACAACTTCTACGTATGCAAACCTGGTATGCAAGCCATTTTAGCCATTTGTAAGACGGTATATGCCTTATTGGTTGTAATGGGACCATCAAAAACGCGCAATGGCAATCGAATGCGATGTGGTTTTAATCCTACAAAACCTTATCAGAGGTGAATTATCAAAACGCCATTAATCTGGGGAGAAAAGCCGATTAGCATATACAGCGAGTAGTTAATGGGTGTAGTTGTAAACGCCAGTGATAATTGTGCATATAAAGTAGGTTTTAAATTAGTCGAATGTCGGAGAGTTTTAAAAGTATAGCCTTATAACGAAACATTGACGATCCAGATTTCCTTGACCAATCCATGCCTGCCCTATAGCCCCATGTTTCCTCCTTACTCCCGCTGCTGCAAAGTGGGTCTTTCTTTCCCCCTGCCCCATTCTCACTGCTTTCACCCATCCTCACAACCACCTTAACTGCCCCTGCGTTTGTACCGGACCCATAGGCAAGAAAAGAAAACAGGCAATTTTACCAAACACACTCAGTTATCGGCTTGTCCTACACACGCTTTGCCAGAAAACAAAATGTATCAAAGAGTCCATGCTTTAAAATGCCTTAAATAGTCACATCTCTTCTCATCCTCTTCCTATATTTAACCTAAAACTTTGCTTATGCTTAAGGCTGCTGTAATGTTATCATAAATCGTCAACTTGATCCACCTGTGGCACACATTTTATCATATTTATAGACAATGCCACTCCTGTTATTCACTGCGTTAGATCTAGAAACTTGCCGAATAGTGAGCAGATATAGTCGACTTTGAAAGAGCCAGTACTGGTTGCCGGAATATGAATTTTACTGCATAATGAGCCTTTCTTGAAAGACTTGAATGGCGAGGCAGAAATCATTGCTCAGCTACTTCCCCCATAGTTACGGCTTTTTTGTCGAGGTCCAACAGTTGGCAACAGGCAACAGCTTCTAATTAAAAGAGTATTTGTTTTTCACACACACTAATACAGTCAGTGAAGTGCAGTGAAATGAAGCATAGGCCGCACAAGAAATACCGCTGCTTTCTTAAATAATACATACCTGGTTTAATTGAATGTGATTTGCATAATTTCGAGAGATTAGTTTCACCCAAATGCCCAATTAAACCCTGTATATGTATCCGCGCTCATTCAACTGTGCGGTATGAACGCAGCATTTAAGAATTATATTGGGTAACTAGAATATGATTGCTTGGAACAAACAAATTTGGCTTTGATATTTTTTACACCAAAATATCCTTCTACTCCATATATTTGGGCTCGGAAGTATAGCACAAAGTCGGCAATGCAAATAGTCAAGTTTGTAATGGGGATTTCAGCTGTTGCGGTTTTGAATTACAAAACGTGGTGTAGTTAAAAATGCGACTTAAGTTAACAGTCTCACAGCACTTAGTCATACATTTTAAAATTTGCAATTTCAAATACAAGACCAACTCACCTAGACTTTTTGCCAGAACCAAGCAGCACTAGCACAGAAAACTGAAAAACTGGTACAATATGTGTAATTACAGTGATATGTCTGAATGTTTTGCCAACACAAGATTTCACGTCACCCAATTACTTTAAGATTCCACTTTGGCCTTTGACATTCTTCACAGCGTATTTGTCAATGGGTTAGACTTGTGGTTATTGCGTTGGACTTTTTTTTTTTCTCCCCCTCTCTCTCTCTCTTTTTCCTCTTCATTTAGCTCCGGATGGTCGGCATAGCAACAGGCGTCAGAGATGGCACTGTGCTGGTTTTTTCCCCTCTCTCTCTCGCTCGCTCCTGCCTTTCTGTGTTCAGTGATTATTAGTAGTAACAAGCCTTTTACGTACCCTTTTTAAAGAGAGTGAATTGAATATAAAATGGGGGTTTTTGACAAGGTGCACTGAACGAGCAGCAGTAACAGACATCTACACGTGTGGTCCGCTCAAAAGAATGAGTAGCATTGTTGTAGTAGCTTTGATTTATGTCACGTTTGAGAATGGCACACATGGATTTCAAAATGTTTCGCGAATTATTGAAACTTAACAAATATTTAAATTGTTTGTATAGTCAGAAGGAGGCTTATAAAGCAAACGTTTACCAATATAGCACCCATATCAACACATCCCCAGTATAAAGGGTATAAGACTGGATTACTTTAGACAAATATCTGTGTATTTTCTAACATACAAGCAGTCCACAATACAACACATCCACAAAGAGTGTGTTTTGTTGGTATTAATGGGATTAACCAAATAGTCTTAAATTTCCCCATAATGCCACGCACTGAAGGACCAAATACTTCCCAAGACATTTTTCCTGTTTCTTGCCTATGCGTCCGGGGTCTCAGATGGTGACTAGTGACTTTGTAAAAAACAAAAAGTAAAAAAAAAGTGATAAAAAATTGACATAAAGTTGTGGTGTTAGCATGAGAGGCCTCCCTCCTGTGCTGTATGGTGTGCCATTGTGCGTGTGCGTGTCCTCAGGTCGATATACATTAAAGGGGATTTACAAAAGCATCTATTCATGGGTTTCAGACTGAAGTAAAGAAAAAAAAATAATGCTCCGTTGCCATTTCAATTATTAAATCAAAACATGACATCTTTTGAGTGGTGCTCAAAATGGCGCCTGTAAACCGGACACTGAAACCTATGGATACCACGCCTTCCTCCTTCCTTCTCTCCTACACTTCTTCTTCTTCTTCTTACACTATGCTACGATTCCGCTGTAGCATTTACCCCCTTTATCCCTGTATTTTCTGTCACTTCCCCCAGTCACAAGAGGCCTGTGTGTTAAGAGGACGTTGGTATTAGTATTTTTGCACTCTGCTCGCTATTGATGCACTTAAAAAGCTCATGGCGCCCGCACTCCGGTCCCCACGGACGACAAATTATGAGCTCTGTTTCAGTTTCAAAACAGGAATTTAAAAAGAGCATTCAAGACTGTTGCCTGTTGCCGCTTACTCACTGCAGACTGGAGTATCTAATTTGCTAAAAAATAAAAAAAATAGTAAAACTAAGATTCATATTGGCTGTGTGAAGCATTCTGCCAGGATAAATATTCAATCCATTTCAATGTTTTTGTTTCCAAGATTTTCCGTTGCCATTTCCAGTAAAATATTCAGCCAACGAAGGAGATAGGTTTGGCCATATCGAGTTTATTTTGAAAAAACAAAAATCTCTGTTTTGCAAAAATGTAAAACGTTTAATCAATTGATTAACAACCGGCTTTTTTTTATATAACAATTCATTTTTCTCGTTTTTTTTTTCAATTGGGACATATGTGTTTTTCAAAATTAACTCTTTAATCAATTTTGGCTACCAATTCTGATGTTTTTAGAGGTGAAAACGAGTCTTATATGGAAACAAGCAACATAGAATGATTTTATTTAGAAAAATTACTTCTACTATCTGACACTGTTTTTTTTTTTTATCTGCTGTCTCTTACCTGTCAAAACCATGGATAAGACATAGATACTCATTTTTGCAGTGTTCTTGGGTGGCAGCTCAAATAAAAAAAACCTCCACTTTTTCCCCTCATCCTTGTCTGTGTGAAGGGAAAAGCGGAGTGGATTTCTCTCTGGGATCGGAGTGAGAGTGCCACGCTTTGCCGGTGCGGGGAGTGACTGTGTAATGTCAGCCAATGGTTAGTGTTGTTCTAATCCGCTGGACTCCCTTTGTGAACCTGTGGATGGTGCCATCGCTTCAAAAGATAAAAAAAGATGACTTATGTTATGATTTACTGAAAAAAATGTTATGTTTTAATTTTACGTTTATATTATTTTTCTGTTTGTTTATGTTATCTGAAAAGTTCAAAGCTCATAAAAATGTCCAGGGACCTGTCAAAAAACGTGCACTCCTTACTTTTTTTTCTTGAAATGTGGTTCTGTTGGTCCAAAAAACCCATGTGTGCCAAAATGTATGTACTTTCTCCTCTGTCAATGCTTTGGATATTAACAGTGCATAAAAAGATATTAAGACAATTCTGTTTTTTGGATGCATTTTCCGTCAAATATATCGATTTGTGTCTTAATCTGTGTCCCAAATACAGGTGCTTATTCGCAATTTATGACTTGTTTACTGCCCCTTTTTTCCGCCTTTTAGCACAACTCACCAATGGTTCAACCTTCCACTGCGGTTTTCAGCACTCACACAGGGCTAGAATCTATGAAGATGAAGATTAAACAGCTCTATTTGACACACATACAAACATATTTAGTTGTTTCAAAGAGCTTTCACCACTGGGATTAATTCATGATTCATCACCATATAGTAAATATTCATCCATACTACTTTTTTAGGGAGTGGTAAATCACTCTGCTTTGGGCTGCAATTTCAAAGTTAAATTATTTTGACTTGACGCTGCAAAAAATATGTGTACTATTCTGTATAATTTCAAGAGTGTTATGCACTTTTTTAATGGTTTTTTCATCATGAATGGAAAGAAAAGAAGCTAATGGAAAAAAATTCAAAATGCAAAAATACACTTCTTGCTGATAGTTTCATGGCAAGTTTATGATTTCTTCTCAAGTCAATATCTGTAACCCACTTTTGCTTTCAAAGTTTCATTTTTGCAGTGATATAATGGAGCTTCAAACTTGCAAAGCCAAAAGTGGATCCACGGAAGCGTCAAACTCATGCATTGTACATTTTTATTCACTTTGTCTTTTTCCGTCTGCTTCCAAGCGGTTTGTAAGATGCAGATGTTTTCACACTGAGATGTCATGATTGTCCCACAGCTCCAGTATAAACCCAGTAGTATTTTTTTTGTGTGGAATAGCCAATCGGTGTCCAGTTCGAGCCAGTTCCAGACACGACATTTCCTCTTTGCATCTGATCCTGGTCCATTTCAGACTTACTCCATCCTCCTCTTCAGCAGCACCAAGCCAGAACCATGCTTTTTTTTTTCTGTTCAAAAACTCATGACATCTGGATTTTGGAGTCCTCCATCACCATATGGAAAACAGATTTTAATCTCCAGGCTGCAGCGTTTGTCTTCATGTTGTTTTAACCGAGATGCCTTTGAGATGAAGTCAATAAATTACATGTCTATGTTTTATTAATGTGGTTTTGGATTGGCCCACCCTGTTTGTTATTAGATGCTTGCAGTCCAGAAATGTATGAAACCTAATCGTATGTGAAAATTTACAAGACAAAAAGTATTCGTCCAAACTATTGTTATAACGGTTAGGAATCTTTAAAGCAGGGGTTCCCACACACTTCAAGTTCTAGCCGAAGCGGTTGCATTTGTATTATGAGTCTGGTTTTATAACATAAGACCAAGAGAACCTTAATTTGTCCTACAGTGGATACATTTCAAATTATTTTTCAATGTTGGGGACATTTTATATGGATTTTCAGCTGTGGACAAATATGTATAATATCAAAAGAGAAGTATGTGGGCTTTCTTTTGGTTGAGAGAATTCATCAAAAAATAATAATCAACTGTTATGATTTAAGCAGTGTCAAGCAATGCTCTTGAAAATTGAAGTGGTTTAAGTTATTTTGACAAAAAAGAGCCAAAAATATATATATCAATTTCATACATGGTGGAGGTAATGCGTTTCAGCTCTATGACGCAAGTACATTTACATTATTATTACTCTAGTACTCATAGGCATCAAAGTATTGGAGTGAGAGGAAAAAGTATCTCTTCCCATTGTCTAAAATTGGCCAAGATGCAGCCAGACCACAGCCCCCACGTTCTCCTCAATCCCTTCAGCATGGACACTGTTCCTATGGTGTATTTTTTTATCTCTTGGAATGCTTCAAAATCTCCCTTCATATATATATTTTTTTCACTTTTTCACATTGACATTAAACCATCAATCAGAAGTATTTTCTCATGCTAGCTAACCCGGACTTCCTGCCCCTGGATTGTGTTTTGCATTTTTTCCTGTCTCCAAAAAAAAAGAAAAAATATTGGCAGTTCTTGTCTCGACTAGTTTTGTTTTTTTGATCCTTTTGAATTAATGCTGCTTTTGTGCTTGGGTAAATTGACTGCGTGGCGGAGCTTGTAACGCTTCGATGTGTAATGTAATGTTACCATATGCCTTACATGTTTTCCAGGACTAATAAAAAGCATAACAAAAACAACAGGGAAATTTGGTCTTTATTTCTAAAAGTTGTCATAAAATATAAAGGAATTCATATAATCTGTGTATATCCAAGTGCAAAATATACATATCTATACAAAACGGTGTAAAACAAGAGAATGTATCAAATATCAAAAGTGGTAGATTGGACTGATTTGTGTAAAAACAATAAAAAAATTGCTTAATAAACATAACATAGTGGTTTATCAAAGAACAGGAAGGAATGTCTGAGAAAGTTGTGATCGGCGACTACGGGATTCCGAGGCTTGTCAAGACCTCCGACATGCGGCTCAGGTAAGTCGAGTCTGGATACCCACTTCTGAAACAAAAAAACATGATTAAATCACAAGGTACATGTAGTTTCTTTATACTGCAATCTATATAAGTATATACATGTTTAACTGTCCAAACTGTTTAAATAAAACTGCCATCATTCATACACTAATAACGCATACAGCCAATGTAATCATGCAACATTTTCTTCACTTCGGACATTTGACTTTCACTCATGCACTACTGCTGCAGCACAAATTTCCGCAACTATATTTTAACCAGGCTAGAATTATTAGATTGTAAAATGAGTGAGTATGCATCTGTTGGCCTTGTCTTAATCCAGTTTACATGGTAGAAAGGGTTTGATCCAGTAATTTCAAATGGACTCAATTGAAGCTTGAGTCCATTTGTTCAATAAACTGGAGTAGGTGAGTGGTCAGGTTCTCACTAGTGCTTTGTAAACATACTATGTTTTTGTCCCGCACTAGTATATTAATTATCCCATATGAACAACTTATGACATGACTCACGCCGCCTTCCCCTCTTGGAGGCTGGTCTTGTGTGGGATGCTGTCCCACTGCACTCTGCCCCCGATCACAGCGAAGGTGTGGCCCCTACTTAAGGCCTCCTGCAGTCGGGGCAGCAGCTTTCGCGTTGGCTCACAGTCAGGGAGAAACGCCTCAAATGTACCCCCTTTGAATGGCTGTCCCGGAAACACATCAGACTCCTGTGGCGGAAGAGGAAATGGTAAAATCACAAATAAGTCATTTAGATTATTCTTATTTACATGAATAATTAAAAGACACAATATAGCAGTGTACAAGTACAGCATATTTTAATTGTGGCATTATTTGCAGTTTTACGGTTTTGTTCATTCTTGAGAATTTTATATTTTAATATCCATGGGTTTCCCCTTTCACTCAATATTTGGAGAACCATGACGTTCCAATATTTACAGTCAGAATTATGATCAATTGTCATAGCAACAGTCCATATTTGTCATTATTCTGAAACTGATACTGTAAAGCAGATTTCCATAGTTGTAACAGCAAGCACAGATGTAAAATTCACCCTCTTCGTATTTCCAATGGGAAACTAAAAACATATTTAAACATTCCCTTAAGAATCTTTAGGGAAATGTTTTGTTAATTAGAGGCAGATTATCCTCACCACGTTGAAGAGAGGAGATTATGTACAGTGTATATACAGTAGCTCAACATTTATATTGATCATATCATGTTCTTGGTGCACTTTGGATAAACATGTACTATAGTATTCTGCCACGTCAATCCTCAATAAAATCAAATGAAAGATTCTCACCCCTTGAATGCCGTCTGGAATGGAGTAGGTGATCTTGACCACTGGATGCTTGATATGTCCTGGTAAACTCATGGGCAGAGTCGCATAGGTCATGGTTCCCTTTATGCCCCGTGCTTTCCGCTCCTCTGCTTCACACGTCCTGCATGCAACGTGCAGATAGCTCGCACAGGTCGGACATATGGTCAGTTCACATGTGGTCATCTTCACTGATTCTTTTGCTATTCCACAATAAACGCACACCAGATATTCTACTGCAGTCTTCTGTCTATTTGATTTAGTTTTATCATTGCGAAAAGTCACTGATCCGTTGCCGTTCATGGTTGAATCTTGAGCGTGTTGTCCAACCATTTCCAAACCAGCAGGCCTCTTCACCTTTTCTTTAATAACCGCGTCTTTTCTTGGTGAACCTACTCCACTCGAGTCATTCATTTTTCCATTGTGACCCTTGGGTGAATTTTCTAAACTGTCCGATGCACTTGACATCAAAGGCCGTGAGTGATTTTGGTGTCCGGGCAAAACGCTGGCACCGGAGAAAACTTCCAGAAGCAAAGCTGAAACTTGAGAACAAATAATTTGCGGCCCCATAAGATACAAACTGTTGTTAGTGATATCCATTGACAATTTCTTATATCGGCTACGGATTTCCTCGCAACATGCCTGTAAAGTTTCATCGGTTGAATCTACAACTCCAAGCTCTCGAAGAGATAAACAATAACATATGAAATCTACGTTGACTATATCAATAAGGTTCTGTAAACCTTGCTGGCATGCCAAGACTTTTGACCCATTTTCCCCCGTTAAAATAACAGTCATGTAACTACCTCCCTCTGGAATCCTTTCCCTCAATTGGACACCGGAAGTTAACTCCTTGACCCTAGGATCGAAAGCTTTTTTAATATACAACCACTCGATTTGGCCAACAGTTACTTCGGCGATCTCTCCACTACTAAAACTCGAAGATCTCCCTCTACCTCCTCCTGCCTCTGTATCTCTTTTTGGTGAGATTTCTTTATCCTTTTTTTGCGTTGTGCCTGAAAAACTGCTTGTTCGCCTTAAGTTTGATCCAGCTTTGTTTTGTAATTGCGGTTCTACGCGGTTTGACTGGTCTGGAATAGCAGAAGACGTTTTGGGCCTGGTGTCTGATAAACCAGCATCTCTACTTGTGTCTTGTGCGGTTGTGTAGGTATTTTTAGTTGTTTCTGAGAGCACATCATAGGCTGGCATCGGGCCTTGTCGCTTATTGGTCGACTGTGTGTGTCCTCGTACTGCGAAATCACTTGTTTTTCTTCCTACAGGAGCAAGGCGCGAATCTTTAAACTGCGCGGCTAGTTTGAACCGAGGAGAACCTTCCCCTTTAGCCTCGTTCTCCTCCTTATCAAGACCATTACTGTCCAAAGAGTTTACGATGGGGGGCTTTACTTCACTTCCAGGCCAAGGCTCTTGAAACCTTCTTGGACTTGTTACTTCAGGTTTCTCTTCTTCACTGAGATTATAAAGAATCAGAAAACTCTTTGCTTCTGCAACATCCTCCCTGTTTCCAATAAAGTCAATATTCTGTTCATCTTCACTGAAAAGAAGTCTTGCAAACTTGCTGCTCAGTTTTTCCATCAATCTTTTAAGGTCCACTCTTTTGGGAAGGAACAACTTTGGTAGCTTGTCACGACATATATTGGACTGATTTTCCTCTAACAACCGGACTATTTCTTTCTTTGCCTTCCTTAAGCGCTCTTGGTCGCCAACACTATCGCTGGAAGCATCTTGCAATAGCAGAGTTGTTAAGCCTTCATGTGTGTAGTCCATCACAGCCACCCTGTGCCTTTCAAGGATTTGATAGTAATCTTCTCTACAGTATTTCTGCAAGTATTGAAACGTGTCCGCGTCTACCATTAGCGAAAAATCTTCTTCTGCCAGGGGAGGGCTTGCTGTCGTGCCCTGAGGTTCCCCTTTGTGAGCACCAGGAGTGACCTCTCTTTGCAAACTGGTGTCATGTTTCTCAACGAGTGTCCTTTCTCGTTTATTCTTTACGCTTCTGCTTTGGTCTGGTGATACCTGTGCAGATGGAGGATTTGGCCCGTTCTCATTTCTGGTTTTTTTATCTATAGTACTTTGTAGGAGTCCATTTTGGCCCAGCACCTGAGATAAAACTGCTTGGACTGCAGAGTAGCTGCCACATAATGTGCAAAGTTCCCGAGCTGAATCGTAGTTCATTTGGACATCAGGATGTTTTTTATTGAGGCCACTCAGTGTCTTCTTTGCCGCAGAGAATTGGCTGCAGTCAACAGTAGCTGAGAGATTTATAATGATCTATAAAATATATAAGGAAAACATTATTAATACATATGTGTATGATACCTGCATATACTGGGATGATCTACATGAAACTGGGGAAGCTCTTCTGTCAGAAAAGATGAGATCTATTTCCAAAACGGATTTAGAGAGTACTGGAATTGTTTGAGGCTTTTGATATTTGATTATTCCCATTCAAATCTAATTCAACATGACATTAAAAGACGCATTAAAAGATAAGATTAAGATAAGATTGAACATTAACAGCAAATTGCTTTGCTTTACAAACTGCCACAGAAGTGATGCCAAACTAAATATTCATCCCTCTGCATTAAATCATCAAACCCAAACAAAGTCTAGGATGTCTTAGAAATTCTTCGTTATTTAGTGCTTTACACAAACAGAGAGTGACAAACACACATAACTTTTGTGAGAACGGTTTTGCGTGCTGATCATTTTTACTTCAATTATATATTTATTTATTTGTATCAGAATCACAATCCTTTTAAGTGAGTAACAGAAAGTCACAAACTAGGAAATTGCTTTGGCTCTCGGTGCAAACGTATGTATATTTCAGACCAAGAGGACACTATTGTGTACAGTAAGTTTTTTTCAACAATAATACATTTAAAATAGCCCCACATCTCGGCATAACTTTGAGCAGTTAGATTTGCTGGAGGACAGTTAAACCAATGACAAGGGGCCTCAAGGATATGAATTAATTTCGACCAATCAGGAAGCTACGGGATTGTCTTCAAAAAGTTTCACTCTCTCAGCACGGTTCAAAAAGAAACTGAAATTAACTTTAAGCCTATAGTAATGTCATGTTTTATCATATCACGTGCGTCCTTTCTGTACTTCGAATACCTTGTCTTGGAGCTGGTGTCCCGGATGCTCCTTCACTGTCAAGTTGAATCTCTTTCCGTCCACCTCCAGAAAGTGTTGTGTTTGTTGAATGACCCTCTGTGCCACTGGGGAGAGAGCGAGAGAGAGGTCACAGAGCCAAATGAGTCTCAGTGTGGAAGCATCCTGAGTCAGCAGCGCTCAGCAATGGCCGCTCTGTCGGATCGTACGCCAACATTCCCACAGTTTAAGTCACGGGTATGGAGGCCAACAAGGCACAATCGCCTCGCCAATGTCCACGAGGGAATGGGAGAGATGCCAGTGGAATTGCTTTAACTTGTAGGTAAACAATCCTGGTGCTCAGCTGATGCAACACCACTTTAACAAAGGACAATACCATACATAATAAAGTGCTAAAATGTGATATCTGGTCTCCCTTCACTGACTTGAATTGAGGTTTTTAAACTAGAATGTGTTTATTTTACCATGACTAGGTTTAATCTCCTTTGGTATCTATAATATTTATCTGATTAGCAGCTATTTCTAATGAATTTCAAGAAACATTTACCGGTACTTGACAAATTGTTCTTTTGGTCGCCTTGAGATTTGTAAAGGGCTCTATTAACAAAATTGATTGATTGATTGAAATGTAATTCTTTTTTGCAGTGCATACAACTGAGGGATTGTATCTATACTCTTTTTAATGTACGGTGATTATACAGTACATGATTTTTGTTTTTCTCCTTGTGTATGAACTCAGCTATAAAAAATAAACTTGCCTTGCCTTGTGAAATGTAGAATAAATCCTAAAGATACTAATAGAAAACTGCGCTCAAGATAAACTCTGTCTTCTATCTATCTGTATGTAGCAAAGTCAATTTTAGTGACCTCTCTCAAAACTTAATAGTGTATTTTTATTTATTTTATTAAGTGTTATTTGAATTGCACAGTTATTACTGTATTTTTATTACAAGTTTTATTATTTTATAATTGTCTTTTTAGTCCTGGTCTTTGATTTGTTTTGGTCCTCCAGCCACTCCCGTGTTTTTATTTCTTCTTTGTGTGCCCCCTGTCCCCCACTATAAATTCAGGGTTTTCCCGCTGCCTCTTCCCTTGGAAATCCTGTGTCGGGGAAGAGGTCAGTCACTTTATGTTGTTATGTCTCAAAATGTCTGTTTTAATTATAATTTTGTAGTTATTTACGCTTTGTATTTCTTTTTAGTTTGGGCTGGGACTGATGCAGAGGCACATGTTCATTGCATTTTCATTTTGTGACCAGATAAAAGAACGCCTCGGAATCTTGTCTCCTGTGTATTCCTCCGCACCACAACGCAAATCAACAGAAAATCAGACCCGCTACTCGTACACTGTAAAATTCACAACATTTAGCTTTGATTATGGTTATACTACTTAACTAATAAGTTTCTGTACACATTTTTTTGTATAGTATTAAAATGCTTGCATGTCTCTGTTTTGCATGTACCATTGTTCTCACATATGTCATAATGTGTAGTATACAAAAGAAATAACGTGGAGACAAGCAGTCATTGTGTTTATAGTGTCCTTAATGTATAATATGTATATTTATGTAGAATTACAAAAGAAGTCATGAGTTTAGTCTTACTTCTACCCCGGAAACATGTAATAGTTGGGCCATTTCTGATGCTGTTGATTCTATGTGTGGCTTCACTGACCTCTGCTGTCCTCAAAGGTGATGAGTGCAAAGTCAGGAGATGTTTTGACCGTTGTCACAGACGCCACATCTCCCCCTCCGTTTTTGCTCCTCTGGAAATGGATGCACAGTTTGTCTTCCAGCTTTTCCAGCTCTATTTCTGTGGGCAAACCGGTCACCCGCACCGTCTGGCCCCGGTCTGCCATCTGCCGGGAGCACACACACACACACACACGCACACACACACACACACACACACACAGACCAGGCATGCATTTGATTATTTGATTGAATGAGGGAAAAAATAGGAAATACAGAGAAAGCTGCTACATTTGTTCTCAAACGTAAACAATTAATGATGTGAAGAAAGGATACAGTGCCACTTTATCAGATTCATTTATGGTTGGATGTTAGCCTGAAATTGCAGTTCTTCTTGGATTTAGGTTGTCATAACTTACACTATTATATCCCCTCACCTAAATATGTAAATGTATCAATATGGGATAAGACCACACCCATATATCACTCGGGGCATATATGTGGTCAGATGACACCCTCTGTTGGATGGTACTATGACATTACAGCAAGAAAATTAAAAAACATTGTAGTGAAAGCATACATTTATAAGCAAGGTGTAGTGAGTTTGTTTGTGGGTTATTTAAATGTGGGCTAAAACAGGACATAAACAAAATCAGGAGTGAATCAAGAAAGGTTTGATCCCAGCTTTTTTCACTATATTTCTAAAGCCATAGACCTGTTGAAGTCCCCATTTAATCCAGGTTTAGTTGAATACAAAATGTAATTGTTTAAATAATGACTATTGACTTAGTTGCTTATGTGGACTCAGAATGTCTAAATATTGTATAAATCATCCATCCATCCATACATTTTCTTCCCCTTAATCCATTTCTGGGTAGGGGGTGGCAGTCAGAGCTGCACCCAGTACACAGAGCACCAGCCCCTCACTGATCCTCCTGCAGGTGGTGAGTCCACATGAGCTGAGATCTTTAAGCGGGGGCTTCAGGCAAAGTGGGGTTAAGTGTCTTGCCCAAGGAAGTAGGTCTTATGGTGGGCTCGAACCCACGACCTTCAGACCCAAAGGCCAATGCTCTACCAACTGAACCACTGTCGCCAACATTATAAATGTATAAATACAGTAAATGTATTATGTAGGCGATGTACATGTATAAATCAAATCAAATGAAATATTTAAATGCAGGATTGGGGCGCAGAATCTCTTTTTTTTGGGGGGGGTGACAATGTAACATTGGTGCAGAGACTAGGGATGAAACAATTCCCTTGTGGCTTTTACTTACTTAACCAAGATATAACATATTTATTTCAAGGAAGACCTGGCCCTGGGAATACTGGTAAAGTTTACAGTGGAAAAATAACAGAATAAATTACCGTTAATGTACAAAAAATGAACTCTCTTTTAGTACAGACTTAAACCAGATGAGGGGACAGAGTTCTATTCGCTGTAGCAAGTTTTGGATGTTGTTCCAAGCCCGGGGAGCTACATAGGAAAACTGTTTTGCCCAGTTCAGTTTTAATCCTGGGAATGTTCAATAGGAGCCGCTGAGAGGAGCAGAAGGTGTACCCACTGTTGGCTAGGGTCAAGAGGCGACACACGTTTGAGGACAGCTTTTCAACATCACTTTTGACAGAAAATGTGGTTCATGATGTTAGGTTGTTACCGTTTACTGTAAAAATGATAATAACAATTACAATAATAATAATAATAATTAGTTGACCACTGACCACCGATTGATCGAGTAAAAACATAAGACAGAGATCCCTAGCATTAACTATACAACTATCCAATTACAGAATCACAACCTGACCTTACAAGCCATCTGCTTGTCTCCATGGAGATACAGCCATACAGGAACTTCCTTGAAATCCTTTTAATTAGACACGAATGATGATTAAACCAGGTTTGAAGTTGTTGTTAACATCATTTTATGGATTTCAGCAACATTTTGAGATCTATTCACAATTCAAAAAAGATGCAGTGTTTTCAGTTGTTAGTTTCTGTTCTTAAAAGGGCAGCTATAGCTCCTATGTCTTTGTGCAGATAGTGACTGGCCTTGTTACACCTGCATAACAAATCCTTACATCAACACGCAGTTTACATATTGTGCAAATATAAACAGGTGTAACCAAAAACCAGTGCCGTTCGTTTCAGTCTTTGATCACACATTTAGATAGTTGCGTTATGTTAAATGTGTAGTGTGGACTTAACGTGATGGTAAATGAAATAATCCCAGTTTAGTGTAAAATATGTTTGTGCACCGATGTGTTCGTGCAGACAGAATGGCAATCATGCATGCATAGCTACTCGAAAAGCTAAGAATGTGGAATGGCCTGCGAAGTAAGCAAGCATTAGCAGGGGAAACAATCAAGGAAGTGCAAATCTGTCATCTAAACCGCGTACATCGCTTTGTTTCCTTTATGTTTACAGAACAGATATTTGCGGCATTATTGTGTGCTACAAAGAATCGATGTTTCTGTAATATAAGTTGAGACTACGCACCTTATCTTATTTCGTAGCGTTTTCTGGTTTCATGCCGAACAGTGAAAGAAAGTGAAACTACAAAACATTGGCGTGGTGTAGTTTTCTCTGCTCGCGATAGGGGGCGCCAAATATCCAGTTTCTGACCATATGTTTTTGACTGATCAGAGCAGATTATTTTTGTCCTGCAGGTCCCACTGATGTTAATTATTTACTCATCCACCAGCATTGCCCCCATCTCTGTGCTCTCTGATAGTGTTCTGCATCTAAAAAGTCAAAAAGCTCAAACTCTAATACTGCAAAATATATATATATATATATATATATATATATATATATATATATATATATATATATATATATATATATATATATATATATATATATATTATTATTATTATTATTATTATAAACTCCTAGCTAATAAGATTTTTTTTAAATGGCATAACTACTTTGAAATGGCCAATGATAATAGTTCAAAACATTTTTATTAAGTTTTGTTTCAAATGCTTCAAATACTGTTTCAGGACACAAACAGCTCTTGTTGTCCCACACAAGTAGAATTTACATTTAACTGTGATAACATGTTTTCTGATTTTCAAACAGTGAGAAAACAAAGACAAGTAAGTTAATAGATAGATAACCTTATGTCGCCTCAAAATTGCAAATTCCAACTTTTGCCAAAATGTTATATATGTTTTAATGGAAAGAGGTCAACAGGCTCTGAATCGTTGCAATAAACAGGTGTTGCTTAAATTATTTCTATTTAACTAAGTAATAATGTAACGGTCTATGGATATACATATAGCCAGCAGAGGGCGTACGTGAATATTATATGCTTTGTTGACTTTTCTTTGACTTTAGAAGAAAAGTCATTGGCGTTTCGTCCAATCACAGCCAGCGTTACTCAATCTTTCACGCATGCGCACTTCACGTACTGTTTCATGTGTAGTTCGTCTCTGGTGGAGGTCACACGCATCAACTAAAATCACCGGTGAGTTACAGCATGTTGACCCACATTTAATGAATTACTGGCTGTCTATAATGTGCACGACTTTGCTGTAAACCCGTCCATGTTGTCGCTGTGTGCGTTACCGGGTAGTAGCTCCTTCGGTGGTGACTGCTATAATCTTGATGTAACATGTGTGTAATCCAGCTCTAGCATGCTGATATGTTTTATTTCTTAAAGCTTGCGATTGCTTACAAAGTCATATATGCGTACAGTTGTTGCCAACTTAGACTCGCTTGCTATCTTGTTATGTATCTTGCTATGTTATACAAGACAAGTTACTATGAGCTAAATGCTAACATGCTAACTCCGTCGCATCTTGGCACTATACACATGTCCAAGGCCTTAGTAGACAGACTGATACTAAGTAGGATGAGACCTGTCTTTGAACCAACTCACGCAACTAGACAAACACACAGTTAAGTTGTCATCCTGTTTTGTCTGTTGCAGTTTGCTGTCATGGCCAAGCTGTTTGAAAGTATTGGGAAATTGGGGTTGGCCTTGGCCATTGGAGGAGGTGTTGTCAACTCTGCCTTGTACAATGGTAAGTGTGAGGTCAATTTAGCACTGACTCTGGTTTCTTCAAGTGTCGTCCCTGGTGAAATCCTTGAGCCAAGTGTCTAATGTCTATGAGTTGTTTGCAATTTTCTTTTTTACGAGATGTGTGATATTATACAAACGCAGATATAATGTAACCTTTTGAAATCTTAGTAAATCCATAATGGCATTGATGAGAAAGAAAATTATATGATATAACATTAAAGATACTGACTATAACATGTAATATTTCTTACCATCACATAATTTAAACTTAACTTTTATTTTGTGCATCTGTGTTGCATGTAAAAGTGGTACATGCTTCTCCAGTGCTTCAGCTTTACCTACAGTTCACTTTGTTGAACCTAGGTTTTTCCCTGTTTTATTTAGTCATGATTTTGAACTATTCTAGGTTTAATTATCATTTAAGGCCTGATTATCTGATTGTTTTGTGTGAACTCTCCCGCTGTTCTGTGGGGGTAATTGTGTCTGTTGTCTCTTCACAGTTGATGCCGGTCACAGAGCCATTATATTCGACAAATTTAGAGGAGTGCAAGAAGTTGTGGCTGGAGAAGGAACCCACTTTGTCATTCCTTGGGTTCAGAAGCCCATTATCTTCGACTGTCGTTCCCGTCCACGCAATGTGCCTGTTATCACTGGCAGCAAAGGTAAGGAAAGAAAGTGGTTGGTACTCCTGGCAAGAACCAGTGGATTGGTACTAGTTTACATGGCCTTCTTATATTGGGATTGGAAATTCACTGGAACTTATTCAAGGCCTGTAATTTGAGAACAAAGTGGGGTATTCCAAACCTGTCTGTCTTACTTAAAAAGTCCATGATTCCTGAACTCGTAGGCTGAAAGAAAGAATTGTGCATATATTGGTATATCAAAGTCTAGTTTAACCACATTGGTGGAAAAGAGGTAAGGAGCCTGAATTTCACAAACATTGTTATACATATTTAAATACATAATGAAAAGTTCTAGTATATATGCAAGAATATGACAAAAATTTATTATTTTTGTTTAATTTTGACTTTTTTTTTTCAGATCTGCAAAATGTAAACATCACATTGCGTATCCTTTTCCGGCCTGTGACCAGCCAACTCCCCCGCATTTTCACAAGCATCGGAGAAGATTACGACGAGAGGGTTCTGCCATCTATCACCATAGAGGTCTTAAAAGCTGTAGTGGTGAGCAACCATTTAATGCCTTGCACTTTTAAAGTGCTTTACAGTCTTGTTAGGTCTTTCAAAGCACTACGCTGAAGTCAGTATTCATTCACTTCATGCTTTGTGATAACGAGCTTTATTAGAAAGTAGAATTTTGCAGATGTATTGCATTAAAAAAAAGAATATATCCAATGCATTTAGTTTGGGCTAAAATGTTAAATGTAGAGTCTTACATGGCCTTACACCTGTGATTATCTGATCGGGAGACAGTAGTGTGGTCATAAAAACGTTGCAATAATTGTCTTCTAGTTTAGGATCATATTGTGATATGCATTGTTTTTGTCAGACACAAGGCACTGCACACCCCTAGTAGTGACTGAAGCGACCCATCCAACCACTACATTACTCACTCACCTGTACTGTTACATATTTTGATTGTAGAAACCCAGCCTGAATTGGAAATTTCCCAAACCAATCAACAGATCGTTAATCGGCCGGGATCCCATTGGCCCAGACTCCATCTAAATTAGGCTTTTAAGAGCATAAACAACACTGAGAGCAGCAGCTGACAGTAACAGGGTCTGCCTGGTGCTTTTTAAAACATCTTGTCAAATCACACTGCTTACTTATTACCCAATCAAATGACTTTCTCTGGGGCCAAAAAAATTGGCCCCAGAAAATTGAATTTGAGTCCAAAATAAAGATTAATATTAAATAAAACGTAAATAATTAACTTCAAATTGAATTCTTTAGTCCTGAATTGACATACATTCTACAATTGCATACAGTACATACATTCATTGAAATTCATCATTGGTTTTATAAAATATATAAATGTATAACTAATTGTTCTGGTTTTACTGTTTTAGGCCCGTTTTGACGCTGGAGAGCTCATCACCCAAAGAGAGTTGGTGTCTCGGCAAGTCAGCGAGGACCTGACAGAAAGAGCATCTACTTTTGGACTCATATTGGATGATGTCTCATTGGTATGGATTGGTTGTAAATTTTGAATCTGAATATATTACTGATTGTTATGTCAAACTGGACTCTGCTGATTGAATACCTTTGTTTTTAGACGCATCTGACATTCGGAAAGGAGTTTACGGAGGCTGTTGAAATGAAGCAGGTGGCCCAACAAGAGGCTGAGAGGGCTAGATTTGTAGTAGAAAAGGTGAGCTGCAATACATGATTCTTTGATTTAAAAAATGCATGTCACTTCATCACTAACACATGTTGCGTCTATCTAGGCTGAGCAACAGAAGCAGGCCGCTATCATCTCTGCTGAGGGAGATTCTCAGGCTGCCTTGCTCATTGCAGATTCTCTGATGGTGGCTGGAGATGGTTTGGTCGAGCTGCGTAAACTGGAAGCTGCAGAGGAAATTGCCCTCCAGCTGTCACGTGCCAGAAATGTTACCTACCTTCCCTCTGGACAAGGCACGCTACTGCAGCTACCTCAATGATAACTTCATCCGCTAACGTCGATGTGGGCCGTTGACTTTCCAAACTTCTTGCACCTCTCACACTGTCCACATGTTTCTGGAGGACTGTATCTTGTAAAATGCAACTTCGATGGAGAGTTTGAGAGGAGTACCGCAGTGGCCTCGTGTTTGAGGAGAGGGCAAGATTACATGAGTCACACGATATACTTGGCAGTGAGATTCCCAGATTCAAATTCATTAATTAATGTTCATGAGATAAATGTTGAAAAAATTGCTATTGATTAAATAAATGCTATAATGCTCTCTCTGAAGTGAAAGAATTAGTTCTTGTAAAAGCAGAATTGATTCATTATGATTATACAATTTGAAGGCTTGTTTGTTTTCTCCTGATGTTAATGTTCAAATATCTGAAATAAGATGTGTTTCTATGGATAACTTCAATTTGAAAACTTTTCTTTTGGTTTCAATAAATATCTGAAGTCATAGTGACAGCGACATATTGGTCATCTTTTTGCAACACATAAGATACACTAAGATGTGTAAACTAGTAAAGAATATATAATGTCGTAATAAATGTATTGGGAATGATTACATGCCAAGATTCATGTGATCAAAGCACTAGTGTGTTATGTTCCTCCTGGTTCCTACAAACAGTGCAGCAGGCTGCGTGGAGCTGCGCGTGAGGCTGCGTGGAGCTGCGCGTGCCCAGAGCGCGGCCTGAGCGCGGGACGAGGGGGAGTGGGACCGGGACCAGAGCTCTGCTGGGCCACGTAGTACAAGCCAGACACCGCTCTGTGGAATTATACAATACTCTGCGTTTCATACAAAGGAAATGGGCAGTAGTATCTGAAAACACATCCGCAACTGAAGAGAGACCACAGAAGTGCGAGTGCAGAATCTGTGCAACTCTGACGCCAAAGAAAAGCTTTGCAGCCTGAGGTAAGACTCACCCACCACCCAAACAAGAAGAAACACCTCAAATAATGAGTCCTACACACGTGTCAGTTCTGCCAGAGCCACCGCTGAGAAACACGTCTGTACCAGACACGGATCAGACAGTCTGCGCTGTTTTAGCGCTGACTTTGTCACTGTGTTTGGGCTCTGCCTCAGTAGCTGTCTGGGTTTGTTAGATCACCGCTACTTTCTCCTAAACTGTCAAAATGGATACCATCTACCCTTTGCTTTAAATGCACTTGATTTTGTAGACTGTCATTGCAAACATGTAATGTCCTGTCAAGTTTATTGCATCGTTAAGAACAGACATCTGTGCTAGCAGTAAGCTAACTGGTTAGCCCAAAATCTGGGCGGTTTTGGGCAGAAAGTGCAAGTCTGCCATCAGAAGGCGCCTGGTGCATTTGGTCAGTGATTTCCTGCACACTGGAGGGCAATGTGCACGATATTTGCACTAATACTTCATCTGATCTTAGAGAGAAACCAAGCTAATGTAGCCAAGTTAGCCCATCATGTGTGCGCAGGTTTAGAGCTGTACCTACTGTGTATGTCCAGGCTAAAGCTAATAGCCCAACTTGGCCTACACTGTGCTACAGCTACACGGCTGTATGTTGCCTTTTTGTTTAACCCTTTCTGAGCTTCTAGAGCCCTGGTCACTTATTCAACCATCAGACCAGCAGGAGATACAAATCTTACAGGATGGATTTTGGTTAACCCTTTAGGCACCAGTTTTTTTTTTTTTTTCATAAATGTGATGTGAAACAAACAAAAGGTGGAACCCTGGAACTTTTAGGAGATCAAGGACTACTGTAATAAGTAACCAAAATAAATCAAAATAGAAATATATAGGAATTTGTCAGGTCACTGTATAGAAAGGAGCTCATGTAGAAATGCTGCTACTTTGACACCTAAAGGGTTAAAACCTTATAGGCGTCCTATAATAACATAAAATATAATTTAATATATCTGTCTGAAGTATCTGCATAATCTCTTGCTTTACAACCTTAAATAACCCTATCATAGCTCAGGACAGATGTGCACATGTCTTTGTGCAGAGCAGTGACTGCTCTGTACAAAGACACATGTACATCTATGTACATATGTATGTACATATGTATGTACATATGTATGTACATATGTATGTACATATGTATGTACATATGTATGTACATATGTATGTACATATGTATGTACATATGTATGTACATATGTATGTATGTATGTACGTATGTATGTATGTATGTACATATGTATGTATGTACATATGTATGTATGTACATATGTATGTACGTATGTATGTACATATGTATGTACATAGGTGGGACAGGTTTTGGTAAGAATGTAGACTGTGTAAGATGTAACATAACTCTTTCTTTTAAAACCTGATTAAGTGAAAAACCCTTGACTTTCCCTCTGACCTGAGCTCCAGACCGTCATGGGCTCCAGGGCCAGAGAGCAGTGCAGAGATGGGGCCCCCCCTGCAGTGCATCACTCTGGGCTGCTGAAGGTCTTGAGTGTGGACGAACTCAGGAATGTGAACCCTGCCACAGTGCTTCAGCTGCAAGAGGGAAAGCTCATTAAAGTCTAGACTGGAGACTGTGGATTTGAATATTACAGCACAATGGGACATAATATATTCTCTTCTTTCTTTCTGCCACTTTTTTAACTCATAATTTCACAAGACAAGGATGGTGGCAATAAAAAGACTCATTCCATTTACAAATTATTTTAGATACATGTAAGTAATCTTTATTTATATACCGCCTTTTCACTGCACATCAGAGTCTCAAAGCGGTTTACAATTGTGATTTTTGGGAGTGGGGCCAGTACAGGAGGCACATGCCAGAACTATTGTACATATTTTTAGTGGTAGGGGAAACCGGAGTACCCGGAGGAAACCTACGCAGACACGGGGAGAACATGGAAACTCCACTCAGAAAGGCCCTGGTCCAACCGGGATTCGAACCCAGGACCTTCTTGCTGAGAGGCGAGAGTGCTATCCACTCAGCCACCGTGCCACATGTTTTGGAAATATCACTTTTTCAGTTTGTATTGTAATTTTGACACTACAAACAATCTTTTTCGTTTTTAAACTACTAAAAGAATCTGGAAGCACATGCTTTTCCAATTCTTTCCAATTTCCACTTATGTTGTTCTTGATCGGTCATAATGTGTCTTCTTCCAACCAATTTCGAATGGCCAAATCGAACTAGAGACCTGTTTGTGATTTTTTTATTTTTTTTTCGTGATTCCTTACAGCCTGAGGTCTCTGTCCTTCCATAGTCTCCTGCTCTCCCCCTCTTCTGATTTGTTTTTATTTCCTTTTCAAAACCTTTATTTTGAAGTAATGAGTGTAATCAACCATATGCCTTACGGCCTGGATGTATACACTAGGGCACTGCGGCACCAGTATTAAATGGCCCGATTTACAAATTAGACAAAGAGTTGGGGATTTAATTATCTTAAATAAGAGGTTAAAAGGTCACTGTTTAAATCTATACAAAGCAAATTAAGCTGCTACGAAACTTTCACCTCCTTCACCAGTGTAACCTCCAAATCTGAAGAGAGGCGATTGTTGACTAATTACAAGAGTTTCTCGCCACATGAAACATCCTTTATGTAGTGATCGAGAGCCTGAAATGACTATCGCTCAATATCACTTACATAACCCCACTCTTGCTTCATTTAATTGCACGGCTTCTTTTGACAGTTCATTTGATGTTATGGGGGAAAAAAACACACTTTTGACGAACGCAGCATTTTACGTCCTCTTAACTTAAAACGCTGTCAGCGGAAATCCTCACCAAGTTTTGTGCCTAAAATGTGTTTCCCATGTGATTTATTTTCGACTGTCACCCAAGAGCAGGATAATCTGTTGGGTCTTTGTGTTAAAGACGGCATTTTGAGTTTTGCCCGTCAGCGCACCGCCGGCCCTCCCCTCCACTCTTTAAGCTGTCCAATTCTCCAAAGGATCAGTCAGCTCGGCAGGTGCAGGCTCTGCCACATTTTAGTTGAGCTGCATAAATCTACGTCCGCTCGGCTTATATGTGAAAGTTCTTGATTCGTATATCACAGGTATGTTGACAAAGGCAAAGTTGTCCAGATTTGCAGCTTTCCTACAGTTTGTTGGAAAAAGTTACATTTAAATATGTGCAGTGTTTGGAAAGGGCTCATCAACACTTATTTAAAGACACCAACATGTAATCCAGTCATATGCTGAAATAATCACAGTTTGGGTCTGAATTGTTGAAATTGTGAGTAATATCTTGATGACTGAGATTTGCAGTAGTAGGGATGTGTATGAAATATGGTGTCAAAATGAAACTATTCCACAAACGTTTCATGAACATTTTTGGCAAGATATTCTTAACCCTATCTTAATCGTAATGAATTCAAGATATTCTTAACCCTTAACATTAACAGTGATTAAAACATACCCTAAATAATTTATTTCAAGCTGAATTTTGATGACTTTCACTTTTCTCTAACTTGACCAGCCCTGGGTCATTTAATTTATGATACTGTCTCCTACTTTTAATCATCTGTGGAGGCTCATTTTCACCCGAGGGAAGCACAAGACGCTAAGACAGCCTATCGTCAAAGAAAAGAGACATGTAAAATTGGATTGTGATGAGTAAATTGACATTCAGAAATTTTAGTACTGAACTGCTGGGCAATTGTTTGGATGAATTATTTTCCTATTGATACATTGCTCAACATTATTTTAAATTTTTTTTATTGGAAATTCAGTTTGTTATTTTGAGTCCGTGCCATCTGCTAATGTTGGAAAATGACGTCCTTTCTGTCTGCGTTGCCTGTTGTTGTTTATTCAAGTGAAAAGGATGTTTTGAGCTCCGCCTTTGTTACCTTCACCATAACGGTGTATTTTTAACCAAGTGTGAGCAAAAGAAAGAAAGATTGTGAGTATTTCATGACAAAACAATTACAATATAGACAAATAAATCCGTCTGCTGCAGATTTGATGCAGGTTTGATGCTTGTTGTGTGCTGCGTGTTTCGTTGAGTACAGTTTCCTGTGGTTTGGAGCTGCGGTCAGATTCTGTTCACTACATCAATGGGCGGTGTGCAAAATGTAGTATCGTTTTCAGCAAACTAGTGCCACGTCTGTTCACTATATACGTTTTGGAATGATTCAAATGAAATGGAAGTTTAGGCTTAAGCTCAACCAAACTTTTATTCGATAAGTTTTATAATCTAGTTACCATTTTATAATCTTCTAGTTAATCTAACCACCCTGTTTATATTGTGGTTAGGAATGATCACAGCTAGCAATAAGTCTTTTGTACACAATTAATGTTAGTTATTTTACTGTAACAATTGTTGGCCATGATGAACTTTACTTTATCATCAGCCCAACAAACTTTACAACATGTATATGCTGTAGTATTCAATAAATTCACTTTTACTTTATATCATGATACCTATACTATGATCCACAAAGTTGTGTTGTATGCTTTAGTATGGGGCAGCTATTCCATCTTGAATCCATTTTTTTTACTTTCAATTAAATACCTCGGATAAAAAGGAAATGTGTGATTTAGAAAAAAAAATTCAAACTTGATTGACAAACATATGCTCCTGTAGAATGCTATTCCTCATTTTCTGGATGATGAGGCGGAAATACATTTTCTATGGATTATTATAATTTTTTGCACCTATAAACCATTCATTCTTTTTCATTCCCTTTTTATTCGTTATTTTTTGTGTCAGGCCGGTTGCTTTCTGAGCTGCCACCTAATCCGCATAGAACCAGCTCCTCGCTGATCTTCCTGTAGGTGGTGGGTCTACGGGACGATGGCTCCGTCAGCGATGACACAGCCTTGGTCTTTCAGCGGGTCTCAGGAAAAGTGGGGTCAAGTGTCCAGAGACGTGAAACTATAAACCAGTTCTGTTTCAATCCCTGCATTACTGTATTCATTCAGACAATATCTAAACCCATAATCATCTAAAGAAATACCTTGTTACACAATGTAAAAAAGTAAATACACAAGAAACACCACATGTAATTATTACTTAATAACCTCTACAAAATATAATAATAATAATGTGCTGGCACTACACAGAATGTTTTCCATATTCAAAAGTTACTAATCTAAACAAAATAACTTTTTTTTGTAATATTTTACAGTGGTGCTGCAAAAATAATGACAAAGTAAAGGAGGAAGTGGTTGGCAGATTTCTGAAATGTAATCTACGTTTTTGTTTCTTTGTCTCATTTCTAGGTATGCCGCTGTATTAGACTCTTCAAGCAATTTTAGTCGTGGCTTAAAACAATTCCTCGTGAACCTGAGCTTTACCTGTTTCTGAGCTCTTGGCACCCTGCAGCGCATCAAACTTCACACACGCCGGCTCTGGGAACAGCTTACAGCTTTCAAAACAACTCAAGAACTATCGTCTTCAAATGCTCTGCAGAATAGTCGGCGGGTGTGGACTTTCCCTACATTTTTTTTAACCCCCACGGTCTTGGAGGAAATCGTATGCATTTACTATTCACTGACCTGAGCAGCATGGACGCGCTCTTTGAATCAGGTTGACCGCTGAGCCCACCTCATCCCCTTCTCCTGGATTTTCAGTTGAAGGCGGGTGGGGATTGGTGCTTGCATTTTTGAATTAGCCTTTTGGTTTTGGCATCGGCTAGTTCATATAAGCATCATTACAAGGACTGTGTCACTGGTTGTAAAGCCACCAGCTCTTGCTATTAATGAAATCTCAGCAAAATATCAAAGAAGAGGGTTCCATCCCGGTCCTTGGCGGGATGTCCCAAGAGGAGGGGCACAGGGCGCAGATGTCCGCAACTTATTTCCAACCCACGGCAAACTTGGACGTGGATTTGACGGGTAAAGTTTTCAAGAGCGAGGTGGGAGAAGCGCACTATCCAGAGCTAGCGGACGGCAAAATGTCAAGCAAGACGTCTATGGTGGAGCAGAACGTGGACAATTCGCAGCAGTTTTTCAGCGAGTCTGGGGCGGAGCAGGAGGGAAAGCAAACGGGCGAGGACGGCGGCTCGTCCGAAGAGTCCGACGACGAGGAGGAGGATGGCGAAGAGGAAGATGAAGAGGAGAGCGAGTTCAAGCGCGAGCAGATCATCGTGGAGGTGAATCTCAACAACCAGACGCTGTGTGTTTCCAAAGGCGACAGCAAAGCGGAGGACTCGGACATGGAGTTGAATGACGAGGACGATGAGGACGAGGAGGAGGAGGAGGAAGAGAGCGAAGAATCTGAGGAAGAGGAGGAGGATCTCGAAAGTCTCAACGAGCAATCGGAAAGAGCGCTCAAAGGTAAGCACAATCGTTAATATGTTGACTGGTCCATTCTTGGTTGCATAAAAGCTTTACTGTCCTGGTTTGGGTGGGCATTGGGTTTAGTTTTTCATGAATAATACATGTGTTTGTCTCAACAGAAATACAATGTCTCTCAAAGTCTTCCTCTATTTTAACAAAGGGCCTTGTGATTTGGGTTGAGAGAGGATTGGCTGAGGACTTTTAAAATGTTCTACCTGAAAATGCAGATCTGAAGATGTGACAGAGGTCAATAATACATACTTGTGAAAACAAGAACTGTTTTGACAATGAGGAACTAGTTAGATGGATTTTATTTCATTTCTTTTTTGGGGGGGGTTTGAAAATTGTGTACTCCAGCTTTGGGTAAATATGCTGAATAGGCCTTACTATAAAAATATGTAGTGATTGATAGGAACTTAGAACTTTTAAAAATGTAGTCAGTCATACAAAGTTCTTTCAGTAGTTGCAGGATCACTTTTCCAACAATACATGCATTAAACCAAATCAAGTTAGAGGAATTTTATTACATAGTTCCTTATTTAATAGTCTGAAAGTTGTGTATCCCAGCTTTAATAGTGCATCGTCAACATATCACGTTTACATTGTGTTACTATCGCAGGCCTACACAAAAGTGCCGACAACACAGATGCCCCGGCAACAAGGAAAAGCATGCAGAGAGCTCTGAGCCCTTCCACCACAGAGACAGTGGGGGTGACCACAAGAGGGCGCCTTAAGAACACCAAGGCCGCGAAGGGCAAGAGGAGACTTAGGAGTGGTCATCAGTCCGGCGGAGGCTCCTCGGTGGGGGGAGACAAAGTGGAAGTGGAGGAGAAGGAGATGCTGGCGTGTGAGAAGTGCCCGCGGGTCTTCAACACGCGCTGGTACCTGGAGAAGCACATGAACGTGACGCACAGACGGATGCAGATCTGCGACAAGTGCGGGAAGAAGTTTGTCCTGGAGAGCGAGCTGGCCCTGCACCAGCAGACCGACTGTGAGAGGAACATACAGGTGACACAGGCACTGGAGGGGAGGGGAGGGGAGGGGGGGGGAGTTGAGGGCAGGGGAGAGGTAGGGATTATAATGCAAGAGCAAATATGTTCCTCACTAGATACAAAAAGTTAATTAGTGCTTGAGGCAGGGCTGTACTTACAATAATCGATTAGGTGGCCTATTTTTCATATGATTAATCTATGCACTTTTCAGGTGGCGCTACCGGCATTAGTGCCATCTGCATGTGAAAGTAAGATCAGACCTCAGGGCCTGGTCCCAAACTGTAAACTTGCCCTTAGTCAAGACACATCACCCTCACTGCCGAGAATTAGACTGGTGTGTGTGGTACATAGTGGTTGCTTTACTTCTGTTACTACTTCTGTTAATGTGACCCAGTGCAGCTGTGACTATAGTAGTAGTTTATCATCACTGTGTATGGAGTGAAAGAATAATGCCATGTGTCTCAACTGTCTGAGTGTCCAAAAAAAACACAATATAAAACTGATTATTAGTTATTGTTTAAATCCCGAAAGGTCAGTGAATATGGGATTTTTTTTATCAATGGGATTTGATCAAAACAAAGTTCTAGGGATGCTCCTAGAGAACATCTTCAAAGCGATTACTTATTACACATTGGGTTGTTTGATTACAAATACCTAAACATATTCATTTAATTCTGCAGTCATTATATACAGTTATTATCTGAGTCATAAAACCTCTTCTGAGAATGTTTAAGTCTATGTTAGGTTCAACAATCATACAATGATTCCAGAATGAAATTAAAATGTGTTAATCTTGTGTAAGTATGTTTAATCAAACTGCAAAATGTGTATCACACTATTTCTATCACTTGAACCCTGTTTTGGTCAATTGTGGAAAAATCCCTTTTTCACTGACCTAACAAATAATTTATTTGATTAAAAATCGGACAACTAATGCCTCTTTTACTCCATGATTTTGTCTTTATTCTTAAACTCTCACTGTGCAAACGTTTTCATCTCCCGTCACACAAGCAGAAATGGGGCTTTGTTTTAACGATGAAGCTTCCATAATGTCCAGCAGAGGGAGCTATTACACAAAGTTAAAACAAAAGCTGTGCCGTTATCACAGTGGATTTCAATGTAATATTAGCTTCACTCATAAATGCTTTTGTTTGGTTTTGCAGTGCATCTCCTGTAATAAATCCTTCAAGAAGCTTTGGTCACTTCACGAACACATAAAGATTGTCCATGGATACGCAGAAAAGAAGTTCTCCTGTGAAATTTGTGAGAAGAAGTTTTACACAATGGCCCATGTCCGAAAGCACATGGTCGGTAAGTGTGGTTTGTTTTGTTTTCACGCAGCTGGTTTTATATCATCCATTCATTTTCCACCGTTTTATCCGTTGCCGGGTCAAAAGGGCAGCAGTCTAAACACAAATACCCAGACTTCCTTATCCAGGGTTACTTCCCCCAGCTCAAGCTGCTTGATTAAATATTATTCCTCAGGTAGATTCCATTGAATATCACGCTGCAAATCATGAAACTTCATTTGAAACCGTCTGTTCCTTTCTTCATCTTGATATAGTTCATTTGCCCTATCTTTTCAGAGAGATTCTTTTTATCAATTTCTTCCAGGGTTAGTCAATATTCTCTCAGTATATTGTTGATTGCTCTATTTAGTGTATGATAATGAAGTTTAAGTTGGGGTAGCTAACCTGCTGACCTATATATGCATTATCTGTTTCATGAATAATACATGTTGCTTTGAGTAAAGTTTTGTGAACAAATCAGACCTCGACAAGTTGTTTTCATCTTACTAGAAAACATTTGCAGACGTCTAAGAAAGATCCCGGGAATCACTACAAGACTGGAAAAAGAGGACCACCCTCACTTGGCTAATCACCTTTCTGTCAGAAAAATCTGTTCTAAAGATGTGACGGAGGCCACAAATACAACTCTGTGAACTAGCGATCAAACAAAACTGTCAGGAGAGCAAGTAACTATGGATTTGATGACATACTGCAGTTCCATTACTTTTGTTTATTGAAAGTTTCATTCATTGAAGTTTATCATCTCAAGAATGATCTCACTAAAACAACATCTAATTTATTCTAATCTAAATATTGAGCCAAGCACAAAATTAATAATTTAGTCTAGAATAACAATTCTTTTTTACTTTTAGTTCAGTCCAAGGATGAGCTTTTCAAACAAATCTGAAACGGAAAAGTTATCAAAAGATGTAACATTGAAGCCTAAACACATTTGTGGACCCGACCATAATGAGTCTGTGACATGTTGGTGACATGTGAACCGGCTCGGACTCTGAGGAGCACAGGAACTCATCTCCTACTGGTCCCCAGGGTCAGGGCTAAAATGGGGAGGAGATTTATGCAGCTAAAATCTGGAACAATCTTCCTGAAAATGTGAGACGGGCATCTTCTCTGACAGTGTTCAAATCCAGGTTGAAGACTGTTCTGTTTCCCTGCGTATACAACTGAAGGATTTTATCTCTACTCTTTATAATGCGCTGTGGTTATTTATTATTTGAATCCCTTGTGTGACATTAATGTTTTCATGTTTTTAATTACTTGTGTGTGAATTAATTTTTTAATGGTTTATGTGATGAATGGTGCCGTCTGTGATGTGGGCTGTGAAGCACTTTGTGTTACCCTGAGAAGGAAAAGCTCTCTACAAATAAAGGTTGATCGATTGATTGAATGAGTTTGGCCCCTGGGAGACGAGAGAAACACTTGTCTCTTGTCTTTGCTGATGAGGGCAGCACAAACTGTTTGATTCTCTGATTTGTGTTGGAAAATTCAACAGTTTGAGATAACTACTGTTGTGATTTAGAGCTGTACAAGAATAAATTGAATTGAACAAGCAAAAAAGGTTAAGAACGGGAAGAAGTAGATTCAAGGCACTCCAACGTTTTTAGTCCTTTTATTGGTAAGGAGGCCACATGGGGCCTTCCTTGGGGCTTATACCAACGTTTGCAACATTTTTCATCTACAGAGAATGCACTTATGTCACGACTGTTCAAATCTTTATAAATAAACCGAGAATATGAAATCCTTGGGGCCTTTCACCCGTCTTCCAACATTGAAAGCTGCCGTGTCTATAAATGCATGTTTGTTCTACTGCAGCCCACACAAAGGACATGCCCTTCACCTGCGAGACCTGCGGGAAGTCCTTCAAACGCAGCATGTCTCTGAAGGTGCATTCTCTGCAGCACTCGGGGGAGAAGCCTTTTCGCTGTGAGGTAAAGCACCTACACAGTCTTAAATACATCACACCATGATTTCAATGCACTCTCTCCTATTCTCTGCCTGGCCCCTGAGCTGGAGCTTGTGTTGAAAGAAGGTTAGTTTAATGTCAGGGTAACAATACAATAAATATGTACCATGAACGTAATGGTAATCAACGTTAGGCCTGTTTGAGTCTGATTTGCAGTAATCAGCCCTAAGGAGCACTTATGAAAAATGTAGGTTACACTTAAGGAGGCATTTCAGTCTTTAATATTTGATCAATTATGTTGTTGACATTTTTACCAATCAGTATCCAGGGAAATTAGACCTTATACTGTATCTCAGCATGATGCCGGGTTATAAATGTTAAGCATCAAATCTTTAGCATTTGGCATTCGACACATTAAACACTAACGTTCTGGGGGGAAAAATAGATAAAAGGAAGGAAGATTACTTGAGACAGAGTCAAGTCAGTGGTAGCCCGGCCTTAGCCATCCGTACACTCCGGTCAATAATCATTTCCCTGCATCTAACGTAATTTGTACAAGGGTGTGGTAGTCAGTGGCCCTCTCTTTTTGTAAAACTATGAAATAACCTATTTGATTAGTTAATTTATAGTCTTTCTAAACATCCTGGTTACAAAAAATATAGATAAATAATGAATATATAAATACATGTTCCTACCACCAAAACACAAAAAACTCCTCTCCATGCACAATGCTCTAGTCTACTGAGTCCCGAGTCTTCATTTTATTTTATGAAACAGCGGCTCAATCCAGACTAGAGTCCACACGTCTCCACAGATTTGACCAGTCACTCCCTGCTTGTCTCCGGGCAGAAAACATAAGTAACGTGGTTCAAGGGAATAAGATCAAGTTTCAATTGATTTAACATATGACACGTTTGGGCAGACAGCGTTTCGTTCATACATTTCTGCCACAAACAGGCGGTGCTTGTATCTAGAGAGACCGGTACTCCACATTCCTCATGTCGACGCTGCCTTTTCTCTCCTACACTTCATGTTTACACTGTAGACATGAACATATGCTCTACATTTGGTCATACTCACTTTGTGTGTTGCACAGATACAAACTTTGATAGCCTGGTTTGGCTGTGTCACCAGGCCAAAATGGCACAAAGGATATTTATTAAACTTTCTTGTTATCCTTTGTGCTATTTTTGGTCTGTACTCAACCTTCCACAGACTACTCAATTCAAGCCACAATGGAAGTACTTCACACTACAAAGGAAACTAATGATTATGAAAACTAATATATACTTCAGAACAAGCTGTGCCTTTTACAATAGTTTAATAATTGCCCATAAGTGCCCATTGCACTTAAATGTAATGTAGTAGAAAAAATACAGTATCTCATTTCATCTCATTTCACCCTAAAGTTTATATTTGGCTGACGTCGGTGTAGGTCTCCCGTCTCTGATTGAGGAGCTTTTTCATCAAGGCCTCTTTGTGGATGCACAGAGAACATGTGTGCAGGGGTGGAGCCGCACAACCAAAATATCTTAGGTCCTCTCAGACTTTACCATGTGATTACATGTGTATTAAGGGCCTGTGCAGGTTCTACTCTACTCACACGCACATTTATAGAAACCTTTGCATTTAGTCCAGAGAACACGTCTGCAGTATATTTGATTGACTGGTTTGTTTTCTTGTTACTTCTTTTCAATTAAATCCGGCTTCCTCAGCTGGCATTATCTACACTCAGCCTTATGGTTTTCTTGCGTGTGTGTGTGTGTGTGTGGACTAGGAAGCAATTTTTGTATTGCAACCTTTGTGTTCTCTTACCTGAACACCAGCGTCCAGCAAGTCCTCATTTTAATTCTTTAGACAACAAATATCACACTTTCTGTACAGCAACCTGGCTTCCTACAGAGGTTTTCCTACATTTTTCTTTAGTTGTCTTAGTTTAGTAGTAGTTTTTCTTAGGGCGACAGTGGCAATGGCCTTTGAGCCCTTTGAGTCGTGGGTTCGAGCCCACCATGAGACCTTCTCCACCGACTCCCACTGATGTCTGCTGTCGTTGTGTCCTTGGGCAAGACACTTTACCCACTTTGCCTATAAGGAACGCGGAAGTGATCCTCGCTGCTGGCCTTGATGTGTATGTGTATACGAGTATATGTTTATGTGTATTTATGTGACGATATATCGATATCGTGATGTATCGTGATACTTTCTCACGCGATCAATTATGGATATGCTTTTGCCAAGTATCGATTTAAAAAATATATTCTTTTTTTTAATTAGTATCGATACCTGATATATGGCTACATTACGCATCTCCATTCCATTTATCATGAAATAAAGTGGTTTTTTTCACTTATGCCAAAATGTGCTGTATTTGAATACAGAGTTGAGAATTAGTTAATAACTTACACTTATAACTATTTTGTGTTTATTCACATTGCTTTACTAAAAGATTTCTATAATATAATATTTCTGACCAATGTATTGATAATCGTCATATCAATCAATCAATCAACGTTTATTTATAGAGCGCCTTTCCTACACAAGGCAACGCAAAGCGCCTCACAACCCATATAACATCATGCATAAATCATCAAACATTAGAATTTAAGTAAACATAAAAAGACAGATTAAGAGCACAAGATATATAAAATCACACAAGTAGTTAAAAACCGTAAAAAATTAAAATCACACAAGGGATTACAATCATAAATAATCATAAATAATCATAGCGCATTAAAAAGATTAAAGATAAAAACAAATGTAAAATCATTCACTTGTATGCACAGCTAAAAAGAACTGTTTTCAGTTCAGTTTTAAAAAACTGCTAGAGTAGACGCCTGTCTCACACTCTCGGGAAGACGGTTCCAGACTCTAGCTGCATGAATCTGAAACGCAGCCTCCCCATGTCTAGTTCCGACTCTTGGCACTAACAGAAGTCCAGTCCCTGTGCTCCTCAGAGCCCGAGTTGGTTCATATGGCACCAACATGTCGCGGATGTACCCTGGTGCGAGGCCATGGAGAGACTTGTACACAAGTAAAGCTACTTTAAAATCTATTCTCTGAGCCACAGGAAGCCAGTGCAGAGACCTGAGGACCGGACTAATGTGGTCGTACTTCCTGGTTCTAGTCAGGACTCGAGCTGCAGCATTTTGGATGTACTGCAGCTGTTTTACCGCTTGTTTAGAGAGACCTGTGAACAAGCCATTGCAGTAGTCCAATCGACTGGAGACAAATGCGTGGATAAGAATCTCCAAGTCTGCTTTAGACACAATGTTTTTAATTTTAGCAATGTTTCTTAGGTGGAAGTAAGCTGATGATGTCACAGATGATATGTGGCTATTGAAATTTAAGTCTGAGTCCATTATTACTCCTAGATTTCTGACCTGAGTTGAGGGTTTCAGGGAGATTATATTGTGATATAATCATTATTGTGATATAATCGTTATTGTGAGCTTTGTATTGCGTATCGTATTGTATTGTGAGGTTCCCTGAGGTTCCCACCCCTACTGTGTATGCATCAAACTGACATTTCCCCATTGTGGGACGAATAAAGGACCTTCCTCTTCTTCTTCTTCTTAGTCCTCTATCTCTTGTAAAGTTTCAGGGCACCACTTTTTGTCTGTTTCATTTCTGTAAAAAAAAAAAAAAAAGTGTACCTAAAGGGTTAACTCAAGGTTCAGCGTTTGTATTTGTTGTAAAGTAATAAGTAAGCAGGTCATCTTTATTTACATGGCGCATATCCCGGACTACAATCACACAAGTTTGGGCAGTGTACTTACTGGCATGTTTTTAACGTTTGATTTTTCTTTCTTTTTGTTGTTGTTGTTGTATCTCTTTTCACTTATTCTTTAGCACAGAATCCCATTTGTGCTTTGTGCATAAATTACACTGAAACCATCTTGAATATGAACGCCTTATTTAGCTGAGGATTGTGATGGATTTCCGCAGATGCATTAATCTGGTCGTGTTTCTCATGATTTTGTGCAGAACTGTGACGAGCGTTTCCAGTACAAATACCAGCTGCGCTCCCACATGAGCATCCACATCGGACACAAGCAGTTCATGTGCCAGTGGTGCGGCAAAGACTTCAACATGAAGCAGTATTTCGACGAACACATGAAAACACACACAGGTACTTTTTAACCACACGACCTTGTGCTTTTTGTCAAAGGAGAAATATGTATTTTTGTCTGACATAAAGAATATACTGAATCTCTTTATTAGAACGTAAAATAATATTGTATTCTTAGGCTACCACCAGAGGGAGAAGTTGATTTATTTATTTATTTATTTTTTCAAAATGTGTAAATTGCCATCTCCAAACACAGCTATCACCACCAGGAAAGTTAATTTTTAAAAAAATCTAATGTTTATTATTTATTATTTGATGTAACTGCTTTTTCTTGTACTAAAGTTTCCCAAATGATAACGCAACATGAATCCCCTGTTTTGTTTGTGCCAAATAAGCTAATCTGATAAATCTGCAGAAATGTGCTCAGCATGTGGCCTCCGAGATCTTTTCCCAACACAATTTAAGCAGAAAGTGGCTTTATAAACTGTGATCTGCTGCTTTTATTTGTTTCTGACTGTCAAACACCCTTTGGCACATTGATTTTCTGAACATGCATGTCATAGTTTGTAGTATTTTGAAATCTTTCATTTAGTTGTATTTAATTTAAAAAAAATTGGCGCACCTGCACAGCTTTTACGAGACTCGAGATTTATTTATGTATAATGTAGCCCATAGTATTTCTCCTTTTCGAAGTATTTCCTATCTAGAAAAGAACCAAAGACAGGACTGAGACTGACCCTACACTTGTTACCAAAGAATTAACAAAGAATTGATAGTGTAACATGGATTTCTCTCTCTCTTGCATATTTGTTCATTAAGAAACCTGTTCTGTAACTACTTACGCTGTCATACAATGTCTTTTTGTGCATCAAAGGAGCGTTTGATCTCTGCTGGGTATTCACTATAGACTAAACCTGAGTATTAACAATAAATACTGCTATGAGAGACATTCTTTGTTTCTTTTTGTTCCTATTCCGAGGCTGGGACTTGGACTTACTTTACTGTGTTTATAGATACAGTAATATTTAATCTCACCTCTGTGACGTAATCAAACACTTCAGTACATTTAGTTCAACCATAGAGATTAACTGAAGACAAAAACAGTGCCCAAGTTGACAGTTGGGAAAACAAAAGATTACTTTAATCAAGCACTAGTTACTTATTCATTATAGATGCCTTGAACTAAATGGGAAGATTAGAGTAGAAAACAAAATTGGTAGTGAACCAGTGATGGACAATAACAAACGCTTGGTAAAGACCGACTAGTTTTTCCAGTTCATTCATTTGTACTTTTGGAGCATAATAGTCCAGTAATTAAATGCTAGCAATGATTACCTACGCAGACACTGGGAGAACTCGCAAACTCAGATTTGTACATTATCAAAGTACGTCACTGTCTCATATTTTCAGGAAGACTGTTTGTGATTAGAGATGTATAAAGCTAGGCACGACTCCAGAGAAAATGTATTGGAAGATGTCGTTATTTCTTATAAACGCAAACAGAGATCGAGGCTCTAAAATGTTGCAATATGATTTTGTCAGAAGAGGCCACTGTACTATTTCTTTTGCTTGCATACCAAAGTCATGGAAAAAAAATGGCTGTGGCTGCTGAAAAGACATGTTCACAGTTCATATTTTATACTTTCAGTCAGCTGGTCTTCCAAAACTCTCTAAAAAGGAAAGCAAGCCGCAGTGAACATTACAGTAAAACGTACTCTGAGACTTCGCCCTGTCGGGTAATGAGAGGGAGGAGCTGCTTCAAAGAAGAGCTGTGCATATATTGTGGGTTGTAATGAATACCCTGGCACATGTTTCTGTCCAGCCAAACTGCTATTTCTAAGACCATGCTTGGCTCCGTATCCTGTGTGTCTTTCACTGTAGCGGCTGTGGGCGGGTGCAGTGCTACTATTCTATTTGCGATATGTAATTATTCTGCCCTCTCTTTTTCCCAAAGTTAGCCGCTAATTTAGCCCTATGCAGGACCGGGACACACCCAATCACGCTGTGCACTTGTTTAACTCTCAAAATGTCTGCTTCCCAAGACTTCCCAAAAAGGCTGACATGGTGGTAGCGCATTAGCACATTAGCTGTCACCTTTTTGATAGCGGATGAGTTCACGCGTCATATGCCACACTGAGGCGCTTGGAGAGCCCTTGAGCAGCATGTTAATAGCTGGATGTGTGGGTGGGAGTAGCACATTGGAAGGTTCCATGGAGGGAGGTTAATGAGCGGCAATGCAACGCAGCTACTGTTGTTCAGTTTTGTGTCTGTGCTCCTCCGAGTGTGAATTGTAATGGCTCCCTGCAGAGTGGGTGGGCTGGCAGCAAAGACCTCCAACTCAAGATTGCAATGTGTGTTGGAGTAAAACTCTGTTTCAAGACAACATTTAGGAGTAGAGCTCTAAATGTCTCTGAAGACGTTTTAAAACTGTTTATTTTCTTTTAAATATTTGTGAGTCTAATATTTATTACTGTGTGCAGGAGAGAAGCCGTTCATCTGTGAGATCTGTGGGAAGAGTTTTACGAGTCGTCCCAACATGAAGCGACACCGGCGTACGCACACGGGCGAGAAGCCGTACCCCTGTGAGGTGTGCGGCCAGCGCTTCCGCTTCTCCAACATGCTGAAAGCTCACAAAGAGAAGTGCTTCCGGGTCACCACCCCCATGGTGCTGCAGGGCAGCCCTTCTATCCCTGTGCGGGTCTTCACTAACACATTCTCCACTAGTTCCAGCCCCGGACCCTCCACCCCAGGCCCCACCTCCACCTCAGCTGCTCTGGGCCTCAGCGCCTCTGCCGCCGCTCTGCCTCAGAGAGTGGGACACACGTACGCTCATGTCCCGCTCCCGTCACCCCCAACATCCACACACCTTACCAGCCCCCCACCGCACCTCCTTGCTGTTCAACCTGTGCCACACCTGCCCCCACCGCCCGCCCTCTTCAAGAGCGAGGGTCTGAACCACTGTGGCCATGAAGACAGTTACCTGCACCACATGGGCCCCACAGAGAAGCACCACTGAGCTGTGGACACAGGAACTATTCAAACAGATTCAACCTCTTTAGAGATTTTACAATACACCAGGTTTTGTTCTTTCCTTCTCAGTACAAAATCAGGAGATGGAGTAAATTATGTCCCTTTTCATCCGAAGCTGCTGGTTGCATTGACATTATTTCACGGCTTAGTTCTTCACGTTGAAGTGACCTTCAGTTGCACATTGGTCTGAGCAGAGTCTTCTGCAATGCTCTGCTCCTCTGGATGTAGCACAAGGCTTTGGGACACAACTATGTGATGAATGTTTTACTGGCTCCATCTGGACTTTCTCTGTCCTGGAGCAAAGTGTTTCCTCACAACAGCAGTGACTCTCTGTACCATAGGTTACGGTGTTGTAGGAGGACTGGTGCAGAGGACCTAGGAAACATATATGTTCATATATATGTATATGAATCTGGACCAACGCCAGATTTACAACAGTTAAAGGTGCTCATCATTCCATGTTTTTTTCCTCAAATTTTATTTCCTGTGGTAAAATATCTTAATTATGTATCCAGTCTGTTATTTGGAGGATGTCTTGCCAGCTGGATGTTACAGACAAAGATTCAACATTAAGGAATTACACGATCAATGTTATGCAGGTAATGCCTGGGGCTCTCACACCTGAAGTTTCCAGCACACATAATACAATACTGCCTCTGGTTCAGTTCAGTGCAGCCTCAGCTTTTCTTACCTTTCGGTCAAAGCTTGTATGATTAACAGGACACTACTGCCACTGTGAGAGGCCGCACGCTGGTCTCATCAGGATCTACTCACCTCTGCTGCTGTTCAGCGATACGGGTTCATGTCAGTCATTCAAACCTGTACTTCTCACTTGGGACTTCACAACAGACTTAGTCCATTTGGCTAAGGTTACTAAAGATCATTATCTCACTTGCTGATCCATAAACAAATGTTTAAACTGAATGTTGCCTATACAGAAAGACAGATGTATCATGTAAGTCTATGTTCTCTCCGCATTGTTCTTAGTTTAGCTCTACTGTTACTCGCTATAATGCATTTAGCATAGGAAACATTAGGACATGACACTGTAGTAAGTTGTACCACATTTTTATTAAGAAAATGTGTAACCTCTTCAGGAAACTGCATTGTACAATGTAATGTTAACTGAAAGGGGAAGATCAGTGTTGACTCTTTTACTATTTCAGCAGAAAAGGTGTGTGCTTTTTCTCTTGCACAAAAAAGTTTTAGTTTTTTTTTACATTGTTCCCCATTAGATAAGCTGAATGAGCAAGAATGAAAATAGTAAATTTAACAAAACCATCTTGCTATACGTTTTGGCATTCAGTCTTGAGTGGCTAATCGTTGTAGTTCAGCCTGCCCCTGTTTTCACTCTGCAATTACCCTGCCGTGTGGATGGTTTCTATTCCCCAGGTTCACTGCTGTGCTTTAGCGAACATTTGGCCACGCAGATCTTTGTCCTTGTATATAATTTAAAGAAGCCTTTTTTTATTTGCGTGTATTCTCTGCACTTTACCGCTGCGTGGGTGAGGCGCAGGGAAGGGATGGACTGACAATGCATTGTGGAGCCAAGTGCAGTCGCTTGGTGGAAATTGCGAGAGTGGGGACGTCTGAGTGGATGTTTTGTACGGCAAGGAAAGGAGGAGAACGTGTGTGTGTGTGTGTGTGTGTGCGTGTGCGTGTGCGTGTGTGTGTGTGTGTGTGCAGGGCCATCACTAAAGCTTGAACGCAATTCATGCAAAAGATTATGACCACCAGCATAAATTAAGTTGGTTCTCTTATTTGTGGCAATATGCGTCTATTCTGGAATCTATTCATACACAGGTGATTTTATAGTTAAAAATATTTATCAAATATTCTTTTATGTGCAGCAGGTTACATGGCACACTGAGAAGGGCTGCTTCAAGTTTATTGTTCAATCACGTTGCAATTATGATTTCAATGTTGTCAGCTAATTTTGTGATTTAATAATGGTTAAGTGGTTTAACGGCTGTACAGGGAGATCAAGGCCAGAAAAGTTTGTAAAGCACAATTCACACACAAGCTCAAAGTGCTTTACAAAAACCAAGAAAGGAAAAATAAACACGTTTGACTCTCGCAGAGCAGAAATTGACTGAAAATGTGGTTTTGGTTGACCTTACAGCAGGCGTACATAAATTAATAATGAAAATTCACTATTAACATGTATTTTAACTCATTCCTTGTTCTCAAAAACGTTTATAACTCACTAGTTTGCACATAATGTATGTTTTGGCCTCACATCACGCTCACATCTTCAGATCAGCTTTTTACGGCACAAAAGGGAAACAAAAGAGATCTACCCTCCAGTCGGTTATCTGCCCAAAACATTAAATAGTGACTCACTGGGCAAAAGATGACATAATGCCTAGTAAGATTGCATAATGGGATTTTTTTTTATTTTAATGAAAACATCAGGTACTCAGATTTAAACTACTTCCCTTTTAGCTCAAATGTATTTAAAATCTCATATTTACCACCCATTGCCTTATGGAAAAACATTAACATTAGTCACATCTCTTATAGTTTCTAACATTTGCGTTTAGGCAAGTCCTTGTAGATGAGCAAAAGAAAGACGTTCCACCAGAAAAGTGCAACTTTGAAAAATTCTGTTTACTTTCCCCACAACAAACTACCAAAAAGAAAGCACTTTCAGACTGGGTGAACCCCAAGAGCCAGCTGTTCCTTTTATACGTGGTCATAATATTATGCTTGACGGATATTATTGTCCAATTTGGAGCGTCTCAGTCGTTTTGTCTAGAGTTTTATTTTGTATTGTTTTCATCAATTTTGCCTTCAATACTCCTCCTTTCTTTGTTATCTAGAATGCACTTTGTACTAAAAAAAACCTTGGCTAGTCAATAAAATAACATTGTATATTCCTTAAAGATGTTTTAAAGAAAATCAATATACTTTCCCCTTTGTATCTTTAACCACTTAATGTAGCATCGCGTATTTTATCAATGTATAATCTGGTACAAATGTGCAGCTTTATAATGTCCCGGTTTGTATGTTTCCTGGAGTTTGATCAGAAGTGGAAGAAACAAGTGGGCCTTTTTTTTGATAATGTACAATAACTGACTGCTAACTTTGAGAAGTAAACCAGTAGCCATTATTATCATAACTGTGTGTGTGTCTTATCCTTCCACAAACTGTACAAAAAGAGGCCAGGATGGGTCTTGGATGTGGGTCACTGTGGTAAAGTTGAAAATAGTTTGTCTGCTTTGTTGCTGCTCTTGTTTTGATCCATGTGTAGAGACGGTCGTAGCCTCTTCCCCTCGAAGGGCACTGGATTCTTGGCAAATTGTCAAAAAAACAGACGCAGAATCCGACCTCATAGTTTTGTCAATATAAACATGTGAACGCTTGACCTTAGCTCCTATTTTGGGGAGTGAAGCATTCTGTTTTGGGCAGGTGGTGAGAAAAGATAAGATAAAAGATGTTCCAAGAAATTGTCAGAGTTTAAGAATAATGCTGTGATTTTCAAAGAGCTGACTCAGAAAAACTTGGAAAAATGGATTCTCGAATGAGCAGTACGAATACTTAGAAAGCTCTTGTCACTTTTAGACTTGCGCATAGTAGGGAAAAGTTCACAAATTATTGCATATTTTACCCCCTGTCAATCCTTTAGGCGCCAAAGTAGAATTTCTACCAATGATAATGGCTTAAACAAATGTTTTTTCCACACATACTCTCAGCCAATGACTCGAGTGCTTTCTATGCAGCTGTCACAAAGACTTTCCAACACTTTTCTTGAAAAAATATTGGTCATTATTTAGTGTCCATTAACAATTATGAGAGAATTTGCTTCATAATTTAATGTTTTAGAATGTAAAATAATTTCAAATGACTACAAACGCAGCCATGTTGTGATGGTAAAGAATATAATTTTAGCTGAGGAATTTCCTAAATTAATTGGGGCCTTTAATTGCGGGTTTGTGCCTAAAGTTCCTGATAAAAGCATCATGATGGATCTAAAAACAAAGTTTTTGATGAGGAAACAATGTTGTACCTTGGTTAAAAGCACAAAAAGCATTTCCTTTAGTTTTTTTATAGTTATAGCATAGTTATAGTTCTAGATCAGTCATTCTGACAAAAGGGGTACAAATTAATTTATGAATAAAAAAATCACTGAAACTTAACTGCTTCGAACCTCTGGCTTTCCCGTGTGTTTCAGATGATTGACAATAAACAGTTAAAAGGAGAATAGCTTTAAATGTTGTGTATACAGTGAACTAAATATACAGCACTGGACAAGTATGCAATGGCACTTCACTTCAAATAATATATGGAGTGACACTTGTGGCATTTTCCAATCTAAAATATGGGGTTCTGTTTTGAAAATGGTAGTTTTGTCCTGTGGTTCGAATTGGAGTGTAATTTGGATGTTAAATGTATAAGCCTTAATTTGGATGTTTCTGAAGGACTCACTTTTGTCCCTCTTTTTGGAGATTCACATTGATCATTTGACTTGACAATGCATTGGACATGTTTTTACTCGAAGCCATATTCACCCATGTATAAAAAAAAGACCTGCAAACCTCTCCTTCACACAGCAAGGGTGGATCAGTCTCTCACTGAAGCTGCTCTCCTGAGCAGTGTCCTGCAGGGGGTGACAGTCATGGTCCAGCAAAGATGTTAGTTTGTCTACCTGCTGCACTGTGTCCAGGGGACAGCAGGACAGAGCTGGACTTCCTGATGACCTTGTCCAGCTTCTTCCTGTCCCTCTCTGCGATGCTGCTGCTTCAGCAGACCACACCGTACAAGATGGCTGACGCCACCACAAGGTAAAGGTAAAGGTGCACTTTATTTATCCCCCCAGGGCAATTCCTCCTGATGCTGCTATAAGGCTTAAGGCTTATGCCGTGAGCAGTGGTCCCCATAGTCCCATCTCCAGATGTTTATGCTCTGCTTTGTCAGGACCGAAGCTGAAGGATTTTTACCTATTTTACATGTTTTTAGTGGTAGGGGAAACCGGAGCACCCAGAGGAAACCTGCACAGGGAGAACATGCAAACTCCACTCAGAAAGACCCTGTTCCGACCAGGATTCAAACCTACATTGTATTTAGCAGTGGGGGGCATGAGAGGATTTCAAGCATAATTTAGGCAGCTCTCAATGAGACGTGAGAACCTTTATACCCACTCAAATATTAGCACAACCCGTCATAAAACACACATTTTAAACGGAAACCTCATTTGACGGCTTTCAAAACACACCACATAGTCCAGGCTGAGCCCTTTCTGAAAATGCACTGTGGCTTTCGTATTATTACACATGCAGTGATTCATGGAGGCTGCAGGACTGGGATGAGAGAACTCGTCTGGTGATTCAGTGTTGAGTGGGTGGTCAGGTACCCCACGCTCTCTTTCCTCTCTCCTCTCTTTTTCTCCTCGCAGCTAATAACACGTCTGAACATCTCCATTCCCATTTGGGTTTGAAAATAGTGCACCGCCCCAGCTGTTCGTCATTACGCCCGTGGTGGAAGCTCTGTGTCTGTCAGTGCGGAGATAAGCAAAGGACTGGGCGCCTCATTAAACTGGATGTTTGTACTCCTTTATTGCGACTCCTGCCTCGCACACAAAACAATATCAACTCTCTCTCTAGAGTTTCCGGCTGTAGTTATTAAATGGAAACATGGGCTCATTGCTTTTTGTTATCAATTTGAGGGCAGCGAGTTACTCTTCAGGTTTTGCACTGATCCACCCACCGTTCCATTAAAAGTTTGGCTTATGTCTCTTGTATGTGCCTGTGGGGTCTTCTTTGCAATCCCCATATAGGAAGTTATCGCGCTATTGTTTTTTTAAAGCAGATGTACCCAACTTTCAAATAACAAACAAGTTAAATCCAGCACTAAAATCATCTTTCAAAGCGTATACAGTTCTATATTGTTTTACATATATGTGTTTTAGTATAGTATAGTAATGATGTCAAGCTTATTTACTCAAAAAGACAAAGCAATAGACACATTTATTTCATTTTAATTTATTTCCCAAGTAAAGAGTATTGGACTTGTTCATTCTAATGCATAATTTGAAAAGGGGTCGGATGAAGCAGACACTCATTTGGCCCCAACCTTTCTCACTCATACCACACAAAACACGCACAAACACAAACTCACTCACTGATTCAACCAAAAACATACACACTTTCACACAATTAGACAAAATGCAGGCCTAAACACTCTGACCCTACACCTCTCTTCCCGTCATATGCTCTGTGCTGTATGTATCACGCAATGTAATCAATGTATTTGTTTCAAGCTTATAAACAGGAACAAACACTTCTGATTTTCAGTATTTATATATATATATATATATACACACATGATATAAACATGAACACTCATACATACATTCTAAGGATTCTTTTGTTCATACTTATAACCTCCCCCATATGCCTAATTTCAACTAAATACATTTATTTTCATTGAATCATTCTTTTTGGCCTCTATCACATCTTTAAATCAGCTTTTTCAGACAGAAACGTTTAAACGAAAGGACAACCCTCCCTCAGCCGATCAGCTCTTAGCCCAAAGCGTCAAATCATGACTCCAAGGGCTCCTGCAGTATAGAAATAATAATAAGATAATGAATAAGACAGCATGTTGTGGCATTATGTGTTCAGGATAGTTTTTATAAAGGCTCTCGCTATTGAGACAAACCACATTTATGGAAAAAGTGACCCGCTACTCATCTGATATTTCCATGTCTAACTTTTATTTTTATATTTACCACATTACACGGTTTGATTTGCATTTAATGAAGTCAAGAGTCATGTAAGGAAAAGCTGCACAAACTATGTAAATACTGGTTTACTGCCTCGTCACTTGTTCTTCTGGTTTGAGCGGAAATTGTTTGTTTGTATTTTTGCGCAGACTTGAACAATGTTTGACTATGTGTATGCTTGTAGTGTATTTCCCTCATAGTCGCACATACACGTATTTAGAAGAAAATTCTGGTTAATGCTGGTGATGAAAAAGTACATTATTGACAAAGATCATTTTGACTCCCATCCAGTCATGTTCAGATGTGAAAATATCATATGGAGTCAGTGTGAAAAATTAATTATTTGAATTAATTCAAAATCACAAATGCCTTTTTTCTTTGACTATTTTAATTGGTGTTGGGGAATTTACTTTGTAATAGCCTGTATATTACAACTGGCATACTTGTAATACTGTACAATTGACAAAAAATACAAATGTTTTATATAATATTTGTGGAATATTACTTTTTATATATTTTTATAGAAATCAATTGCAAGGGGTCAACTTTCCATGGTCATGAATTAAGTTTATTTTTATTTATTTTTAAATATGGAAGTGCCAAAGTTACTGTGTACCAATTGACATGGTCGTAATGAGAAACATATTATACAAATTCAGTATACTGAATTTGCAATGTAGACGTTTTTAATTTATACTTTGTGTATGATTTTACTTGCAGACCGGTTTGATTGAAGAGAATGGATGCTCAATTGACTTTATAACTCCGAGATAGCATTTATAGTTGGTCCAGAACACTACTGTGGGATGTAGTCCTGATGAGAAAGCGCGCAGGCAAGCCAGGCATCTCTCTGTAGCGCGCCCCCTCCTCGCGCTGCTCCCACCCTCGTGAACGCCCACAGTAAGTAGTTATTAAAGGGGCGGACCAGGGGGCGCGGTCACGTCACCAGCGGCGACAGTGGGTTTGACTACTGTCACATAAAAGTCCTGCTCCGCTCCTTCCACCGGCGGAAGTCTTCTGGAACCGAGTGTGAGCGGAGCTGCGCGGGGGAACCGGACCAAGGCAGTGGGTAAATCTGACTATTTTATTTTTTCTTACAAAATCTATTGCCTGTTGAAACCTGCACTATTCAGGTGCAATGTCAAGTGTATAGCGCGCACTCTGCTGTTGAAAGGTCAGATCCGAGAAAAAAAAAAAAACACATTAGTTAAATAAATAAACGGATAAGGAAAACTGGATATGAAACAATTAGGCTCGAAGCGAAATGGATGCTATAATTACATTTTACGCACCATAAGATTTTGAAGCAGTTTCCTTGTTGGATTTGTGCCAGAGACAGTGTTATCTGAACAGTTTATGATGTGTAATTCAGGAAGCCCAGACAGAGGTGATGAAGTAAATGTTTCCCCTTCTTCTCTTCAGGCCGAACAGCAGGGACCATGGCTGCGCATGCGCCCCACATCCCCTCTGATAAGCGCTTTATCATCTTCTTTGACTTTGACGAGACCATCGTGGATGAGACCAGCGATGACCAGGTGGTGCAGACGGTCCCTGGACAGTATCTCCCGGACTGGCTCAAGGACACGTACCAGCCGGGCCGGTACAACGAGTACATGCAGCGTGTGTTTGGGTACCTGGCGGAGCAGGGTGTGACCGAGAGCGACATCCGCGCCGTGATGGAGAAGATCCCCGCCACCCCGGGCATGCTGACGCTCTTCCAGTTCCTACGCACACGGCCGCAAACGGACTTTGAGGTGGTGCTCTTGTCCGACGCAAACTCCTTCTTCATCGAGTCGTGGCTGCGGCGCACAGGGTCACGCAACCTCTTCCACCGCATCTTCACCAACCCCGCCACCTTCAATAAGGACGGCCGGCTGATGCTGCGGCCCTTCCACTCACACGACTGCCTGCGCTGCCCCGTCAACATGTGCAAGCAGGTGGTGCTGCGCGACTACATCACGCGCAGGACGCAGGAGCGCGGCCGCCCTTATCAGAGGGTCTTCTACGTGGGGGACGGGGCCAACGACTTCTGTCCCGCGGCAGCTCTGGGTCCGAGAGATATCGTCTTCGCGCGCAGAGACTTCCCCATGCACCGGCTCATCAGCGAGACACACGAGGCCAGGCCCGGCGAGTTCAAGGCCGTCACTGTGCCCTGGACCACCGCGGATGAGGTGGTGCAGCGTCTGCGCAAACACGTGGCAGAATAACAACATAAAGGACAATAATATCCCAATCTCAGGTGAAGGGAGCAGAGTTCAAGACCAGTCACGTGCTGCCAAGTCCAAGTCCTCAGTCCTGTGCTCACGTTTCAGACTGGTCACTATCACCAGGTTAAACTTTAGGTAAAGTCTAATAAAAGCTCTATAAGCCACTATGCCTCCCAAATATGTTCTTGTAGAGCCTACAGCTATGTAGTTGTGCAATATTATAGAATAAGTGAAGAAAACCCTTTCATTCAAAACCTCTAAAACCTTTAACGGAAAGTATTCACGTAATATCTCGGTACAGGGTTATTTAATGAGTTCACACCAAAGAAGGTTTTTTGTCAATTTCTATTGTTTTGTTGATTTTGTTATTTTATGATGTGTTATGGATTTCCTGTTATTTTACTATGTCTTATGCTGATTTGTGTATATGATTTACCTGTCTGTCTGTGCTGTGCTGAAATGTACCATAAAAACCAGCAGGAATAAAGCCATACCTGAAGCCCGGTTTCTCTGAGTTTATACCGATAGTTTCACATTTACCTCCGGAAGAAAAAATTTGATCGTAAAATATGCCTCATTTACAAACCATTTGTCATATTTATTTAGTTAGGTTTTTTAATACAATGAATACCTATATTTAATAATGAAACAAAACTTTAATGCTCACAAATTATGGTTACTTATAATACACAGTATATATTTATATACAATTATATAATTATATTAAATATAGCTCTTTTTCCTACTACATACGCAGCACTATATGATTCCACTGCTTTGATATTCCTTTCTCTTGCTATTTTTAAATGGAGTAAGAAATAGACAAATTTATAAATGAATACATAGACTGGCATATTGTTTTACGATAATTAGTGAGAGCATTTCACCTGTCAACATTTTCACTGTAGGTCTTAAAACTCCAGGTATGTTAAGTTATCTCAGTGCTTCCCAAAATGTGGTCAAGGTCCCCCCTCCCTTATCTATACACATAGTTAATATAAAACACTTTTGATAAATTAAGAGATCCTATATTTGTACAACAATGGGGAGATAATAATATATATTTCAAATGAATTAGTATTGATTTTAATTATAATATATTAATAATATTTACAGTTACTTTATTTGGTGGGTCGGGGGTGGGGGGTGTTATAGTTATACCCCCTGGCTTGTAGGCATTTTATTTGTATACAATTATATACTTGCACTTTCAAAAAAATAAACCAATTTCTTAGCAAAATAAGTCACAAAGTAAATGAAACAGTGCCCCCTGGCGGGAGCGCATGTACTCGTTGCTGTCATATTAAACACACTCGGCAGAGGCGCTGTGGAGCTCAGAGCTGCAGATCACCGCAGACGGATGTGACCTGAAGAGGAAAAACCCGGAAGTAGCTCTCGCGCGCATGGCGGCGGTGTTTTGGAGATAATTCTCTGCAAAGTCAACTTTTGAGATCGTTTATCAAAGAAAAGAGACCCGATTTGCATAACTAAGACTTGGTACGTTTAAAACACATTCATTTTGTAATTGTTAGTTTTCTGCTTTCCCTACACGTATTTTTGTTTACAAAAACGTTGCAGCAACGTCGCTTCATTCATTTCTTTACCATGATAGCTGTTAGCATATTAGCATCATTTTTACAGTATTGTCTTATTCAGGATCACCCTAGGCTCTTTATATATTTAAAATGGTATGGAATTTGATGTAGCCAAATCTAAGGCCTTTCAAATCGGAGCATCCATTAACTACATACTAGGTTATATACATGCGTCTGAAGTGTGGAATAAATATTGCATGCTGTAACTGCCTGGATTTGTGTGAACTGTTTAAAGAGTGGACACACTTACTGATTGAAAACGACTCTGTAATTCGTTGTGTTTTATTAAAGTTTCAGCTCGTTTGAAGATGGAGGCAGATCTATATGACGAGTTTGGAAACTACATTGGTCCAGAGCTGGATTCTGATGACGACGATGATGACTTGGATGCAGAGGACAGAGATATGGATGAGGTACATTAGATTTCCCAAAATGTTAAGAACGCAGTTAAATGTCTTAATTATGGAGAATTTATGCATGTTATCAAAGTGAAGTAGTTATGTTATATTTTGACATTCAAAAGTAATAGTAAAAGGCTTCTGATTCAGCCCACTTTATTTTTGCCGCAATTCATTCGAGCGGACAAAAAACATAAACAAACTGTTCAATAAAACCATTGCTGTACACCTTGGTCTATAAATGTTCTTTCCATCTTGGGAACAGAGGGACGATGAGGAAGAAGACGAGCCTGCGGACGCTGATGACGATGTCCCTGGGATGGAGGTGGTTTTACACGAGGACAAGAAGTACTACCCCACAGCAGAGGAGGTGTACGGCCCCGAGGTCGAGACGATCGTACAAGAGGAGGACACGCAGCCGCTCACAGGTGGGAGAGGACAACAGGACTGATGCCATTGCCTTTGCTATTGCTATATGACTTTTTATATACTATCCTGTGTTGCATGATGTTTTAGGGAGATATTTATGTTGATGGGAAACTGAATAAATATATTGAGTCAACATAACCAAGTTTTGCTCAATTTAAAGCTGCATTTGCTCTTGACCCGTTGTTTAGTAACTACATTGTAACGTCATAGAAAATTAGATGCTCTGTGATTTAAGTCAGATCTAAGATGGCGTTTGTTAATTTTTGGTTAAGGTTTAAACACATTCCTTATGGACTGATTTTTTGGCTTCTGTATTTGGTAAAAGAAAGCCTCAATACTATTTAAGAAAACTCCTCAAAAGGTTGCATTTAGCCTAATCAGTTATTAAGTGGTGAAAGTTCTTGAAATGTATCAGTTATAATCTTGTCATTTCCCTATGCGTTTTCATTTATCTATCGGATTTTTTACATTTTTCTCTTACTTTCAGAGCCCATCATTAAACCCGTAAAACACCGGAAGTTCACACTGATGGAGCAGGAGTTACCAGCCACAGTTTATGATATGGAGTGAGTGTTTTTACATATTTCTCTTCAGGACTGTTTGTTTTGCTTATTTGTGGACAGCAAATATTTATTTCTGATGTGTTTGGTAGATTTCTTGCTGATCTTATGGACAGCCCAGAGCTCATCCGTAACATTACTTTATGTGGACACCTTCATCACGGCAAGGTCAGGAGGCAGTTTAAGATGCCAAGAATTAAGAAAAATGTCCTATGTTTACTTTTGTATGCTAAGTGTTTTTTTCTTCCATCCATTTAGACATGCTTTGTGGATTGCCTTATTGAGCAAACGCATCCAGAAATCAGGAAGAGAGACGATTTGGATGTGAGCACTGTTTTGTTGACCATAATTCATTACATTACTATAATTAACAATGCACCCTTTCCCTATTTTAGCTCCGGTACACAGACATCCTCTTCACCGAACAAGAGGTAAGTTAATTGTGGACTAAAATTCCCCTGTAGTTCCTAAACTACAAAGGACATTTACGCAGTTCCTAAATGTCTTTCCGTTCCATAGAGAGGAGTCGGTATCAAAAGTACCCCAGTCACAATGGTGTTGCCAGACTCCAGGGGGAAATCCTACCTTTTCAACATCATGGACACTCCGGGACACGTCAACTTCTCCGACGAAGTCACATCCAGTATCCGGCTTTCAGATGGAGTCGTCCTTTTCATCGATGCTGCAGAAGGAGTGAGTTTTTCCTCTCTCAAACTGAAAATTGGTGATGCACTTTAAGATTAGTGAACAAGGGGTTTGTTGCACAGCCAAGTACGGGCAAGTATTTATTGTGTCACTTGTTTAGAAGGACTTTGAGTAAACTAATTACAAGGCATTAGCATTGCTTTATTCATTTAATGATTTATCTTTTTTCAATTCATGTATTATTTGAAAAAGCTAGAAACAAATACATAGATACTGGGTCCCGGACAATTAAAATAAGAAAATAAATATGTGTGTATATTATGTATCAGATAGATTGATAGTTATTATCTTTTGTTTTGAGCTGTGGATTGTTCAAAGTAGATATTGGGAGGCGACCATCAGTTTTGCAGCCATCAGGCCAGCCAGCAGAACACTTTCTTGTGCATAGATTAAAGAGGAACACTCTGAGTGAACTTTCCTCAAATGCTAATATTGGAAGATGGCCGCCAGTCTCTGTTTCACTTCTGAGCTCCGAGATATTTGTCTGTGTCCAGGTGATGCTGAACACTGAGCGCCTCATCAAACATGCAGTGCAGGAGCGAATGGCCATCACCATCTGCATCAACAAAGTGGACCGGCTCATTCTGGAGCTAAAACTGCCCCCCACAGACGCCTACTATAAACTCAGGCACATCGTGGACGAAGTCAATGGAATGCTTAGGTAATATTTACAATCAAACTTCATTTTTTGTTAAAGCTATTATTAGCGCCAACTATATAGACTTTACCAACATAGTATTGCAGCATCATTCAATAAGAGAACTTGGATTAAGATTAAGAAATCCTTTATTCGCCCCACAGTGGGGAAATGTCAGTGTTGCATTACAAGTTATAGAACAGTAGGAATGAGGAGCACACAGCACAAGATGATAAGTGAACAATAACTATGATAATTGAAATAAAACAATCTCTAACTCTAGCATCAAAGAACTATAAATTCTCTATCTTGAACATAATAATATGAATATAAAGTTTTACATTTAGCAAATAAGAGGCAAGTTTAAAGTACTGTGTATTCTAGTGCAAGCAATATGTAGTTATATGTTTACATCTGTGCATGTTAGCAGCAGTATTTACATCTGTATATAGTGTATAGTAATAGTGTAAAATCTTAAGATTATCTCTATGGTAATTTTGAATGAATGTGTCGTATGCACTTTTATACTTATTCTTGCATATTATATTGTTTTTTTAACATTTGTGTCTTATTTGATTTGGGCTCCTCTCAGCACATATTCCACTGATGAGAACGTGGTGGTGTCTCCTCTTCTGGGAAACGTGTGTTTTGCCAGTTCTCAGTACAGCATCTGCTTCACCCTCGGCTCCTTTGCAAAGATCTACTCCGACACTTATGGTAAAATCTCCTCGTGATGTCACCTTTGGCCTCTACAGTTGTTTATCTGTATTAACTTCTAATTGACTGTTCGCAGGTGACATTAACTACAACGATTTTGCGCAGAGACTTTGGGGAGATATTTATTTCAACCCTAAGACGTAATTTAAGTTAATATCATATAATTCCACATTACATTATTTTATAATCCTCATAATCTTTCTCTTTCATTATAGCCGCAAGTTCACGAAGAAAGCTCCAACCAGTAACTCTCAGCGCAGCTTTGTAGAGTTTGTTCTGGAGCCTCTGTACAAAATACTGTCCCAGGTTTGTCCTGTGTATATTGAGTAAGATTACAGACACCTTAAAGTTTGACGAGAATGGATGGAGGGCCAAAAATTCATTTATAGCAATTCTAAATAGTTCTGTGATTTTTATGGGATTTGATATTTTTTTCTGTGTGTGTATTAGTTTGAAGTACACTTTATCATCTTTAAGTCCAGCAGCGATGTTTTGGTTATATATTTAGAAGAACCAAACTAGCCACTATTCACAAGAAATGTAGAATTTGGTGTATTTTATTTATTTCAAACATATGCATGCACAATAACAACTTACTTTTTGTTTTGCTCATTGAATTATTATAAAATCCTTCATTGGTTTTCATTGTAGGTGGTTGGAGATGTGGACACTTCTCTCCCTCGTGTTTTGGATGAACTGGGGATCCATCTGAGCAAAGAAGAGCTCAAGTTGAACATAAAGCCTTTACTGCGGCTTGTCTGTAACCGCTTCTTTGGAGAGTTCACAGGTAAATACAAAACCTTTAAAACTTTTTAACAATGATTGAATGTACTCACCAAATTCTCATGAATATTTTGTGTGATTCAGGCCTGGTGGACATGTGTGTGCAGCACGTCCCCTCACCACAAGATGGCGCCAAGACCAAGATAGAGCACTCGTACACGGGAGGGTTGGACTCAGACCTGGGGGAGACCATGGCAGAGTGTGACCCAGACGTAAGTACAGTGAAAGGGGAAGATCTCATTTGACCCGCCGCAAACTGAAAGGAAATGTGTTCTCACAAAAACTTGACTATTGATGAGAGTAAGAGAGCAATGACACTGGTATGGTAACGGTACTTTGACTCAAAACAAAAGAGTAACAGCTAAAAAAAAAGTCACAATTTCTTCTGAGTTGTTTTCCCATATTTAACAGTCTCTTACTCTGGTATAACCTCACTCGTCTCTCTCCCCTTAGGGCCCGTTGATGTGCCACACCACAAAGATGTACAGCACCGAGGATGGGGTCCAGTTCCATGCGTTCGGTCGAGTCCTGAGCGGGACCATGCAGGCGGGACAACCAGTCAAAGTGCTGGGGGAGAACTACACTCTGGACGACGAGGAGGACTCCCAGGTCTGCACCGTGGGACGCCTCTGGATCTCTGTCGCCAGGTTTGGGAGACTCTCTCATGGATTCTGTCGTGTTAAGAAGCCCAGATATATGCAGCTATAATATGCAACAGTCTTCCTGAAAATGTGAGACAGGCTTCTACTCTGACAATGTTTACATTCAGGATGAAAACGGTGATGATTGTTTCTTTCTAGTTTAGTTTAGGACTTTGTGTTTCTTGCCTTGCCTTGCCTTTTCCAAGTACAAAAAGCAGGGCATTTGTTTTTTCATACAATATATCAATTCGAGGCAACTTGACTTCTCAAATATGTATCCATTTATTTCATTGTTTGTTTTTATTTGAGCATGTTTAAAGACAAAAGAGAATTGTACAAGCAAAAGTAGCTTGTGAGGACCCAAATCAAAATAATAATAATAATTTGCCGTCAAACCCTTCACACTTCATATAATAATACATATTCCATGTCTCTGCTCAGATATCAGATCGAGGTGAACCGGGTTCCTGCTGGAAACTGGGTGCTCATCGAAGGGTGTGACCAGTCCATCGTGAAGACCTCCACCATCACAGAGCCCAGGGGCAACGAAGACGTGAGTCCAAAAACGAAAGGACCAGTTTAAATTCGGCTGCAATGAAAGCCTAACTATTTATGTCTTTTAATTTTAGGCCCAAATCTTCAGGCCGCTCAAGTTCAACACGGCGTCGGTCATAAAGATCGCAGTAGAGCCCGTTAATCCGTCTGAACTTCCCAAAATGCTGGACGGCCTGAGGAAAGTCAACAAGAGCTACCCATCGCTCACCACCAAAGTAAGTGGGATTATCAGGATGTTAGTTATTTTAGGATTTTAGGAAAGCTGTTTGTTTTATTGTAAACATAGTATCTAGTTTGACAACACAAGTTACCAACCATTTTATTAAAAATGCTCTATTTGTTATAGCACTTCTATAAAAAACATTGAATATATTTCTTCTGTTTGGAGAGACTGCCATCTCCTTGTTTATGCCCGTATATCATGTTATATTAGTTATTATTTATTTTCTAAAGGGTTTCCAAACGTCCAACACATACTAATTCATCCTAACAATTCACTGCGATGAATTTACAAGCATCTGTCACAACTTTCAGAGCCCAGAGCACTGTTTCTGCCATCATGCTAAAGCTGCCAACAACCAGCATGCTAACATTAATCTCATTTAACTCCTATAAGAACTCCATTTGCAATTTCTACTTGGGCAACTACTACATAGATTGAATCAACCCTTGTCTACGTTTAGGTTTTATGCGCCACTCCAATAGTTAACACTTTTTTCACACCGCCGAAGCATAACAATGTAATGCGCAATAGATCAAAATTGCTACAGATTATCCTAAAAGATAAAATTCATAAGTGGCTTTGAATGAATAAATACTGTTAAATGGTTTTACTTCTGTCATGATTTAGTTTCCCTGTGTATGAGTGCTATACAAGTAAACTTGCCTTGCATTTTTATATTGTTTTGTGTCAGCTAACCAGGCCAACACCCTCACAGCTCAATGTTCTCTGTTTATGTAAAAAAGCCACAGTGACGATGTGTGCAGGTGGAGGAGTCTGGGGAGCACGTGATCTTGGGGACAGGAGAACTTTATCTGGACTGTGTGATGCACGACCTCCGGAAGATGTACTCGGAGATTGACATCAAAGTAAGTTCTTATGTGACTTTTTGAGACCATAAAGTGAATGTCAGAATAGAAGAAACAGTTTCTGGATTGGATGCAATGAATTCAAATCCTTGACTGACAACTGAGTCTCTTTGCCATTGGTCAATTATCCTCCAGCAAACCTTACAGATAGTTATGCAAACTCTTTAACATAAATGTATTGTGAAATAGACAAATACAATATATAAATACCTAGTTTAGATGATGTTATAAAGTCATGAGCTCAAAAATATACAGTACTTACAATACAATTGAAGTTGCTGCCAATTTTTTTTTGTTGAATTGCTGAGTTTTGTTCTAATTTGTGTTGCCTACAGGTGGCTGATCCAGTCGTGACGTTCTGTGAGACCGTAGTGGAAACCTCCTCTCTCAAGTGCTTTGCTGAAACGCCAAACAAGAAGTAAACATACTTCTAAATTCTATTGTTGTAACATGCCATGCACAGTCGTTTTCAAAAACAAATGCCACATGCAGTTGTATTTTGAGAGAAATCATCCTCCTCCTCTGGTTTCATCATTATTTACAACTAACTAATTCAAGCTTTACATCAGTTTGTGACGGAAGCTTTAAGCCACCAGTGTAATTTCATAATCTCGTATTGAAAGATATTTGCTGTGTTTTTGTTTGACAGGAATAAGATCACGATGATTGCAGAACCTCTGGAGAAGGGTCTGGCTGAAGACATCGAGAACGAAGTGGTGCAGATCACATGGAACAGGTACGAAACGCAACAAGAGCACGAAGACACCACTCGGTTTATAAAGTCTGTCTTTATAACAACTTCAGACTTCTGTTTTCTGTCACGATATATTAAGGTATAAATTAAGGTATAAAAAAAGTATAAAGTTTATACATAAAATATTATTATTAGACTTTATTGCCTCAGGTTTGGATTGCACTTTAAATGGTAATTTTACTGGTCATCACTCATGACTCAGGCATCAAACACGTGTACCATTCTGAATCTTATTGTCATATACACATTATAATGCCATGAAATTCTTCCAATAGATTTATCATAGTACGCACAGCATTCAATAAAAATAGATAGTTAGGTTTGAAGTTGGAGTTACCGGTATTCATTTCATTCCAAAGTGAGGCTATACATTGATGCTTGATGGCAAATTGATTTGAAGTTTCAATGAGGTCTTTTTATGTGTGGTTTTATAAATGTCCTATAAAGGTAATACATTTCACTGCAAACTAGACCCTGATCAAAGCGAGGCTTTATGTTTCACGCCAACACTAATAGACCCTGTAATCTGAATCTATTAGACTTGAGTAATGAAAGGCAAGCTGGTTGCATTTAAAAGGTTTACTGGTGTTGAACTGCTCTTAAAATGTGCTCATCTCATTAGAGTTCTATCAGTGGTCAGTCGGGCGCTCTGAAAACTTGCCAACTCTGCTCTGGGCAAATATGTTCAGCCATATGTTCTGATTAGTACCTCCCGAGCCGGACAACAGATGAGATTTACATAGAATCAATTATTGGCGTTGTGTTTTTAATTAAGAGGTCCATAGCAAATCAACTGCTAGTGAAATAATGTCATTCGGACTAAAAAGGATTGGACAGACTTGTGTTGACAAATGAGATTGGATCAATGATTTGATGTTCATTTCAAAAGTCAGGCTTGTCTTTGTTAACCTCGCTAATCAACCTTTTTTATTTGAGAATATTAATCTGACAAATGTGATTACATTTTCTCACTCTCGCACATATATATTCTTTATACAGCATGTTTCTTGTTTGTACTTATTCCAAATTGTCCCATCTGATACCCTTTATCTTTTAACTTCACATGATACATTCATATTCCTTACCTTACTTTTCCTACTGGTGACTGCCTAAAGCCAGGGTATCTAACATTTTGTTTGTCCCAAGAGAAAGTTGTGTATCTAGTCCTTATTTGACAGATAGGGATGAGAGCTGATTGGCTGAGCAAGGTCATCCACCTTCGAGCTGATCTGAAGATGTGACAGAGGCCAAACAATGCATGCATGGGTAAAATACTGATAGAATCAAAATGTTTGGAGAATGAGGAAGTAGCTCATGACATGTCTTTACATTTGCTCTCAATTTCTCTATTAAAACCATAATAATTCAGAACAGCCATTAATTCCCATTTATCGCTCTGGTTGCAGGGATAAGTGGGCTGACATGTTAAGAATGATGATTGCTTTTTTTAATTAAACGCTGTCATTGAAGAAGCCATAGGAACCCTGACATTACATGGTTATAGAAAATGTGCTGGATTTTCAGGTAATGTTTGTTATCGCTCACCTTAGACATGAAGTTGGGGTTTTAAATTGAAACAGGGAGGTTTCAAACACAACTGATAAATTGGAAATTCTGTTTCCAACTGTAGCTCAAAGTTTAATTAAATTGCCTTAAACTTTACAATAGAAGACAAGGCAAACTTCCTGCTGAATTGGCACAAATTACCACGAGCGGTGCTTTTTCACAAGTCTTAATGAAGGGCTTAAAGTGGTTCTCACCCCCGCTCCTCGGAGCTTACGTTACTCACATTTCCTGTTCAAATCTTCCTCTAAATGGGCGTAGCCTGGAGGACTAAAGGGGGCGTGAACGAGACTGGGCCGTTTACATTGCTCTGGGCGGGGGCTGCTGACGTCAGGTCCAACTTGCAGACGTCAGGTCCAACTTCTGTGCCAGTGTTGGTGCCAGATTCAAAATTCAAATGTAGTAATACAGGTCGCCAGCAGATGGCGCCTCACAGACGGTTTTAGGCAGAAAGTCTAACTTTCAACTAATTTGCACCAAAGTGACAAGATTATGACCAGGATATGTAGACAACACTATTGGACACTCATTTATACCGTTTATCAGCAAAAAAAAGTGGATTTGAGGGTGAGTTGTCCTTTAATGAGGCCTGAGACGTCACTTCTACGGCTGAAACAAGTTAATTGATTAATTGAGACTTATTATAAAAGTAGTTGCCAACTATTTTGGTAATCAAATAATTGTTAATTGAACGGTCCAGATTCTGTTCAGATTGATGACATGCCATGAAGTGGTTTTTGTACTTACACAGCTTTACTTGTTATGTGTCCCTCGACATCAGCTCTGGAGATCCATTCCTGTACCTCCGGGGGGCGCACAAACAAAATAAAAACACACACATTGGCTGCATGGAAATCTAGGCTGCAGACTTCAAAGTTCTTGAAAAAAGTTGCGGCTTGTAGTCCAGCAAGTTCTGTAGTTGACATTTACCGCTCAAGTTCAATATATGCAGAAACCTAAGAAGTTGGAGCCTTACATTCTGGGTCGTGGACATTTTATATATTTTTTAATTACAATTTTCAACGATCCAGTTGTCTGGTGAGCCAGATGAACATGAGATAAGAGTTCCTTTATTTGCTCCAATAGTGGGGAAATTTCGATGTTGCAGCGCACATACAGGACAGTAGTAAGAGCACACAAAATATACAAAATAAGAAGTAGCTATGTTTCTTAACAAGCTGTAAATGCTATAAATGATTCTGTTATATACAGGGGTGCACATAAGTTTTTCAGTGAGGTACTCCGATGAGTACCAGGAGATGGTGTTTGGTACTCACTGCATATGTCGCATGGTTCTTAATCAAGATTTTGTACTTGTTTATTTTTAATGCTAAAGTTTAGATCAGCTCAGATAATCCACTCAATCCAAGTCAAATAATGATTCACAGGGCAGGATAATAAGTAGATAAAGTAAAGTGACATTGTGCAGTGGACAGAGCTGGACTTCCTGATGAGCTTGTCCAGCTTCTTCCTGTCCCTCTCTGTGATGCTGCTGCTCCAGCAGACCACACCGTACAAGATGGCTGATGCCACCACAGAGTCATAGAAGGTCTTTGGGGGAGTGGCCCCTGCACTCCAAAAGGCCTGAGCCTCCTCAGGAGGTAGTCGGCTCTGGCCCGTCTGTGTTATGAGACCCCTGGATGTTCACTGGGCATGAATGAAGGTCTCTGATTTGCTTTTTTTTTGCTTGTAGTGATATTGCTGTATTGATATTTATATTATTTCTGATATTACTTGGAATATAGAATGTGCTTGACTGCTTTTCCTGAATTTAATCTTTCTATTGTAATTTATAATCAAATAAAAATGAGCGATGTCCAGTTCAGCGCAACCGTTACTAAATTGACTTGAATAAATGCATTAGAATTCTCCACTGTATGGACGGCCATCGCTTTGCTTCACCAGTTCTCAGTACGCGAGTTAGAACACCAGAAATATCTGTGCTGAGGTATAGTGCCCACGTTTAATACTTACCACAAGCCTTCGCCTTCTGCGTCACTGCCAGCTTTACAATGCACATTATATAAACGCGGCCTCACGTGCGCTGTGCTTTAGGCATGCTCTAGGACGCCGGTGTAACTTGTGACATATGGCTCATTAAATGCCCTCCTTGCTTTATCGATCTGCTCACTTACCGTAATTGGATCATGCGGTAAAAGCCTGTACAAAATTTGCCGTCATAATTGCCCGTGGGGGTGTGGCGTGCGCGATAGTGAGTGTGCGCGGCATCGGTCTGTGTGTCCATCTGCCCCGAACGCCGCGGTGTGGATCCGTCCAGCCTCAGATGGGATGCTTCACACGGCATTAAACTGAACCTTCGCTCCGCAGTCCTCCCCATGCATTAACCCTCTCACCCCCCATGTCAACCAATCTTTTTAATGCCCCATGCCTTCGCGCTGCCTTCAACTGGTGGCTGCCCTGTTGGGCTCCTGGATCATGGAAAAATACATTAATATTTAATTACAACTGGAATGAATGGTGCTGTAAAAGGTGGGCCAGACAAAGGGATATTCATGCATTAAGTTCTTTTTTTTTGCCAGTTTTCTTAGTAAAACGAGATTATACTGAGCAGATTGAAGGGTTAGTCACTCTGTGGTCTTACCTGACAGACATGGGACGAGGCAAACTCCACCTAGAAAGACTGATGACTTAGTTAAATGTCTATTGTGTGTACTGAGTGTACACTTGTGTAAAGACATTTTAAGATAATATTTGCACGATGATTTTTTAAAGGATGCCTTTTATACCTATGTTTTCTTTTATAACTTTTTGTACACTAAGCCAAAGCAAATTCCTAGTTTGTGACTTACTGTTATGATTCTGAAAAATATTCTTAATATTTTAGTATGCATTTCATTTTTTCGCTGTTACACAATTGGCCATGTCTGTCAGTACAATAACTGTTACCATTTATATTATCATTGTGAGAAACTGTGTCATTGTGTTTACTGAACATTTCAAGCCTGGCTTTGTTCCATATTTTGTGATATTATCATTGCATATCAATTAAGCTGCTCTTCTTTGAGCACAAATTGACCTCATTTACTCATAAATAGGAACAGGACGTTGGCCTATATGAACGTAAATCATAGTAGTAACAGGCCATGTGATTAGAAGGCATTTGTAGGTAAAGAAAGGCTTTCTGCTTCAGGCTTGTGGGGAAAGCGGCCCTCCTAATGTGTGTAGTGAAGAAATTGTTTTTAGTAGAGGCTTCGATCAATCTGAACTGAAATGGAATTAAGGCAATCACATGTTCACTTTTGTGTAAATGTTAACTAATTTGTGTCAAAGTAAAAAGGGTTTTTATCTTTGTTTGGGATTGACTGATCGCAGAAATAAAACAATTGGTGTCTGTGATCTGCCTCAAAAATATAAACACCCTCAGTTTTTCACTCTCCAATATGCCAATATTAGTATTATATAGATTAATAGCTGTATCTATGTCGTTCTGCGTGAAGTATGTACAGTATATTGCCACATCTTAGTATTCGTACAAATATAAAAGTGCCCATATCTCATATACTTTGTTTTGCGTTGACAGTTCTAGTATTTGAATGGATAACTAATTTGTAATTAGAATTTCTATTCATAATTATTGTTTGTTTTGTTATTTTCAAGCATCTGTGTCAATAAAATGTTATTAACTTCTTAATGTGCATGAATTGCTCAGCCTCCTGTCTGTTTGCTGCGTCACAGGAAGAAGTTGGGGGAGTTCTTCCAGACCAAGTACGACTGGGATCTGCTGGCTGCCAGGTCCATCTGGGCTTTTGGACCAGACACCACAGGGCCCAACATCCTGGTGGACGACACGCTGCCCTCCGAGGTGAGACGGACGAGGCTTTGGCAGCGGCTGAGGCTGAAACAGAGCCTGCAGTCTGGAGGATCCGCCGCCAAATATAAACTGTTTAATTCTGATATAGCTTCTGTTGTTGTTCAGCGTTTATGTTAGCACCTCGCCAGCTCAACTACAAACAAAACAAATGGTGCTTTGAATTTCCATTTACAATTGACCACCACCTTCTACCTCTAATGGGTTTATGTTCTCTGTGGAGCATATTTCCTAATTGGGTAATTTACCAGTTCAATTTACAATACAATACAATTTATTCTTGTATAGCCCTACATCACAACAGAAGTCATCTCAAAGGACTTAAAAAAACCCATTGAAATCACCAACACAGATCAGAGAATCAACAGTTAAAACACAAAAAGAATATAGAACACATGTCGATAAATGCCCATACATGTTGAAGAACTTTAAAGTGTCCTGGATCATCACCACAGTCCTTCTAGTTGGACACTAACTGTCCAACAGACCCCCCCCCCCCTGCATCGGCAAGGAAAAAAGTGAGAAACCTCGGGGAGACCCATATTGAGAAAGGGATCCTCTCCCACGGACGGACAGGCTAATGATCTAGGACCTAAGCTACAGAACGTGGACAGCAGCCTCTTAACGTGGACAGGTCCGGTGCAGGATTGAAGCGCTCCCAGGCGGGTCGGGCAGGGCAGTCCGCAGGTGTAGATGGAGGAGGCCAGGTTCAGAGGTCCTGTCATTGTACCATGAAACTGACAATGGGACAACGGGTGAATAGCAATGAACAAACTACAGTCAAAATCCTAATAATGCAAAACGGATAAAGTAGGGAGGAGGAGAGGGTAGTGCTCAAGTTACATACTTCTCCCAGCAAACTGATTTGAATTTGAATAATAAACTTGATTATGACTTAAGCCACATTGATCAATTATATCTTTTGATACAAAAGCTACTTTATAGAGAAAACGATTGTCAAATACACTCGCATGTTTTGGGCCTTGGTAATTGTAAGGGTTGTTTAGTGTACACATCTCCTCTGCAAAAATTTATTTCAATAATGGTTGGTTATTTTTGCCATTAGCGGCCCTGCCCTCAACTGTCATGAGACTTGCCTTTCCCATGTCACTGTATGTTGAGAGGCTGCGTTGACAAAAGCCAATTATAATTTATGTACAGAGCGTGACCACTGCACATGTTTGGCTCTCCGCCGATATCGGACTTGTGATCTTAATTCATGACTGTTTTTACTGAATGTCTCTCACAGAATAAAATGAACTGCTCAGTCTTTCACACCACTCACTCATCTTTAATGTGTGTAAAGAAGGCACCACATTGACGCGCTCCTCTCTGTTGTGTGTAGGTGGACAAGGCGCTGCTGGGCTCGGTCAAAGACAGCATCGTGCAGGGTTTCCAGTGGGGCACGAGGGAAGGACCTCTGTGTGACGAGCGTGAGTGTCTCTGCTTCTGGCCCGGTGGCTTAGGCTCCACTTTGTGCTCGCTGCTTTAATGAAGGTCAGGGTCCTCTCTTACGGCTCTGCTCTCGCCCACAGCCATCAGAAATGTCAAGTTTAAGATCCTGGATGCTGTCATCGCGCAGGAGCCGCTGCACAGAGGCGGAGGCCAGGTCATCCCCACGGCCAGGAGAGTGGTGTACTCAGCCTTCCTCATGGTGAGCTCACGTTGGCCCGTACTCCCCGTCACCCCCGCGCTCTATACGGCTCCATTACGCTGATTACTACATCTACAGATTTTGCTGACGTCTGGTCTTTTTAATTGCAGTGCGATAACATTGCTCTTTCACATTTTTGGCTCTTATCCTGCCGGCTTTGGCCTCCTGCTTTTGGTGCATTTCATAAATCCACCATACATGGGTGGCCATTGACCATTTGTCATCGTTTGAATTGTATCACTTACTTGTATAATCTGCCGAAAACAAATCATTCAATAATATGTGTGTAATCCACAATGAAATTAAAATAGCTGGACATGTACATAAATCATCCATGTATGATTTATTTACCTTTGCTGCTTTTTGATAATTTGATTCTAGATATCATAGCTATGGCAAAGTTATATTTAAAAGTTTTGAATAATTGTCATCCAACACAAGCTTAAAACATTAATTTTATTAGTCTTAATCTGTTTAAATTGTAGATTTGTGTTCTAATCCAGTAATTTGAATATTTTCGTTGGGTACAGCCTGATTGACCAAGTAATCTCCTCTGTGCTTAAATTGGTTCACACTGTTCCTCTTCTTTTGGTCCCTTGGCAACTTTCCCAGTTCTTCCCAGGTTATTTCCATCGGAAATGAATCCTTAAGAACTGTTCATTTCTAAATCCTTTTCCTCCTGGTGTTCTTACATAGGTGGTCTGGATTGTCTGTGCACACAATACAGGACCAATTTAATCTGCACTGGCATGTTTTTGTAATAACTTTTTATGCTCAGTTAATGCACATAATAGATATCCATGTCTATCTTATCTCTCCTTACAGTACTCTGGAATAGTATGCACTATTCAATATCTCTATGACTTAAAGTGCATCACTTTCCTTCTTTGTGCTGATAAAAAAAAACGTTTTAAAATCCACCCAAAAATATCCAGTTTTCAAATAATTGGGTTAATTAAGATCATCATCCGATTAACACACAGTACTACATTGTTTCCTCATCAAAAAAGAACTCTGCCCAAACACATCCCCTCAGCTAATCAAAATAAGTATGCTACAAAGATCCTTAGACTGTGATGTCATGGACACTGCTTGTTGTCTAAAAATCTAATATCTAAATTGTCTCAGAATTTAGAAGAGATTTTCTTTTTCAACTTATTTGAATCTATATCTACTAGGGGTGTGACGATATATCAATTTTTCAATATATCGCGATACTTTCTCCCGCAATTCGATTATTGATATGCATTTGCCAAGTATCAATATCGATTTTGAAAAAAAAAAAATATGTATTCTTTTTTTTAATTGGCATCAATACTTAATATATGGCTACATTACGCATCTCCATTCTATTAACCATGAAATCAAGAGTATTTGTTCTTTTATTTATGCCATAAATTGGCATATTGTATATTTCTGACCAATATATAAATAATCGTCATATCGTGATAAAATCGTTATCGTAATATCGTTATGGTGATATTATCGTTATCGTGAGCTTTGTATCGTGTATCGTATCGTGAGGTACCCTTAGGTTCCCACCCCTAATATACTAAAATAGATTAAAAAAAATCAATTAAAATCAGAATTTCCCAATTATGCTCAAGATCATCATGTTCGTCCTAGTCATTGCTTACTAAATCTTTCCTGAGTTTGTGGTGGAAGTGGGAATCCAATTCATGTGATCATTGGAATCTATTTTTTTCAATGTATTACAAATTTACATATTTCATGAAATACATACAGAACAAAGTGTATTCATAAATGTTCTACAGTATAAATTATTTTCAAATATTAAATGCTAGTGTCAATATTCTCAAGATAGTGTTTAAGGAATAATCCTGTATATTTTTCATCTCTGGTAGAAACTAAATGACCATTTCTCTTCCCTCCCTCTCTCTGTGTCCAGGCCACTCCGAGGCTCATGGAGCCATATTACTTTGTGGAGGTGCAGGCTCCGGCTGATTGTGTGTCGGCTGTGTACACGGTGCTGGCTCGAAGGAGGTCAGTGACATGGGGCTATTCACATGCTGATGTACAAATGACACAAGCCATTAAAGCAACAACAAAAGGAAGTTCACAGCAAGCAGAAAACGGCACGCCTCTGGGTTTTCTCTGACCTCGAAACGCTTTTGTAATCATCTAGGAGGCTATTGCCTAAAATGTTTAAAGCAATTGGAATATGGAAAAAAAAATTGATGTTTGTATAACACAATTCATACACAGACCAACACAAAGTGTTAAATTGTACAAAACAACGAAAAAGAAAACTAAGCGAAAACAACATGAAAGAAAACCTTAAATCAGATGCAGATAAGATCACAACAGATCTGTTAGTAACTGATATTTGAACATTGTCAGGGTACACTTTTGTCTCAGATTTTCTGGAAGATGTTTCCAGAATGTAGCTGTTTATCTCTGAAACTCCGTGTCTGGAGTCCTGACTCTGGGAACCACACAAAGAACAGCTTACTATAACAGTGTGTTGTCCATATACTATGCCAGAATTATACATTCATAAGGCCATGTTTCACTGGGGCAAAGTTTTATGGACGGCAAGATTTCCAATGTCAAAGTTCCTGATTTCATGGTTTCCCTTCTCCGGAGAATAGAATGCTTTCACTCAAAACTACCCCTTTTTAAGTTAAGTGCATGTAGCAGAGCGTAGTAAACAATACTGTAAACAGACAAGGTCAATATTTACTCCAACAGCAGCTGCCACATATATTTGGCATTCAATTCTTGTGCAGATATGATAAATCTAAAATGGCTGCTAAACCTGATTGACAGACTGTAGCCGTACAGCGAAGGTGTTTTTTCTATTTTTACGATTTTCATTGGTTCCATGGTTTTTTACAGAGGACACGTGACCCAGGACGCCCCCATCCCCGGATCCCCGCTCTACACCATCAAAGCCTTCATCCCAGCCATCGACTCGTTCGGGTTTGAGACGGATCTGCGCACGCACACTCAGGGACAGGCCTTTGCGCTCTCGGTCTTCCACCACTGGCAGGTCAGGTTCACGGTCACCATTCTCCTCTCGCATCAAAACCACATAAATCCAAGTTGCTTATAAAATAAAATGCAGTACATCACCTTCTGCTATCCGCACGGTTCATCGCCTCATGTGGCTTTTCGAAGCAGTAAACGTCCATTGCTGTAATGTTGATGCTCTGAGTAGCATGTCTTTACACAATTAGATTTAGTTTTTACTATTGTGATCCCTTGAGAGAATAGACTATAAAACTGTCCTTTATCAAATATGAAATCTTTTTGCAAGGACACAACTGGTGATCAATCCAGACGTCTCACAATTTGAAGTGCCAGTTCTATTGGACGTATCCCTGTAAATTTCCCGTGGGTAGTTCACAGCGGTGAGTCCTATGCGTCATCTTTGCATCAAACCCTATGGTCGATGAGTTTTTGGGCGGAGAGAAGTCTGCTCGGCCGTTGTGGAGCCAGAGTAAACAATGCTCTTCTGCGGCAAAACATTTTCATGCCACAAAATAGGGGAAACAATTCTAACACTGACGACTTCATCTAAAATGTAGGCGGCTGGTCCAGTCCTGATCCGGAACACTGCTCTGAAGTCCAATAAAACCCATAAGGATTTTGATTCTTTTTTGGGAAAGTTTTAGATGTTTAGGGCCTTAATCCGCTGGTTAGCAAAAACATCTCTGCTTCCTTTATCACCACGGAGAGTGGATTGGTGCAGGTCGGCGCACATAAGGTTTCCCATTTATGCACAAACAAGAGGCATGTAAAGTGGCATTTGAGCAGTTGCCACCACCGCAATTCGTTCCTGAGGGAGGCATGACCCCTATGAAGTGATCCTGGAGCTTACTGTTAATTTGTGCGTTCAAATTTACTTTGGAAATCCCGGCTTTTGCCCTGTTCAGCTACAAACGTCATAAAACAAGCTTGATGACTACATTTACCCTGTAGAACTGTCATAAAGAGCCATAAACAGAGACGCCGGCAGCGGGTTCTGGGCCTTAGACTCAAACATCTTTTAAGATCTGAAGACTGCAACAATGAGTCGCGTGTTGCACCCTTGCATTATTATTTACGCCTGATCGCTTTGTGTGACCCTTGTGGATAATGCTATAAAAATTAAGATTACTTACTCAAATTGAACTTTCAAAACCCCTTATAAAGGTCTTACATTTGACTTGAATAAACCTGGAGCTACATGGACATAAATACATCAGCAGCACTTGAATCGCTGACATTTGTGAGTCGTATGAAAACGGCATTTGTCGCTTGAACGTCACACGGTCACGCACCACGGGGAAATGCACACATTGACGACTTGGAAATCCCAGTCACTCGCAAAGTCGTCGGCGATTTACAGCTTTAAACTTCAAAAGCAAACGTCTGCTGAAGGACTGGTGTGATGGCCGTAAAGCCCTAATCCTTTTCAAATGCAGCTAATTTTCCCTGACGCAGCTCTGCTCAGCGCAGACACAAGCACAACAGACACGACGGCCGCATTACACAGTGGAACCTAATGAGTCAACGCGCTGCGGCCAATCACAAGCGGTTTAGTCCGAGGAGCTGATGTGTGCGCCGTCGTGTGCGCCGTCGTGGTCACTCTGCCAAGGTTCCGTGAGACACAATTTGTTTTGCATGTGAGCGGAGATGCCAGGAGTGGTTATTTATAGAAGTCACATTAAGTCGAATTTTTCACGAGGCCCCAATGCAGATGCAAAAATAGAAGGTTTTTCAGGTTTTGTTTCTACCAGATGTTCGAGGAAAGACCTTTCTTTTGCACCAAGTTGTAATTCTGTTCACTGGCCTTACCTCTTTCTCCACTGCTTACGTTCATATTGCCAATGCATCAACTACCAGCTCTCAATTCGGAGCATTGTCATCATCTGATTCATACCTAAATGTCAATTTGCAAAAGCTCTTGTAAAATTAAACTGGACATGAATGAGCCGGTTTTGGTTGAAGAAAAACCAAAAAAATTGGAGTCTGACCGTTGCTTGACAGGTTTAAAATGTTCTAATGACCCACAAGTTTGACTGATGAGCATTTCTAACAGACAGTAGCACATTATGTCCTATAATTTAATCCAAATCTGACAAAATTACCAGAAACTGAAAGATTGTCGTTGTCCCTATAGTAAAATGTTATCGAGGTGTTTAGCTTTGCCTCCATCAGCCAAACTGGACTTGTTTAGCTACGGTCTGTCTTCGTTGATTGTAGGATTTTTTTCATATTGATCTAGCTATTATACTTTTTATTAATCAATTAGTTGTTTAGAATGTAATTTTGACCTTATACCTTCAGTCAGGGGTGTCAAACTGGTCCTCAAAGAGTTAGTGTGGCTGCAGGAGCACAAGCATGTCTAGCCTCTTTCTGTCTTAACATCTCACAGCACATGCATCTGTTGGGAGTCTGCAAATACAACTTAACGATTAATCAATTGGTGAAAATAGTTGATTATTGAAAAAAAAAAAACGGTGCGATCAATCATTACAGCAGCTTGTGAACCCAAATCACTCCAATGTACATTATGTGCAATGGAATATTTCTCCAGTTTTGCTTCTTGTGTCTGAACTCACCTGTGAATTAAATGCGGACTGCTCAAACTACTTCAATATTTGTTCGATCTGGGACTGGAGTGTTGGGATTTCCAACGAAAACGGTCATTTTAACTCTGTCAATATAAGTGCTTGTATGAAGACTAATTCCCGGGGCCTCGGCTCTGATCTTGTTAGTACCCGGCGCGGCGCATATCCCGGGAATAAAATCAATCACATGTCAAATTATTTTTTTAAAGGGCTGCTTCTATCATGCTCTGCACCTGAACCTGTCCGTGCATCAACGTTGCGATCTCCGTGAGGCCTTGTCAGAAATTACTGTAACCATCTCGTGTCGATTCCGCTGCCAGAGAACACATGAAAGCCATTACCTCTCCGGACTCTTGGCATTTGCCTCTTTTAACCAAACGGAGCAGTGTCGACCTCTCATTACAGCTTGCCATCGTTACCATTGGCTCTTCCATAGTCGTCAGTGTTGAATTACTCCGTTAGCAGCTCTATCTTCTGATGAAAAGGCAGCATCTACGCAGTGATTAGTTTTCCTGCTTTGTTCCACTTTGAATCTGTCTCTGAAGATGAGAACGTCTTATTTAGTCCCTTATTATTCCGATCCATACAGCTTCCCCATCACAATTAGAGTAGACGTGCACAAATCACTCCCAATTTCGAGATTACGTTGAGAAGGGCATTTCCAAGTTGCGCTGCATACAAAAAGCATTTTATCGCCAATGTCGGTGAACAAAACAAGGATTTTTTTTGTCATCATGGCACGTAATATATTAACAGATATAGATGAAAAAAAGATGAAAATATATGAAACGTGTAATCTGCATCAATCACTTTTCTGGTTCGTACAATTTAAGCTACGGTTTCTTCTTTCTATCATCTATCTTTCTATCTTCATTTCAGCCTAATTTGATGATATATGGAAATTAGATAGAATTCATGACAATCCTTGATGCGCCCTTAATAAGGACCCTGGTGGTGGTAAATAATAAGCATTTCCTTGGACATATGGTAATGTTTCTATGTTCCTCTGATGCCCTTTGCTTCAGCGTTGGTTAGTTTTGAGCTCCAAGGAATAAAGAGTTGGATTTAATTGATTAAGCTTTAACATGTTTGCACAACCGGAGTACATTACAATCTATGCCAAACGTGACATGTACATTTCTCCATTGTGAGATCAATAAAGTTTGATCTTATCTTGAGGCCACTGTATTAGTTGACAGTATCAGTTAAATCCCGTATTTCTCAGAGTGTGTAGTAAAACCATAACATTGCGTCTTCCTGGTATTTCCCACAAAGTCCCGTATCCATATTCGATCCCTGCAGTTATCACCTCTACAGTTTCCGCTCACCCGTTTGACCAGAAAAGCTCCGAGATGTCTGACAATCCCAGGCCGCGCACGTGTGGGAAGATCACGCTCTTTAACATAATGGACTTAGTGAATCATTCTAAAAGCCCGCCCTTCTCCTCGCGCGGCTCCTGCGACGTCGTGTTTATCGCGGACTGAAGCCCTGACAGCCCTGACATGTGGCGCTCTCGATCACGGTGATGGATGCGCCTCTGACTCAGGAGCAAAAAAGACAGATTTGCAGATGAATCAAACATTTAGTGAAGGGCTCAACACTCGACAGAAATGTCACGTGTCTGTCAGATTAGCTGAAGTGGGGTTTTTTTTTTTTGGTTTTCTTCTTTTCTGCAGCCTAATCACGTTTTATGTTGTTGTTATGTAATGTTGCAGATCGTTCCCGGTGATCCGCTGGATAAGAGCATCGTGATCCGGCCTCTGGAGCCACAGCCTGCGCCGCATTTGGCCCGAGAGTTTATGATCAAGACGAGAAGACGCAAGGTGAGGCCTAGCGCTCTATTGGGGGGGCCTTATGCCACTTTCACATAGTGGCTTAAAGCTGGGGTGCGTACATTTCAAACCACAGATGGAACTTTGTAATAGAATCCATGTAACGAGTACCTGGCTCTGAAATGGTTTGGTTTGATCACTAGTTTTTACAGCTATATAGAGCAAATCAGATTTTTCAGATAGAAAAGTTAAAAAACGCTTTAAGTAGTGGCTTACAGGGCTCTTTCTGACTAGTATGCACAATATAACTCTTCCTGTTGGGTCAAAGAAAAGGTTAAATTATGAAGTAAATGAAACATAATCTAGTAAAAGCAGTACTGTGACCACTTGGCCTCTAATGCCATAGAACATGGAGAAATATGTGCACTACCAATAAGTGTTTCTATTCTGTTTCTATTTGTAAATGCAGTTGTTGTAGCCACGATTTCAGATTTTTCAATCACTATTTCTAAAAGAACAATTGGGCAGTGGAGGAATGTAGATCAGGTCTGCGTCATGTTACGAAGTTAAAATCCTAGGTTCTTTTGACAGATAGTAGATCTGCACATACATTATTCTGGTAATGTGATCATTTTGAGAGACTGTAGTGAAAGAAATATGGTTGAATGTTCCGGAACAAGAATATAATGAGGTAAAGTCTTTGTTGTGGAGACAGAGTAAGACCCATGTGCTGTGGTCCGCTGGAAGTGGTGTTGATACAATTCTGAATCAGTGAAAGATGCGCCAATAAAACCTCTTTTGCCACAGGCTCTTGCTTTTACCCAGTGTTAGTGGTCTTCCAAGATGTGTGTGTGGGAGGGGTGGGTAGTCTCACTCTCACTCCTCACTTTCAAACCTTTACACCATTTTATGTAGTTTGTTTACTCGGGAAAAGGATAATTGGATAACTGACCTCGTCCTATTTAAATCAATGTGACACAGGCAAACCAGGCCATGTCCATATAAGTGTTGTCGTTGTGTAAATCGCATAAGCACAAGTGGTCTTGATCTTTTGTGCTCTGCTGTGAAAGCGCACATGATATTACTAACAAGCAGATGCGTTTTTAAGTGAAATTACACGATTCCTCAAAAAATGTCACAAAGTACACTGCTCAATCAAACAGAACACACCACATATCAATCGATAATTAAAATTAATATTTATTTTTTCATAAGTGCATTTAGAAATAGCCCAGGCTTTCCAAAGTGCTGTAAAGACAATTGAAAAGATAAACATAAAAATACAACAAATTACTCTCCTTGTACCTGGTGTAGAAGACTAAAGAGAAATTGTGATTTAAAATGCTTTAACATTTGTTCTATCCTCAATGATCCTACAGTGATTCAAAGTAGAAGAAAAATACCATAAAATAGGGTCTAAAGGGGTCTAAATGACTCTGGGCTGGTCAAGTATTGTATTTTTATAATCACTGTAGCGGGTAAATTTGATCCTAGGATATTCACAAGGGTTTAAATGTATACTGAGACATAATGAGTGTCCTGACTGGTGGGAAACGCCAAATACAGTCCAGTTGTGTAGCGTAGTCTATTGTATAATAATAATAATAATAATAATAATACATCTGTTTTATATAGCGCTTTTTTGGACACTCAAAGACACTTTACATGTCGCACTGACAGAAGCGAGGCAACCAGTATGTGCCATCGGCCCCTCCGACCACACACCATTCTCATTCTAGGCAATATGGGTGAAGTGTCTTGCCAAGGACAAAACGACAGCAGACAGTGGGAGTCGATGGAGAAAGTCTTGTGGGCTCGAACCCACGACCTTCAGGCTCAAAGGCCAATGCTCTACCAACTGAGCTACTGTCGCCTCATTAACTGCACACTACAAAACTTCAGATGACACATTCCAAGAATCCTTTATGATGGTTCTGTATCACTAAACGGCCATTAGTCAATCAAAGTTAACATGTTGCTATCATCTTCTGCCTGTTTCTTTTCTCTTAGGGCTTGAGCGAGGACGTCAGCATCAGCAAGTTCTTCGACGACCCTATGTTGTTGGAGTTGGCCAAACAGGACGTGGTGCTCAACTATCCCATGTGAGGAGCAAAAAAGAGCTCAAAACAGACTTCACTCAAAGGCTCGTCTCTCTCTGTGAGCGGAACCAAACCGGAGCACAGGAATCATATCGTTAATGTATTTTGTTTCCTTTCTGTCCAGTTTGCATCATTGTGAATGCTGTTTTTGTCTTTCTTTTGTTTTTATATGTACAAAAATATGTTTTGTAAAGAAACCTTTTTAAATAATGTCATTGAATAAACTTGACGAAATAAAGTCTGGGTCCGTTTTGCTTTTTTTGTGAATAGGACGCCAATTTTAGGAAAGATTGTGTCCAGAAAATCAAATGGTATGTAATGAAAAGTGGCTGTGTTATAATGCAGAACAAAAATAATGGACCTCTAAACAAACGGTTAAAACATATTTGAGGGACTGAGAAATATGCACATATGGACTCAACTCACAGGGTTGCTTTTTCAGGTATAAAGGCCCATCTTTGACAATCAACTCTCAACCTAAACTATCAAATAGTAACTTCCACGGCTCTTTTATTGCAAAAAATATATAATGGTATAATGGTAATAATTGCTTCTTAATTTAAGTACATTCTGACTGTTAAAAGTTATTTTCTAAATGGGACAATTCATTAAGTCTTATTTCAAGAACTTATTTCTCATTCAAATGAAGACATTTCTTTTATCTTTTTAAAACGCACTCATTTTGCCTGCCCCATTGGCAAATTTTGTTTTAAGGCAGTCAAAATATGCTCAAATTAGGATGCATTTTCAAGTCGTATTTTAATTCCATGTTATGATTCAAAAACAATTAAACATTTGACAAATTTTGCGAACTGGGAGCCGTCTACAATAACTAAAGAGGTTTCCATCAACATCAGGAGCAGGGCTGTGGATAAGCTTGAATAAATCATAGTTTTAAGTGGTTTTCCTTTTGTTCTTACAGTATTCTGTTTGTGTTGTGGACCTGGATGTGTGTTCAAATGCATCAGCTACATTGATATAAAATTAAGTCTGGAGTTGAGTCTATACTCCGTTGAAGTATTTAAATAATACTCACATTATGCAGTGTTTTATGTGGAGAAGTGTGCGTACGTTGAGAGTGACGTGTGCGTGTGTGTGTGTGTGTGTGAGTGATGCGTGTGTGTGAGTGATGCGTGTGTGTGAGTGATGGACTCGTGGGCGAATGGGAGGAGGCAGCTGCACGTCCGGATCAGGTCACATGCTTTAAGAAAATACATGAGTGAAGTGACAAGTCAATGATCAGAATCAACAAGACTTTTAACTAAAAATTGGCTAAAAATAATTTCCTTCTGGGAGGGTGGTCGACTGCAGGAAGGAAACCATTTATTGTACAAGTTTATATTAGTTACATTACTATATATATATGTTTTAGTAGGTAATAGGTACATGCATTGATGCCCAACAAGTAGGAAGATCATTTGAAGTGGGTCCTGAGCGTTTCAAGGGTAAACATTCTTGATTAAAGAATGTATGACTGAAGACATATTCATAATACAAGTTTTTATACTTAAAATCCAATATTTTTTTAGTTTTGCTGTTGGAAACTTATTGTGCAATGCTTATAAAAAGATTTGTGAAAATAACATGATTTTACAAAACTAAATTAACTTGTTTTGGGGCCTGGCTTGGTGTGTACTGTATGTGGTTTCCCTGTTCTCGCATTTTTAGGAAGATTTTTAGCTGCATGAATCTGAAATGCTGCCTCCCCATGTTTAGTCCTGACTCTGGGCAGCAGCAGGAGGCCAGTCCCTGCATCCAGCACTAGTCCACATTTGATAATACAGCTTAAATACTTCCATGCATCTTATTTTAACAGCCCCAGCAGCTTTCAAAAGGACTCACAAAAGTGTTGGCAGCAAAGTCACATTTACATTCCATCATTTCGTCTGAGTTACTGCCATCTTGACTAATTCCTATAGAACTTGGCTTTTGTTTCAGATGATCTATAGCTTCATATTTTGATCCCAGGCGACTGAATAATAAATGGATTTGTAATTTCATTTCAAATACAGCATTGGTCAGAAGTCATTTCCCAGAACATATCTTTTACCACGGAGCGTTTATATGAGTGGTGTTTTATGTATCAAAGAGCAAAAGGTCAAGTCTCTTTATTTATGGCTCAATATTGTAGTTGGTTTATTCCTGGCTGTACACGATGATTAACAGCAGACGTCAACATGAGACAAACGGCTGTCTATAAAATATGTCTTATACAAACATTGCCCCTATATCATTATACGCAAAAATCAATAGTGTACTTTTGATGCCTTTTTCTCAGATGTTACGTAAGTCGAGAACTTTACAACTGTGAATATTACCATCTGTGGTTGCAAGAGAAACATCCGTGCAAGTTTTTGTGCCATTTTGTCAAAATATTTTCTAACTTTGGAAGGTTGATAGGTCTCTGTATGGGAATACGAAAGCCTTTTTCATAGGACACCTCTGATAGTGGTCGATATTAAAACTAAATCCTTTAAAAGAGAGCCCAACCTGCTGCTTGTGTATATATGTGTACCTGAACTCCAATTTCATTAGTTGATCTGCCAATAGTATCGGAATAATGATTTTGTTATGAGCAAAAATATATATATCTGAAGTACAAATGTGAATGAGGTTTGGAATTTAGAAATAAAATCTTGCAACTCGCATCAATAAGTCATTATCAGATTACTAAACAGCATCACCATGTTTTTTATGTCATAGAGCCTTCCTGGAGGAATGCATTGTTGCATTTGATAGCTTCAGCTCGTGCCACAACCCTCCTCCTCCCCATCGCCACCTCTACAGTAGCACTTGTTCACCAGCTTCAGCCACCACCACCAGGATCTAATTCAGTTATAATAAGTCAGTAATTGTCACCATTCTTATTGCTGTGTATGTGCCAAAGCATACAGCAACCAAATTACTTACATGCAAACATAATTGGAATTATCTCCTTTTTTCCACCATAACAGCACATTTATTGTCTTTTATCGTTATCGTTGTAATAGTCACAGGCTTTGGTGGTAGACCCTCTCCCCCCAGTGTCCCAGGGCAGCACCGGAGCAGGCAGGAGCAGTCAAGTCGTCAACCACTTTGACATTTGGACTTAATGTCAGCGGTGTTCTGTAAGACTTCAGAGTATTTGCCCGAACGGGGGCGGACGGAGGTGAGAAAGGCCTTTTTCTAGACGCTCGTGGGAAGGAGACCGAGACTGAAAGGGTGATAGAGTGGAGACAGTGATCGGACGAGACACAGCGCAGTCCTGGTATGTTTTTACCAATGAATTGACAGAACCACCAATAATCCGCCTTAAGAATATGGTATTGGTAATTTGCAGGAGACATGTATACACAGACTGTATAAATTTGTATATTTATGGTCAAAAGTAAAAGAATCTACCTACAAACTATTTTAACTCTTCTTTCATCTCTTCTCTTATTTTCTTCAGAGTCCTGGATCTATAGCCTCTCTGTCCTTTGCAGCGTATCCCTCTCTCAATATGGGCCTCTCCAGGTTTCTCACTTTTTCCCCCTGGGTTGTAGAGTCATCCCTTGCTAATGTGGTAGTGTCTAAGGACAGTGATGATCCAGGACATTTAAGGACATTTTATTAACATTTGACGGACTTTGGTCATCCGCCCCTTTGGCCACTTCTATGTTTGAAGTGTTTGATTCACTGATCTGTTGTTGAGGAATTCACTACTTTGTGCAGTCCTCCAAGAAAACGGCCGCTGTGAAGTAGGGCTATGCAAGAATACATTGAATAATAGTTAATTTGTTCCTTCAGCTAGTGTATAAACGAACAGTTGTGGCCTATTCTTCCAATTCATAGAAATGCTCTTTCACCATCGAGGTATCCCGAGTGGCACAATGAAAGGTTGACAACTAATACTATTAATTACTATTATTATTACTACTATCAATACTATTAATTGATCAATAGTTTAGTTTTATCCTCAAATCATAGAAAACATAAACAGGCTCAATTGTGTAATTTAACAGAACACCTTTCTGTGGGTAGAAGTTCAAACATGAGACAATTCAACAATTATCAGAATACAGCTCCAGTCAGGATGATCAAGCATTTCCAATTAATCAATGGATACAATCAAGTTCCTTTTATAAGATATGAACATGTATGACATTAGTGATAGGGTTTTTGGAATATAAATCGCAAAAAAAAAAACACATTTGCTGGAAAACTCTAAATTCTAAGCCGCCCAATAAGCCACATATTTGTTTTAACCACACAAGTTAATGAAAGAAGATGCACAATGTTGCTGTTTCATGACTAGAACTGTTGAAATTGTCCTTTACATTTCCATATCATCCTTATGCCCAGCTCTCATCTGCACATGTGTACAGGCTGGAAGGAGATGCATGTGTGAAGTGAATCCGTGTTCCTCGTGTTTCGTCCTGCGGCGCTGAGACATGGCATGGCGCTCATTCTGAACACAGCCCCCCGGCCTTTATGACAATCTGTGCTCCCACTGCTAAATATAGAGCCATAGTGCGTGTGTGTGGGTGTGTATGTATGTGTGTGTGTGTGAGTGTAGTGGTCAACTGGGGCACTTTCGCTTCCTGCAAAATATGGCCTTAACCTTTGCCACCGCAGCTCTCCATCTTGCGCTGAACCGTTTCATCAATCACCTTTTCAACCTGGCTTCTGCTTCTACACGGCGCCATAGTGTTGCAGTTGTACCGGACTGTGTGGGAGTCAGAGTAAAAAGTGTAGAGATGTCATAAATAACAGGCATGTGAGGTGTATTGGCGCCAAGTAGAGTTGGATTTCGTTTTATTTAGTATTTTATGCTCTAAGTAGGGTCGTGTTTTCTGTATTTCTCATAGAGAAACATTGTCACAAAGGGCAAGGAGTCAAATGAAGCAGAGAGCTGATAAAGAAGAGGGCTGATGGTCAAAACAGAACAAAATATATATTTTTCTATAGCGCCAAACTTATTAGACATTCTCTTTGGGTATCTCAATTTATTCCCAAATTAAGGCAATGATATGTTTCCCTCTAATA